AATATACCGAAAAAATAATTATATGAGTGGGCGGGTACCCACGGGCCGGGTTTACCTAAACCCAAACCCAACCCAACCCGGTGAATAGTGAACGGGTTTAAACCCAAACCCGGCCCAAAACCCGTCACCACGGATTTTACCCGCGTTGACCGGGTTGGGTCGGGTGGGTACCCATGGGTTCGGATTTTGTTGCCATCCCTAGTAGTACAAGCTCATCATCATGCGTGCGCGCGATGTGATTTAAGAAATCTGTTAATATTGTGGTGGGTCGTGAGGATTTGAACACATGAGCTCAGGATAAAAGCAGTGTTTTGATACAGGTCTCATAAACCAACTAATACGTACCGATAACTCGGATTGTTGAAAGATGTTCATTTTCATTTATGAATTTTAACCGCCTTTAGCTTTCGCTTGTGAGCTTTATCAAGGAGTGGTTAGATATTGTTATTAGGAACTTAATGCATGGTTGAAATTTTTTGGGTTCAATGAATGACTTGTGGTTGTGGTAAGTTTACTTATGAAGTTTAGATGGAGGAATACGAGAGGTAGTTGTTACTTGTTAGAGGGGTTTCGTTTCCAGAATTGATAGCTTGGATCAGCTTTATTCACTGCACAAGAAAAACCAGTACTTACTACTTACTTAGGGCTACCGGTTACCCCAGATATACAGACTCTGTTGGTTTATCAAGTCCATCAAAATAGTAGTTTGCCGGGGTTTGGAATGGAAACCACACCCTTTGTTTTGTTTTGTTTTTAACCGCCGGTTTGGTACCAAATGAATCGAAAATTCATTTCATTGTAAAATGAATTACCATGTAGAATTCATTGTCAAATGAAATCTTTTGTTTGGTATGTGATATTCAAATCTTTAGAAATAAAATAATTGTCGTGTGGAATTCATTGTCAAATGAATTTATGTGTTTGGTATGGCATATGTATAAGTAATTTAGTTAAAAAAACAGGATAATTATATCATTCTATTATTTTTAATTAATACTTGTGGAATTCATTTGCAAATTTTACCTCAATTCCCCGGAATTGCTATAACTAGTTCCAATTCCATAGAATTCAAAAATTAGAATTGAAAATGAAATCTTTTAAATACCAAACACAAAAAAGTTTCATTTCAAAATGAATTTATCAAAATTTATGAAATTCATTTATAAAACTATAAAGAATTAGGAATTCATAACTCATCGTGTTCAGTTCATATACCAATCAACAGGCTCAAACATCGCAAGAAAGCAATCGATAGGAGGACATTTGGGAAGCCGGCCGCCAAGTGACCACCAAGGATTTACACATCCCAAATTAATTACGTGGGATTTACAAGTCCCACGAATCCGTGGACCCCAGAAATTTCGCACCCATCAACAAACAATAGGCTTGTGTTAAATCCATCAAACTTGGAATTTTGAGTACCAAATCCATGACCCAAATCCAACAAGCAAACGATCCCTAAATTTTCAAATATGTGAGGCTTGCGAATTTGAGCTCTTAAAGTTGTGGGCCCACGAAATCAGGCCCGACCCAGACCATGTACTTGTCTGACCCACAGCACAGGCCTCAACTATTTGGGGACTCATATTTCACTAAGGGGTCGTTTGCTTGTTGGATTTGGGTCATGGATTTGGTATCCAAATCCCAAGCTTGATGGATTTAACATAACTCCATTGTTTGTTGAAGGATGCTAAATCCGTGGGGTCCACGGATTTGCTCTTTATTTTGGAACCAAATCTTTGGACCCCACGGACTTGTAAATCCTACATATTGATTTGGGAGTCGCAAATCCTTAATGGTTAGTTATTTATTTAACAAATTCATCACAAATCCATCATCAAATCTATCATGCAAACATTAGACTCTTTAAATCCATAATCCAATAAATCCAACATAAATCCCAAGGTTTTTGTTGGCCAAAACCCTCATTTTTCAAATCCAACAAGCAAACGACCCCTAAGTCTCATGGGCTGAAATTGGATGGTCAAATTATGTCTTATTCTTTAACGGGCCACTTAACAGAAGCCTGACCCATTGCTTCCAATCTTCTTAAAAAATATTAATGACCTTTTCAATTATTCCTTTTTCTTGGATAAACTTCTCCAATTCGACCAAAAAAAAACTCCCACAATTTGCGAGAGAGGTTCACTTTTTTCTTTAGGATTATAGGTATAATATGCCCCTCTACTATGAAGTTTTATCAAACATGCCCCTCTACTATTTTTTACATCAAATATGCTCATGTACTTTGAAAAAATTATCAAACATGCCCTTCTGTTAAAATTTCGATCGAAAAAATTGTCAATCATGGTTGAATTGAGATTTAGACGACCCGACATCAAGAAGTGAGAGGGAAAATGTCAGTTTTGTCCCCTATTTTTATTTCCCTGGGTATTTTCAAAGTGAAATTATTTAATTGATTTGATTATACAAAAGAACCAAAAAAATTCTAAAGTGAATTTATTAGAGATATTTAAGTCATTTGTGTCGCCCAAACTGAAGTTCGGCCTTGCTTATTGTTATGTTGGTTTGATGTCATAGGAGTTTTGTTGAACCTAGTAATGTTTTCTTGAATCAGTAGTGTTTTAAACGATGGAAATGGTTTTTTGTTTTGTTTTTGCAGCTCTGGCTTCTTAAAATCATGAGGAGGCTTGTGCAGGCTAGGATATTTCATATGTAGTGATTTTGTAGTTGTGTAGTATATATTTCACATATAGATCTTTGGTACTAATTAATTGCATGTATATGTTCTCCTATCGTCATTTTCGCATGAACAATACCAATTTATCACTTTTTAATAATAGTTATTTTACATTTTACGGTATTGGTTCGTATTGCCTATCACTATCAGTAGAGATTTGTTTGTAAATAACTAGTATTTCAATAAATCACTATACAATTCGTCAAAATCACTAAATGGTATCATAGTTGTTAACCCGCGGGTCGACCCACTTTAACCCTGACCCAGTGAGAAAAACGGTCCGCACGCACCCGTCGGGTCGACCGCGACAAGGTATCGGGATGGAAGTCAAATTGTGTAATTTTTTCTTTGATTTGCGAAATGCGCCTATTTTCCGATTTTTCTTTTCGCCTAACTCTATCTTTGGAATACTAAGTTAAATATTTGAACATATACGTTATATAAGTGTGTGTAAATTTTCAATATATGTTGGATCTAAGTACGACATGTTATTTTGGTGGAATATTATATGTTATAACTCATATGTTAGATGAGATTTGATATAATTTATCAGGATAAGTACAATATAATGGCTATTTCCATATTTTTCGGGCTAAACCGGGTGACCCATTAAGTCATTAACCCTTGACCCACTAGCTCCACCGGATCTGGGTCAACCCGCGGATTGACAACCTTATCATCACTACTATAGAGAATCACTACTACTAATATCTATCTATTCTCAATGGGTATTAACTATCACAATATCACTACTACAAATTAAATCACGATTGTGAAAATCAATAAACTACTACTACTACTGCGGTATATCTATCATAAAGAAGAGCGAGAGCCTAAAAAAAAAAATGAGGCTGGAACGTGGGAGGGGTTAACGGAGTCAAATTGTAATTATCCCTAAAAATTTGCATCTCCTCATGTCAATCCCTTTAAAATCCGCTTTTTAACCACACGAATTAGCATAAATTCAGCATTAAATTTTTCGTTTCAAAGTATTGCATCTTTCTTTTACAACTATACCCTTTATGTATTTTTAGTCATCAGATCTAATTCTAAAATAGGATGTGAGCGTCTTAGATGCTAGTTAATATGACGTTTAATTTCCTCCCTATAAAGTTAGAATTGCTATAGAGTATAGACATTCTTCCCGAAATTGAAAATGAAGCTTTGGTGAATTCAAATTAAACTACTAAAACACGAGAGAAAAAAAAAAATTAAATTTTGTGATGATGAGCTCCAAAAAAGAGAGTCAATAGCTGAGCAGCGATGATCTCTCTAACCACCATATCCCAAACTTAGCGATTTTGTTGCAGCTGCCACCCATTTTCTCCGATCTTTTATCAACCAACAACTGTAGCCCTTAACCAAGAACACGCAACCTACTGTTCACTACGAGCACGTATAATATAAAAAACCCTCCTCCGCGCCTCAATTTGGTGAACCCAGAAAAGTGTCACTGTACTGTGTTGTTCGCCGATTAAAAAAAAAAAACCCTAGAAATACTGTAGCAGATTGGGGAAGGGGAAAGCTTCCTTATTACCGGATTGTGTAAGGAGCCGCCGCCATCAGCAAGCGTCAGGTGAAAATCTCTAAAAGCTCTCTTCTTTGTTTCTGTTCAAAGGGATCCCGTGAATCGGCGGTGATTTTTTCTTCTTCTTCGCGGCGGTGATTTTTTCTTTCTTTCTATGTTGTGATTCTTTTCTTGCATGCCATGAGCTCCGGTGGTAAACAATATTTACTCCAATCTTATGAAACTTCGTTCTAGTTTTATTATTATCGTTCTAGTTTAAAATCTCAAATTGCTAAATTGTCCTGTTAAACTTCTCCACGTTCTTCATTAACCGTCGACGAACGACGACGTCCTCTATTAGAAATTTTACCAAAACAACACAAATATGGCGTCCCGAAATATCTCTATAGTTATAGGTAGGAAACTTTTTGTAATTTAGATTTATTTATTTGCTTCTTTTATCATGAAAGAATAATAGGAAAAAAAATTTAAATTTAAAATTAGAGTGATTACAATGAAATCTAATGCGTTAATTAAACAATAAAAAAAAGGGCGAAGAAAATTTCCTTTGTAAAATTGCGGGTTGAAAGAAGGAAAGAGTGAGAGAAGGGTTTGGAGCCCAGACCCAAATTTAGTCATAATCTTCAGGCCCACTAATAAACAAACTGTTGTGGATCACAGGGAGCTGGCAGGAAAGAAAGATAGTGCGAGAAACGGGCTTCAGATGGATAGTTGGCCCACCATAATCTTTTTGCAATTTCCTATGTGTTGTTTTTCTGTTGGCTGGCTGCATTTACCGGCGGTGATCCTCTCCTCGGCTCCACCACCATTCCCCTTCCACACCAATCCCATAGCTCTCCCGCCCAATTCAGTCAGCGAACCTCAGAATACTAATAATTCTTCCAATCTCTTAATGCCGGTTCATCTTCCAGCTAAAATCTGTAGCCTCCAACTTCATAAGGCCGGCGATGGTCCGCCACACCAGTGCTAGTCTTGTGTCAACCAGAAGCCTCGACCGGAAAAGAGGGAAGATCCCTATGGAAGGAGAGAGTTGAGTTATGATGCGACGGCCAAAGTGTGCTTGGCCGTCAACCGGTTGGCGAGCGAACCGCAAATTGGAAGTTATTAGGGCGAGAAGGTGATGCTTGGAGTGAAATGTTTCTATGGTTGGGATTAGCTAGGGTTTTCAGAGGCTCGGAACGTGTTTTTGTTGTTGTTCTTGTTGCAGTAGAGAAGGTTTGCTGAATGGAATGTTAGATTTTTTGCGATTAGCTGCCGCAGCAGCTTCTTGTTCTATAGTTTACTAGGACTCACACAATAGAAAAATAGCCCGCCCACCTCTTTGTCTTTTCGAAGAAGGAAGGTCTTAGATCTTCTGGTTAATTTGATGTTAGCTTAGCTAGTTTTCTCACCTTGAACAAGTTGCTCGCTTTCTTGATTCTTCATTATGCCATTCCAGAGAAGTAGAAGGCGGAGAGACGTCTGCATTGCTCGTCATCTCTGGCCAGGTTTGTCTCTTAGTATTCATCATAACCGCTCAATATTTCTGCATTTTGGTCCTGCTATTAGGTTGTTTCCTAGTTTCTTTGACCCTCTTGACGAATTAATGTCATTCACATGAAATTGTGTTTCTTGAAGGGTGAAGAATGTTTATATGGTTTGCATGTTAGTCTGTTCGTTTCCTTAACCTAGTCTTTGTATCGATTCGCATTGTGAAGCTGAGAAGCAATTCAACTTCCGTTCCAGCAATTCGAATGCGTTTAATGTGTGGGAAAGGATAATTTTTTGGGCAATGTCTATTTTTTACCCAAACCATTTTCAGATTCTTTTATTTTAACCAAACCTATTGAATTCCTAAAAATTATCCAAACGTTAACTCTCCGTCAACTTTTCTGTTAGTAATGCTGACTAAGTATGACCATAATGAGTTGACTTCCTACGTGACGGTCAGAATACCATCATTTACTATTTTTAATAAGAAGATTATCAAAAAACAAAACAAAATCCCGCCCCTCACGTGGACGAAATAAGTAACGGTAACATAATGAATGCCCAGACTTTGATAAATTATAATACGTTTGGATAATAAATAGAATTTCTATAGGTTTGGTTAAAATAAAAGAATTTGAAAAAGGTTTGGGTAAAAAATAGACATTGCCCTAATTTTTTCATCTCTTTCTTTTTGCGCGCTTGATGCCATGAACAGCTCAGTTTCTGTGAGCCTAAGTAACCAGAGTAATTTAATCCTCTATTGTCAAACATGAAGCTTCATTCAAATTCTTTGTCATGTTTCTTGCTTCCTTCAAGTGTGTCATGCATGCCTACCCTCTTATTAATCCGCTGTGGCTCTTTTGACTTATGAGTATGATAATTTGTTGCGATCTATCTTCTCAGAATAATTTGTAGGGTGTATTGTACTATGCGCCAAAATGTAGTTCTAGTGATGGTAACTTTAGGTTCTGGACTCTGTAGTCTTATTTGCTTTTTTCTGTGAATTAATTATCCTGATCAGCAGTATTTCCTTGCTCTTGATTTGTTGAAACTTGTCTTCTAATTCTTCCTACAGATGGCAGATCAGCGTGCAGGTTACAGTGTGGATGAAGCTCTCCTTGCCTTGGGGTTTGGAAAGTTCCAAACCCTTGTCTTTCTTTATGCTGGCATGGGCTGGCTCACAGAAGCAATGGAGATGATGATTCTCTCATTTATAGGCCCAGCTGTCAAATCTGTATGGAATCTATCTGCCAATCAAGAGACCTTAATAAGTGTGGTGGTATTTGCTGGCATGCTAATTGGTGCATATTCATGGGGTGCAGTTTCAGACAAATTGGGAAGAAGGTAAGGACTCCACTACCCGTGTAACAGTACAACTTGTTACGTAAAATTGCTAGCTCAAGTTCGCTTCTCTGCTTGCTTAGAGCTGTCACTTAAACTTAAAAGACAAACCAGGGTATTCTCCTTTAGTTAGTCGATGGTGATGGTTCGTGACACCATAGTTCCCTTCTCTTGACAGGAATTGACTTTATGAAGAAAAAGAAGGGTGAAATTGATCTATAGTACCAACTTCATGTAGCAACTGCAGCTCTCTTTTCATCAACTATCTTATTGTATATGGAGCTTGTTCATGTAATATTGTTCCCATCGTTGGTGCCCTCTCTGCACCCTTTACTCTGCAAGCACCCTGCTCTTTAGATAGTATGCATTTTGATTTTGTTCTTTTTGTTGTTTTATAAATTTTGGCAGGAATGGATTTTTGTTCACAGCATTAGTTACTTCTGCAGCTGGTATTCTTAGTGCCTTTGCGTGGAACTATACTGTGCTGATAATTGCTCGTGGTTTGGTTGGCCTTGGACTGGGAGGTGGGCCTGTACTCTTTTCCTGGTTCTTGGAGTTTGTACCTGCAACAAATAGAGGCCTGTGGATGATCATTTTCTATGTATTCTGGACCATTGGTACAATTATTGAAGTTGCTATAGCATGGGTAGGCTCATCACACCTTATCTCACGTCTGTTACTTATTCTAAATTCCTCTTGTTTATTCAGAAAGAGTCCGACACTTCCACCTGTGTTGTTTTATTGTATTTCAGTTTATTATGCCGCGGTGGGGTTGGAGGTGGCTGGTTGGTGTTTCTGCTGTGCCTTCCTTTACTCTCCTTGTGTTGTACCCTCTGACACCAGAGTCTCCAAGGTACCTATGCTTGAAAGGTAGAAAAGGTGATGCCATTAGAGTCATGGAGAAAATGGCGAAACTAAACAAGAAAGAACTGCCCCCCGGTGTGCTTCTAACTGATCATGAAGTAGAACGGCAAGGACAAGTTGTTACACCAGAGCTGGGTGAACCTGATTCTACGCCATCTACACCTTCTAGGTGGGAAGATGCTGACATTGGTGCCATGAAGACTCTAATGATGCTGCTTTCTAGAAAATTGGTTCGCTCGACAGTACTCTTGTGGCTCATATTCTTTGCGAATGCATTCTCCTACTATGGCCTTGTTCTGCTCACTACCCAATTGAACCGTCCTGATCGCTGCAACTCACATGCACCTCAGTCCGGAGACAATTCAGATGACAGTGTTGACTATAAAAATGTTTTCATTACTACTTTAGCAGGTGCGTTTGACACACATTTCTTATCTTTGGTTTCAGTACTAGTATATCCAACCCTAAGTTGCTGAGTGAGTTTCTATATCTTTAATTGTCAGAATGTCCGGGGCTCCTCGTAGCAGCTGTTGTAATAGATAGAATCGGACGCAAAATTTCCATGGCCAGTCTGTTCTTCATTTGTATTGCTTTCGTTCTGCCATTGGTTGTCCATCAATCTCCACTTGTAACCACGATTCTTCTCTTTGGAGCAAGAATCTGCATCACAGGAACTTTTGCAGTCGCTTTTGTGATTGCTCCGGAGGTAAATATATCCTACTTCTATAATTTATGTATACAATGCCTTTTCTGTAACCATTTATAGCTAAACCACCACGACAGTCATGACCTTGTTACATGGATGATATGAGTTCAATCACAGAAATGATCTTGCATAATTACTTTCATTTGCATCCCATGTTTTCAATGTCATTTGTCAGTTCTTTTCATTGAAATGCTACTTGTCCATCATTCTGAATTGTCGAATGGTTTGTGGGATTGGTTTGTTGCACAATGCAAGTCTGCTGGTACATTTTTTTTGAAGATGTTATTTTTTGTAGAGAACAGCTCTGGCCTCTGGCAGTAGATACATTGATCTCATTCTTGCACTAGTATATAGGCAAAAAGGCACATTGGTTTGGGGGACTCAGTCACTCTTTGGGTTATTGCTGTCTACTTCTGTGACTCATTATGTTAAACTTGGTCATGCCAAAGTTTCGCTTTACTTTCATAATTGCACAATCAGTATATGTCCGTGCCCCTGATTTAGGGTTGAGCACAACTGTAACCTTTTTGTTTTTCTTTTGCCTTATTGCATATGAAGCTATACCCAACTTCGGTGAGATCAACTGGTTTCGGACTTGCAAGCGCCGTTGGAAGAATTGGTGGGATGGTATGCCCTTATGTGGCAGTAAAATTGATGGAAGCATGCCATCAACGTGAAGCACTACTGCTGTTTGCTGGTGTGGTTGCGATAGGACTAGTTGCGACGGTGTTGATTCCATATGATACCAAGGGCTGCGAATTGACAGAGAGCATAGCGAGCACAAAACACGACAAGCCCCACGAAGACGCCTGAAACAGACTACAAGCTCGGCTTCCTTTCTGCAGCAGTGATGGAATTTCAGGCAGGGCATCAATGATTCTTTTCTTTCCCCTCGGTTTTGTGGATAATCAAGTCTCTAGTTTCTAGAATCCATTGTTGTTATGTTTTTCCAGTTTGAGACACTAGTTATTAGATTGTTAGATGCAAAGAACATGCAGTTTGCTTCTCCGTGTTTAGAATGGACTCAGTTTTTGTGCAGAAGCTCTTCTAACTCCCAAACAGACTTTCAAAGTGATGAACGCATCCAGAGTTCAAATTTCAAAGTGAAAGAGAATAGGCCCAAAGGTGGGATCCAGTTATGGCGGATTCAATCATTTTTCCTTGTGATAAATGTGATCCTTACTGGTGTTAATACTTATTAGAAAGTGGCAGACCCGTAGTGATGGGCTGCACTTAGAAGAGATGATACGTGAACCAATTTCCCAGCTGCTGCTTTTCTATTCATTATCTGTTTGTCTGTCTGTCGAAGTTGATAGGACAGCTCTTTTTACTGTTCTTTGTTGAGTGAAAGCACAAATTGTGGATGGCCAGTCAACAATGGCGTTTGCTTCAATTCTCCAGGATCCAGGGCAAGAAAGTGGAGTGAGTGGGTGGGTTGTTGTACGCAAATTCCAAAAAGCTTCTTTTCATATGGGCAGAGAGGTCTTTGTCAAAGCAACGTGGTGTAATGTGGTTGTTGGTTGCTCCTCCATTAACCATACAGCCATAGATTTCCTGCTACTAAAGTTCATTGTGAGTCGATTTACACATTGAAGCTTGAAGGGAGAGTTGTGCATGGTTGTGGTTGGTGGGTAGTGAACAATCTAATCATGTACCAAAGAGGAAAATGCTTATCACCAAAAAAAAACTCACACTTGGCCAAGGTGGTGAAAGAGCCTAGGAAATAGCATGCATGAACCAAGCAAAGATAATGTGTTCTTTATGTGGTTTTCCACCATAGCTAGTAGCTACATGCTATCTCATGAAAATGATATCATAAATTAGTTTTGGAAGCTTTTTTTTTTTTACTTTTTCATAAATGGAAATTCTATTTCACTTGGAAAATCGGTGCGAGTTGCACGTGTCGAGAGAGCTCTTGCCTTTTTTGAGTTACATATCGAACAAGTTTTTGAATCGATTAAGCATACAATTTTAAAATTTCTATTCTATGAAATTTACAGGGCGATCTGCTTTATAATATGTGCAATGAATGTGTGACTTCACTTATGAAAATAAACCTGATATATTTGTATACCAAACAATATTAAGTGCTAGCTCGAAATAGTGTTTACCATGTAAGTCAAAGTCGTTTTCTTGCATGGCCTTGTTGTTTATTTCTTTTTCTTTCTTTTTATTAACTTTACCATCACAGTCCCAGGCTCCCAGCCCTATCATTTTTCTCTTTTAGATTGTGTTTCATCTTTACGTGCCAAATCTTAATTGGTTGGAGAGAGACACATAATAAAAGCTCTATAGATCAATGTGGAAAAATCTATTTTATATTTTTATTGTACAACATAATTTAGCCGATAATGTACACACAAATATTCTATTAATTGAAGTTTCGTCACAGAAAAGACTAAATATATTGGGGCTATATGATTACGACATCTTACCTCAATTAAGTTGGAAGATTAACTATTCAATGCATAAAAATGTGTTTTGTTTGTCATGGAAAAAAGGCTAAATATATTGAGGCTGTAAGATGGTGCTATGAAGGTTAACTATTCAATGTATACAACTTAATACGTGATTTAATTGAGAAAATCAACTCATATGATATCACAAACGTATTATAGAGCCCAGATTTGCATAAACTTATATGTGAATATCTCATGAATAAAAACTATATTGTGTTGTGAACACGACTTGCTTTGCTAATTTGGTCGCCAGTAGGTACCAAGAGAAACCTTTTTGTTTTTGTTTGTTATGAATAGAATATAAATTACGACTTAGGTTTAAAACCCTGGGAAAAATTGAAATACTATAAATATCATAGTAATCTCCACAAATTAGTTTTAAGAAAATCTGGCTGGGGAACCAAGGGAAACTTTACTGTATGACAAAGAAATTAAAATAATCATTTTATAAACATCTGAAATCATTTTACGTAAATGTTCAAAATTTCAAATAATTAACAACCCCAATATTTCAGCAGAAAAAGGGTAAACCCCCCCCCCCCCAAATAAGAAGAAAATACTAATGATATACGAATTCGGATGCTAAATTTATACACACAAGATCTGACAACACAAAAAATTTCAATTAATGATTTATTATTTCGAAATTTACGAGAGAATATGACGGAACGAGAAACATGCTCTTACAAACAAACAACTCCCTTGACGCAACTGCTGAAACGATATTCCGCAACTCATGACACTAATTCTCACTAATAAAACTTAATTTCCTCACTAATTACTAATTAGCAAGGTAAATTACTCATCAGTAGCCATCTTCTCCTCCCATTTCACATCCTCCAGCCGGAGATCGGCGTAATAAGTAGCACCGGAAAACCGGGGGAACCCGTCGCCGTCGATTTTTGATTCACGTTTCTCTGTATTATCATTATACGGTTAGCACACTACTCCTCCATTTTCTACTGCATCGTTTGTTTGTTTCACTCTCTGTTTTCATTTAAGTTTTTTTTTTATCTTCTTGGTATGATACCAATGGCGCCGATTCGTCGTCTGTGCTCTGTACTCTGCATATCTACCTACATTTTCTTGTATTCGAGGAATCCAAAACCGAAAAATCGTCCACTGCGTTGATTCCTCGGCTCGAATTGAAAAAAAGAGTGTTAAACAAACCAATCAATCACGATCCTTCAATTAATTGCACTATATTGCTTTTGGAATCTCCTCTCTTGTTTGTTCGGGATAGCCGGTGATACTCATCAAGAGACTTACAAAACGAGAAAAAAAAGAGTACAAAAATAAGTGATTGTGATATCGAATCATACTAATTAGTTGTATCAGTTAGTAATTTATTAAAAATTAATGAGTTTTTTTTCGTACGGTATTTATACTTTGAATTAGTAGTCTCGCCGGGGTAACAGAGTACTCCCATCTCGGGAGGAAAAATGTGGATCAGTTTTTTTTTTGTTAGAGTAGAGTGTTAGGTTGACTATTGGTGGCCATGAATGATTCGTCCTTTTTGTTCCACATGCTCTGTCTCCACTTCCTTTACAAACTAGTTTTTTTTCTTTCTTTTGTGAATCTTATGAATTAAGCACGAGGCCTATTTCATCCATACCAGAGATCCGATGATGGAAGGGAAAAAGACTTTTGAGAAACAAAGCCTCTAACCCTAAGCCTCATAGCCCTCGCGGCCTCGCCTCATACACGCCCTAACCTGTCAATGGAGGAGACGGGTACAATTTTTTATATCCGTTTTATATCCGATGGCTTACCATATATAACACAAGAGTTCTCCACCGATTCTTTCTAGTCGAGCAGCTTGGCAGTTTCCACCGCTTGTCCAGGGTTGAGCCCTGAGATTTGACGGCGGCGGACTTAAAAAGCCACCTACAGACGCTTTACGCCCAATCATTCCGGATAACGCTTGCATCCTCTGGAACCCTCTCGCTTGTTGAACTACTTCAGAATTCAACTTTTAAGCCGGGATACTTGACTTCCAGCTTTCTATCGCATATTCGGCTGTCAGATCCCTAGAAGGGGCTCCTGTTGCTATCAACGAGTCAATGCTCGGACCTGGCTCCAGGATAGAGAACAGATAGGCTCTTCCGTCTGTTGTCACAAAGAGGTTGCACAATATTATTATGATGGTAGTTCGGCTCTGTTACCTTAATGATTCGGTCTAATCGTAATGTGAGGATCTGAACATCCATCAAATTTTCGACTCACAGAACATTGAACGACCAACAACCCATGAAATATAATATGATCCGTCTTTGGTTAGAACTAGACAGGATAGTCCTCTTCGATTTGTCTTCTTCCCTCCAATCCCCATGTAGCAAGATACATAAAAAGTCCGCAAACTGACAAACACAAAATGCTGCTGTGTCCAGTGCTACAAAACCAAAAAACCTCACGCAGCTGCCTGGTGGACCAATAATCTGCCGAGCTTTCTTCCCCAAGCGAGGAGCTCATTACCACCACAGACCCTGCTAGTTTCCTGGTTCTAATTGAAGGAGAAAAAGAAGAAGAGGAGGAAAGAAAGAAGTAGGATAAAATCTGAAAGAGATGGCCAAGGTTTGTTTATCTTCTCCTCCTTCTCCATTTATACCCACTTTCTGTTTCATGTCTCTTTCCATATACTCCTCTTTCTCCACTCCACGTTCTGGTTTTTCTCATTTCATGGGTTTTTGATTCCTCATAAAAGCTTCAACGCGTTACAGGTTTCCAATATTTGTGGCACTGTTATGCGGAAATCTGTTGCGTTAACTTCCCTGTTTTGTTCTCCGTGACAGAGAGAGAAAGAAAGAGAGTGTGTTGTGTCATTTTAAAGTTGGCTCTGTGGCTAGATTTTTTTTTTTTTTTTTTGTTTGAGAAACGTGATATTTACCCCACGGGATTCAGGGGAAAATACGTACAGACTCCTCTTTCTCTCTAGCTTCCTTCATTCCCTCCTTCCCTCCCTTCTACCTTCCTCCACCTTCCTCCATCCCACAAATTTATAAATATGGTGGAACAAGCGCCTTTACTTCCCTCCTCTGCAATTTCTTATCCTCGTTATACACTGGTTAGCCTATCTTCTCTCTGGATCGGTTTCCATTTCCTTAAGAACAAGGGGTGGTAAAAAAAAAAACCCCTTCTTGTCACTCACTGTACTCTGGCTTTCTCCTCTGTTTTGGTTTTGGTGTGGTGCAGATGGCTGATCAATCGGCAGGAGGTTACAGTGTGGATGGAGCGATCATATCAATGGGGTTTGGGCTCTTCCAAACCCTAATGTGCGTTTATGCTGGGATGGGTTGGGTTTCTGAGGCTATGGAGATGATGATCTTGTCGTTTATTGGGCCAGCAGTGAAGTCCAAGTGGAATCTCAGTGCTGATCAGGAGACTGTTCTAACCGTTGTGGTCTTCGCTGGGATGCTTGTTGGCTCCTATCTCTGGGGTTTCCTCTCTGACAGATATGGAAGAAGGTCAGAAGAAAAAAAAAATCAACACCTTTTTACTCTATTTTAATTTTGTTTGTGTGGCTTAATTTAATGGAACTCTACTACCCAGAAGTCAAAACACTGTTTGTAAAAATTAATGGCGTGGTGCAGGAATGGGTTTCTGTTCACTGCAATAGTGACCTCCATAGCCGGTCTCTTCAGTGCGTTTGCTTGGAACTATTATGTGCTGATGATTGCTCGTTGCGTTGTTGGTGTGGGGTTGGGAGGTGTGCCAGTAGTCTTCACCTGGTTCTTGGAGTTCATACCAGCACCAAATAGAGGCCAATGGATGGTTGCTTTCAATCTGTTCTGGACTCTTGGAGCCATTGTTGAAGTTGGTTTAGCATGGGTATGTAATCGTCTCACAGCAGAATTTGTTCCTAGTTCCTACCTGGTGCTTCTTTTTCTACCTACTTGTACCTTAATTACCCCGCGGCTTTGAATTCCAGATCGTTATGCCGACACTGGGATGGAAGTGGCTCGTCGGTCTGTCAGCAGTTCCCTCGTTCGTTCTCCTTATTTTCTACTACTGGACCCCTGAGTCGCCAAGGTACCTGTGCCTCAAGGGGAAGAAAGATGAGGCGCTTAAGATCATGGAGAAAGTGGCCAAATGCAACAACAAGAGCCTGCCTCCTGGTGTTCTGCTCACTGACCATGAGATTGAGCAACAAGGGCAGGTCTATTCTGCCGATTCGGAGCCCCCTTCGTGGGAAGATTCCAACTTGGGGCTCCTCAAGACACTCAGGCTGCTGCTCTCGCGCAAGCTAGCCCGCGCCACAGTGATGTTGTGGATCATATTCTTTGGGAACGCGTTCTCGTACTACGGACTTGTGCTGCTCACCACGCAGTTGAACCGCAGCGATCTGTGCAATTCGAATGTGAAGAAATCAGATGACTCTGGTGCTGGTATTGATTACAAGAACGTTTTCATCGCCACTCTTGCAGGTAAGGCAGATACCATGTGAGTAGGCAGACACTTAAAGATTCTTGTTTTTCACTAAACTTTTTTCCTTCCATTTTTACAGAATGCCCTGGTGCCCTTGCTGCCATTCTGCTAGTGGATAGAGTTGGTCGCAAGTATACCATGGCAGGTTTGTTGTTAGTTTGCAGTGCCTTTGTGGTGCCATTGGTTACACATCAGTCTTCCATGGTGACCACGATTCTCCTGTTCGGAGCTCGTATATGCATCACTGGATCTTTTGCAATTGCCTTTGTCCTGGCTCCGGAGGTAAACCAATCTCTTCAATATGATCTGCAGTAGTTCAAGTTCTTACAGTCTCGTTAGCCTAACTAACATGGGGGAGCATTGTGCTTGTGTGTTGTTTGGATGAAGCTGTACCCGACATCAGTGAGGTCAACCGGGTTTGGAATCGCGAGCTCCATGGGAAGGATCGGTGGGATGACCGCCCCATTCGTGGCAGTGAGCTTGACAGAAAGATGTTTGCAGCGAGAAGCCGTGCTGCTGTTCGTTGGTATCGTTGTGATCGCAATGATCGCGACCCTGTTGATTCCATACGACACCAAGGGGAGGGAGCTGACGGATAGCATATCCAGCATGAAGAATGAATCAAAGGACTCTGGTGCGCCAGTCAAGCCTCGTCTTGCAGAGGCCTGAAATTAGTACACCTAGGATTTTATACACTGGTTTTTATAGTATAATACAGGAGATAAGTGCTGCCTTCGCTTGCGGGCGCAGATTGTCGTCTAGATTATTAGGAGGATTTGATCTGCCAGACAAATAAAAGAAGAAGTGCAGAAGCCATATTGACGCAGCAGCAAGCTTGAGGATGGTAGCAGGCAGGCAATAACAATGGAGGTTATAAGGCTTGTTTGATCAGCAAGCTGCTTCTCGACTTGCAGTAGTCAATAGAAGGGATCAGAAGAAAGTTGAAACCTTATGTTTTACTATCAGCAGGAGAAATTTATGTCGCCATGGTTGCCGCTGACAGTCCTGTGTTTTGTTAGGCCTGTCAGGGAATCCCTCCCGAGAGGCTGACTGAAAATTTGGATTGATGGCTGTAGTAGTTATTCCATTGTTTTGAGCTATTAATATAAAAAAGTTGCAGAACGATTCTACTCTGAAATGATAAGTTGTAACTTGTAAGGATCAAACCTATGAGCTTGTTGTCTCAATTCTTGTACCTTGTCATTTAAGGCATCTCTTGGTGAGTGGAGTATTGAGTTTGGGGCAGATATTTGACTATCATTGGGCTTTGATGTCTTTTGTGTTTTCATTACAGGCTTGTGGCCTATTTATCCGGAATAGGCCCAATAACGAAAAAAGAAAAGATCAGGAACAGCCCAACGGCGGTGAGAAGATGACCCGTTTCTTCTGACCCAAGATAGTGTTAGTACCACTTCTCAGTACTTCCAAGTTCCAACTATGAGGTGGTTGTTTGAATCATTGAATGAACTTTTTGAGTTAGTTATTTGGCTTCAAATTGAATTTGTGTTATAATGTTAAATATATAAGTTCATTTTGTATTATTTTATGAATACCGAAACCAAAAAAAATTTAGCATTGTAACCAACATAAGGTGGTGAGGCAAGTAATACATTACTTTTTTTTCTTTATGGATAATTCAACTGCCATATCTAAATTAGTGGGTATTTCTTTGTAACATCTCAATCATCATTTTTAATCCAAATATATCCGGTTTGAGATTACCTCGCGCGAATTTGTTTCTCAATGTACTATGGTGACTTCCCAAAATATAATGCACTACTTCATTCTAAGAAATTTGCCTAAAATGAATTACCGGAATTTTTTTTTTTTGCCTAAAATGTTATAGTACTAGATTAATTTTTTCGAAATCCCAAATTATTAAAGAAAATAAAACAAAAAACAAAGGTTTCAGCAAATAAAAATCGCCAATAGAACCATAGCCAAACCTGATTGAAATAGACACACTCGACATTTTAATGAGCTGAATGCAATCGGATCTCTTCGTACCAATTTTTTTTTTTTTTTTTTGGAACTTCGTACCATTTCTACTATTAGCAGCGGCAGGTAAGCTAGAAGCCAAAGGGACAGCGGGAGTGACAGGATCCATGTCCTTCAATGGCTATTTAGCTTAATAATAGCCAGCCCAAGCCTACTTCACTCTCTACCTAGATATGCTCACTCACTGTACCCTTTGTCTTCCTTTCTCTCCCTCCGTCCACTTCACAGATTCTCCCATCGCACCTTTTCGTTATTTGGATTTCGGATTAGATTCCTCTCTATAAATCCCCCCCAATCATGGCGGCAGCCCAATCACCATCACCCGATCTTTCCACCGGTAACAATTTCTTCATCATGCCCCTTCCTCTTTTAATTCTCTCTTCATCTTGATCGCTAGGTCTTTCGATTTGATCTTCGATCGATCTGTTCTGTTTGTGCTCTGATTTGATGGGCCGAGTTGTTTCATGGATTGGTGGGGATGGATTCAATTCTGATATGCGTCTGTATGATCTCTGTCATGTGATTTGTTGTTTGCTCCAATTGAATGAATGGTTTCTCCAAATCGGGAACGAGAATGACTCTTTTGTGTTGTTTACTGCTAAATATAGGATCTTTCTGCATCTGGGGATCGTAAAGTTGGAACCTTTGTTTGATCTGGGTTGCTGGGATGCTGTTGAAGGGATAATTGTGTGTTTCTTACCTTTTAGTGATCTCAGATCCTGGTGATATGAGATATTCTGAATCTTGTTAAATTGTCTGAACTCGAAAATTCTCATCGACCCCATTCTTAAACTGGGAAAAGTAGTTGGAAAAAGAGATGTGATTGGATAAAAACCATGATATACCATTGAGCATTGTTAGCTGTGTGGAAACCTCTGAAGATGTTAGCTTGGCCTTTAGAGTAGACAAGTTCTTGTTACCTGTCCTGCCATTTTGAGTACTGACTCTGTAACCTGATCCTCAAAGCCCAGTCTGGTGACTAATAGTTGTTGACACCTTACTTCTTGGTGCATGGTTTACTGTTTTTGGTAGAGTTATGTGGGAATTTCATTGTGTTGGTTCTGATATTTTCTTCTCGGTTTGGCATTGCAATCTTGTGAGTTTAACTAGATCTGGCTGCTTCTTACTTCAAGAGTATTCACATTCTTTAATTTATCATGTTTGCATAATAGGTGTGTTTGCGTGGATTTGTGCGCACATATTCATTGCTTCAAGTTTTGCTATCAACAGTTTTAAGCTTTGGTTGGTCAAATTATATGTACTGCCTGTGTTTGTAAGACTCTTCTGAGTCACTGAGCATATTGATCATGGATGCAGAAGAGAAACTTCTTGAACCAGATAGCATGAAGGAGCGGGTATATTTTATACTCTTCACCTCTCAATGTCTTGATTATTATGGTTCTTTCTTAGACGCAATGTTGTTTGCTTCTTTTACTGGTTAACTTCTTACCATCCCCTGGATAGCGAACAAAATGAGATATCAATTTCTTCTAATTCCTCTCAGGATGCTGCCACTATAGGTCATCCGAGGGACGCGGCTCAGTTTGGATCTTTTGGTCCCATTGGAGATCAAACCGTCTATCCTCCAAATATGTATGCCCCTCAGCCTCAGGCTTTCTATTACAGAGGTTAGTTTCCACCCCTCTCCCTTGAATAGGTTTGACGGTATCCTTGATGGTCACTGACTGCAGGAAACTATGATTTGGCAACTAGTGATAATGGTTTATGCAAATAATTATTTCATTTTGCATCAATCAGGTTATGAAACTGGTGAATGGGATGAATTTTCTCCTTATGTCAATGCTGAAGGAATGGACATGGGATCTGCAGTGAGTTTGACCTTTCGCCTCATGTGAATTGGCAACTGTTGGTGCATATTGTATTTACTATATGTTTCTCTAATTTTTTCCTCATCCAATCAGGGCATCTATAATGAGAATCCTTCTCTTGTATTCCATGGTGGATATGGGTATGGGCCACAAGTTCAATATGGGCCATATTCTCCAGTCACACCACCTTTACCTTCTGTAGGTGGAGATACACAGTTGTACCCTCCTCAACAATTCCAGTTTTCAGGCCCCCCTTATTACCAACAGCTTGGTCCTCCTAATATGCCATACATTCCCCCCCACGCACCTGTTTCACAGCCTGAATTCAATACCTTGCCACCAATGGATCATCAAGGTGAGAACATGCTTTCTAGACCAAGGCCTACTTACCCTCATACCTCAGGATCTTTTGGTAGAGGCAACGCTCCTGGCAATCTTGGTGGTCTTGGTTTTCATGAGGTGTTTGATGGATTAAGGTCTGGGGGAATATGGTCAGATTACTCAAAGCCCTCTGACAGGCACAGGCCTTTTACTCCCTACTCGCCTGCAGTATCCCCGCAACCAACTGCTCCTTTCGGGTCATTTGGGCAGAATGTTGGAATGGTTTGTCACCTTCTTTTCTCTACTTTATGTTGATTTTTTGTTTTAGTTTTCGATATATAAGTGCTAACTAAATGACAATTAACTTGAACAGTTAGCATGTATGCTTAGCTAATCTTTACTAGACAGGATTTTTAAATGGCTTACTGTATTTGTTATATGATTGAATTCATGTTTATCACTAGTTATTGTATTCTTAGATTTTTTTCCTGGTGGCATTATATTGATAAATCAAGGAAATCAGTTTATTTTATGTAATCCTGGCTGGAGTTAACAGCTATTTGAACTATTAGCTGCTTCTGCGGGTTAATTTTGGCAAAATGCCCCGGGACAGTACTCAGCAGGAAAAACCAACTACCATGCATTATTTGAAGGTTGTATTTAAGTGACTATCTGTTTAGATCTCCCTGCTATTATAGCCTCTTTATAGTTTGTACGTCTATCCCTTATCAAAGATGTGAATTCATAGCTATTGAGGGCTGTGGTATGAGTTCATCTTAAGCTGTTCTGGATCAAATCTTTGCACTGTGAAATTATATAAATATTATTGCATCTGAAAACCGATTTGGCACTCCTTGAAGTTTTGACATTGATATAGTTTCTCTGCTTGTTCTGGCACTGATTCACTACCTTATGCAGGCACCTCAACAACAAAGAACTTTTTATGGCTTTGGCTCTGGTTCAAGTTCCTTTGGTAGAGGTCATACATATGGTGGTTTTAATCAAGGGCCCAGCTTGGGAAATGCATCCTTTAAGGGTGTGGGGACAAACAATCGTGGTTGGCTTTCCTTAGATAATAGTAGATGGCGTGGAAATAACGGTGTTTCTCTGTGTGGCTGCAATGGCAACCTTGATATCCTTAGTGAGCAAAACCGAGGACCAAGGGCCTCAAAGCCTAAGAATCAAAGCACAACAGAACAACCTGGTGCTTCAGTCGACAGTACCAAAAGCAGCAAATGCTCTCCAAAGGTCAATGACGACTCATACAACCGACAGGATTTCATTACTGAATATAAGGAGGCAAAATTCTTCATCATCAAATCATACAGTGAAGATAATGTCCACAAGAGCATTAAATATGGCGTTTGGGCCAGCACACCCAATGGAAACAAAAAATTGGATGCTGCTTATGCTGAAGCAAAGAAAGCAGATCCTTGTCCACTTTTCCTCCTATTTTCAGTAAGTATTCCTGCTCGGCGTATACTCTCTACAAAATGTGGAATTGGTTTGGCTTTGTCAATCATGATTATGATTGGATCACCTAATGCAGGTGTTTTTATTTGGGTTTTCCTTGGCTTTCTTACGCATTGACTCTGCGCAGGTTAACGCCAGTGCTCAGTTCTGTGGAGTTGCTGAAATGACTGGACCAGTAGATTTTGATAAGAGCGTGGATTACTGGCAGCAGGATAAATGGAGTGGGCAGTTCCCTGTTAAGTGGCACATTATTAAGGACGTTCCCAATAGTCAATTTCGCCATATAGTTCTGGAGAATAACGATAACAAGCCTGTCACTAATAGTCGGGACACGCAGGAGGTAGGATTCTCTTGCCAAGGAACTTTCATAAGCAACTTGAAATCTAAGCTAGGCCTGATCTTAACTTTAACTTGTGCAACGCTAACTGTCTGAAACATGCCCATTCTACAGGTGAAACTCGATCAGGGCATCGAGATGTTGAACATATTCAAGAACTATGAGACAGAGATGTCCATCTTGGACGACTTTGACTTTTATGAAGACAGACAGAAAGCATTGCAAGAAAGGAAATCCAGACAGCAGCAAGTGACTCCCATTCCTGACACTGCTGTTCCAGAAAATGAACAGAGAAAGGCAGTGAGCCCTCCCGGTACTTTTATCAAGCAGATGTCCAAGAGCTTTGCTCAGGTGGTGCGCTTAGACGATGATGCCAGCAAACAAAGCTGCAATGCAGGTGAGGCAGCTGTCCCCGTCCCATCAGATGGTTCCATGGGTGCCATGGGGATCCCACACCTCGAAGAAGTCGTGACGACGGCAGTCTCTACTGCTGCTGAAACTACCGGTGGGTAGGAATATACGTGATGACATCCTCGATATCCCATCCAGACGATCGTTCTGGCATGAGGTGGTTGTTTGGGCAGAGGATTTTCATTAGCGTGGTGCATGAAGCGATGACAGACAGTATTCTGCAAGTTCTGTCATGTCAGATCTTGTGAGAAGGTAGTTTTTGGCTTTGCTGCTCTTATTAGTTTTGTGATGGTGTCTCAGGTTTCCAGTTTGTTTGGTTTCTTTTAAGTTTTGGAAGTGTTAGAGGTTGGCATTATGAGTTCCTCCATGTGTAATATAATGCAATTTGAGCATTCAGGTAAAAGGGTTTTGCTTTTCCCCCCGCTGGACTCACCCCTTTCAATGCACTGCGTTTGCTGTTCTGCTGCTTTCAGATAATGTAGCAAGTGTAGACGAAAGGTTTCGAAAGTCTTGTTTTTTTTTAAAGAGAAATCCTCAAGTAATGGATTATATGACACTGCCAGAGAAATTGGTTGAATACTTGAATGGTTATATGGATTTCGTGAAAAAATTAAATTCTGTGCGTAAATAAGATTAGAATCTATGCTTAATTGGAAAAACTTGCATGAAAATATGGTATATATAGTTATGTACTTATGTACCAATTTTTCTGGTGACATCCTCGATAAAGATACACCATCCAAAGGAAAAGTCTGCCTTCTTTTAATATGCGCCTTTCCCTTTCCCATCATTTTCATAGCTCCTTAAACGTATAGGTTACCACAATTATATGAAGGTTTATCATAATTGTTCTCGTATGTTTTATTTTCCAGAATTGTAATCTAGCAACATCCACGAGTTTTTTTTATACGAAACAAAATCGAGAAGGAAACTGGAAAAAATAAATAACATGAAACAGCATCCACAAGTTTAATATTGAAATAATTACAAAGAATCCACAAGTTTAATATTGAAATAATTACACAGAATCGCTTGTCTCCCCCTCGTCCCCATTTTTGGGTGGTGGGAAATAGGGGCGAGAAAATGAATTATAATTGAGAATCCAATCTAATTAAAATTTGAACTTAAAGGATTTTCAATAAATATGATAATGGAACCCGAATATTGTGAATAATAAGTGGCCATAGTTTTTACGGTGTTCATTGCAAACTCGTTCGTTTATACACATGCATATGTGTATTTAAAATAGCGATTTGTTTTCTTTTATATTTATTATACTTATATAATATTTTCATGAATTTATATTGTCCAAAGGAATTTTGTTCATCCTAGTGATTTATTGTTATAATTGTTCTCTTATGTAATGTCGGTAGTGGTGGAGTCAGAAATCTAAATGAAGGGGGGAGGAGGACTCATTTGATTTGTGGTAATTGGAGAGGGGATTAAAGTCTTGCTGACTAATCAACTATTCAAATTTTGTTACGAATTTTGCATGTAATTTTAAATGAAGATCTCCTCCTCGGTTAAACCTAGCTCCGCCACGGAATGTTAGTATAAGTGCAATTTTGTGTGGATTGAAGCGATAAATAAAAATGATTATCCATTGGATAATCATGAATACCGAAATCCAATCTTGTATAATATGATTTTAATATTTTACCCGATTTTTGTATAATTATGGATAAAACACAAACTATTTTAAGTAGCTCAATCTGTTGCCATCATTCGGAGTGAGATATATTTATTTAGTATTATCTACAATAGACATTTTCATCCCAAAAAGAGAAGTTAAAGAAAAACATTTAACGTTTAAGAAAAGAGGTAGAGTTATGAGTTATCGGATTACATTCATTAGCCATCTCAAACACTTGTAGTGATGGTCAATCTTTGAATTCATCTTTGGGGTTTGACCTCTTCCTATTTATATAGAAATTGTATTACCGATTCATAGTAGCATGCGGTAGAATATGAGTGTTACTTCCTGCCTTATCCTCCAATATCCCACCACATTCTCAATTCGTTCAATCATAATTTGTCTAAATATCTAGCAACGTTTCTCTTATTTTTCGAAAATAATTAATTAATTATGCGGGGTTAAACTAAAGAACCCTAACATATTCAACCAAAAAAAAAACCAAACATAACTAGTAGGGCTGGGCATGCGGGCGGATCATCCGCGGGTTTGGGCCGACCCACCCGCATTTGACCCGAATTTCGTTAAGTGGGTGGGTCTGTGGGTGGGTGACGGGTTGCGCTGGGAGCCATCCGCCGGGTGGTGGGTGGGTTGTGGGTGAGTGTGCGGGTGACCCGCTCAACCCAACAGCAAAAAAATCAAAGTCGTTGGCGCTAGAGAGAGGAGAGTAGAGACGTTAGATATAAACTCGGACTGCTCCTGGAGTTTGAACCTCAAAGTCAACCTTCCAAATAGAGATCCCTTCTTCTTCCCTTTACTTTTTCCTCTAATTCTTGTGCCTAGATCACCGCTCTTTCCTTTGTGGAATTATTTTCCTTAGTTCCTTGCACCTAATAATCGTCTCAATCTGTAGAAAACTCTTTCATAATAGAATTTCTATCCAATTTAAGAACTAATTCGACATTTTTCGCCCTATTTCAACTTCTTGTTTCCCTCGATGATTCTCTTCACCTATTATCATGTCAAGTTGACTCCTTTATATTATATACATTGTGATGTGGGTGAACCCACAAACCCACCCGCATCATCCACCATCCGCCCGACCCAACCCGAGACTAAATGTGGGTGGGTGGTGGGTTAAAAATTATCAATCCGTTTAAGCGCGGGTGGGTGCATTTTATGGTCAAAATCCACCCGACCCACCCAATGCCCACTCCTAATAACTAGGGTTAAAACTTGAGTGATGCTGATGCATACCGAAACAGAGGTCGGAGGGGAAATATTCTTACCTATCTACCTAGCTCTCCTCCATTGCCCCTTCGGTAAAAAGTAAAAACTGTAAATTGCTAAAAGGAGGAGTTCAGTAAACTATGAGAAACAAACCAGATGGTCGTGGACCTGACCATATCCACATTTCCTCATAGGCCGCTCGCTTTCAGTTCCCCCAACTCAATTCCTGGCCGCCTCAGCGCATTCACATCACATGATGGCATGGGTTTAATCCCAAAGCCTATGCCACAAGAAGACGAAGATGCCGCGCCAATACTAGAAGAAGGAGAAGACGAAGACGAAGCAGAACCGCTGTGACAGATTGATGGCTGTGGCGATTCTCGAGTATTTCCACCCTCTTCGTAATGGATTCCAATCTTGGCTCCACAGTTCCGGTGCCGATTCCGGGATTTGGTTTCTGGGCTATGGCTGCGGATGGGCTACTCTTCTTTCCCTTCTCCTTTTAACCCTTTTCCACTTTTCCAGGCGCCTTCTCTTCTTCCTCTTTGCTTCTTCCTCGCCTCAACCTTCTCCTCTCTCTGCCGCCACTCCTAATCCGCTCTCGCCCTCTGGTTCTAACCCTGAATCCAGGTTGCTATCCTCGTGTTCCTTCCTTCTACCCCCACCTTTGCTTTACACTGCTGGGTTTCGTTTTTATCTTCATGTAATCATTTGGGTTCTTCTCATTCCATTGTTTGAATTGCGACCGAGGGTTTTCTTGTCTACCAACATATCACTTGTTAATTTGTGTAATGGTTGCCTTTTCCGCCGCAATATTCCCTTAGGCATTCTCACATGTGGATATTGCATAACATGAATCTGCGCTTGTTGGTCATAAACTTCAGTGTTGCGAAAGAATTGTTCAAAGCGATAGATACCATTTCATGACATGCTTTGCAAATTCATTTGGCAGAACGTCGGAGTTGGTATCAGAAGCAGATTTGAAGTTCTTGGTTAAAAATCTGGATGAGATTGACGAGAGTGAGAGCTGGGAAGCTGTTATAGATAAGAGAAACAATCTTCTACATTATAACGCAAAATGCTGCAAGCCCAAGGTTCAAGTCTCTTCCCTTGGTTACAATACTTGCTAACTTATCAATGTGTTCTCTTATGCTTTCTGCCGTTTACTCGTTCATTCTATGCCTTGTATTTCCCAAGTTCTAACTTAAGCAGTTTGCATACCAGGACAACAATCTTCTACATTATGCCCATTACTGTATTTTGAGAAAGTGAAGGATAAAATCCACCCGTCTGGTGCTTCCTGTCCATTATGTCTTTAGTTTCTTTCATTTATAAAACTGGAAGATCGTTCATTGACAACTGTATTTGTTGTAATATGCAGAACGCTCCTGTAAAGTACTTGAGCGTGACGGTTTTCGAGAACTGCACTCCTGAGCTGCTCAGGGACTTCTACATGGATAACAATTACAGAAAGCAATGGGACAAAACTGTAGTGGAACATGAGCAACTCCAGCTAGATCGGTCGAATGGAACTGAAATCGGTCGCACTATTAAGAAGTTCCCACTTTTGACACCTAGGGAGTACATTCTGGCATGGAGACTATGGGAAGGAAATGATAAAACGTATTACTGCTTTATTAAGGTACCAGCCTACTGTCTTATTTTTTTAGTCCAAAGTTGAATCCCCTACTTATATTCCTTTTTGGTGTGTGGTGGTGTTCTTCTGTGAACCAGCCTTTCATTTCCTAATGTGAATGATTCTTCTTGTATCCCTACTCCATTTTGCCTTTCAAAGAGTTCTTCCAGTTTAGCGAAAGATGCCTAACAATATGCTTGTGATAGGGATCTTTTCTTCAGTCTTTTTTCCCTGAACCTAGTGGCCTGATATATCTCTGCAGATGTGCTGCTACCATGCGATGGAAATGAATCACTTCAGTGGAATGAACTAAATGAAAAACCGACAGTAACAGTTAACTATATAACTGGATATTTGAACCTTGGATTATTGATACTGGATATTTGCTTCTGCTAGGTTTGTTGACTATATAACTTTCTGCTGACATGTTTTATTCATTATGTCTAGGAATGCGAACATCCGTCAGCACCATTACAGAGGAAGTGTGTGCGAGTCAGATACTTTAGATCTGGCTGGAGAATTAGGAAAGGCAAGTTCTTGAAACATTTGCTTATTGATCTCTTGTTGAACAGTTTGGCCTTGAAATGAGATCAAGCGAAAGCCAGAGGTCCCTTTCATTGTCAATTTGTAATTTTTGTTGGTCCTAGTTATGATGTTCCAAGCAATTTTCTGGGACCTCTAGGTTCAAAGCTCATTTGTGTTTTATCAACATGAAGGTTCTCCTAGTTGCTGCTCTCCGTGATTTCAATGGGAAAAGGCTGTGATGCTTTTAGATCTTACTATTTTAGACTGTAGCTATAGAGTTATGAATTCTAAACTAGTTGCATCATTTTTGTGTACGCACTACGCAGTACCTGGTAGGGATGCTTGTGAGATCAAAATGTATCACCAAGAAGATGCTGGTCTAAATGTAGAAATGGCGAAGTTGGCTTTTGCTAGGGGCATATGGAGTTACGTATGTAAAATGCATGCTGCACTATGCAAATACCCGTCTAGTAGTCAACCAGGAAGTGATCCTGCTACTGCACTCTCTCTGGTTCAGAAGGTGAGAGATCCATCACTGCAGCTTAGTTCCCTAAGAGCTGAAAAGTTGGTGCTTAGACTTTCAAATCTGTTACATTTACATAATGAAGTTCCAGTTAAAGTGCCACTTTTCTCTTGGCTCATATCTTCACAACGAGCATTCTTGCTGCAGATTCCTTCTGGAATCGAAACAACGGACAATTTCAAGGGCACTCCTGAGAATCCAACTGCACCTGCTGCTACTCTTGGCATGAGTATGATGGGGAGTAGGAAGAGGAAATTAGAGAGGCGGCAATCAGGGAAAGTGGTGGCAAACGGGCTGCTTCTGGTTGGAGGAGTCATCTGTCTATCCCGTGGTAACTGTAGCCTGGGAGCTAAAGTTGCCATGGGCTACCTCTTGACGAAACTTGGGAAACACAATGCTCGTCAATCAATTGGCGAGAGCTAGTGAGTGATCGTGACAGAGCAATAAAAGAGAGTATGATACATGTACCAGATAGTGGCAGGGTTGTGATTTTGTATTTTTGTTTTGTTTTTGGGTTAAATTGTTGCTTGATGCCTCTCATTCTTCTGTATAGGCAAGGAAAAATTATACAAGAGATGATGAAATTCCTTGTTGCTGATAAACTGATACTGCTGATGCAGCTTCAGAAGTTAGCTTACAATGGAATAAAAGAATTTGTAGATGTATTGTCCACTTCTCATTATATCTTTGCAACGAGTTCTCATTTGCTGGCTAGTGAGAATAAGTTTTAGGTTTTCAATGGAGTTATCCAACAAGGCCATAACGAGCTACATTGTTTACTAGTTGCTACCATCCATTCTCTCCCAAACACAACCCCTTATCTCGAAAGGAACACGACGGTTTCTTGAACTAGGAAAGAATGTCATGTTGTTGGACACTGATCTGTTCCCGGTCAACCTCGACTGTTCCGAAGTTGAGTTGTCTCCCTTCAAAACAAGGATGGGAAAAACAGAGGGGGCTGTGGGAGAAGGAGGGAGGTCCAGTCTCCAGTATTGTAACGAAAATAACCTTGTGTGTAGTTACAAGTTCAGTTACGAAGGTCAGAAAGTTTCCATTCTAAATAGCAAGTAATTTACAACGTGGACAAATGGTTTTGATGATCCAGTAGTTATAGCTAGCGTTCCTCCAAGCCATTCGCTGACTCTCTGCCTCTCTTTCCTCTCTGGACATTGACCAATTGAGGTCACTGTTTTGGTCATTCTTCTTTCCTTCCAAATATAGCCGATCACCAGAACATGCATCTCCCCATTTTCTAACCTTGTCTCTCTTTCTCTCTCTCTCTCTGTGTTTCCTAACCTTGTTCATTTGTTCACATCACTTCCCTTTCCTCATCTCCTAAAAACAGCCTTCTTTGCTCTGCGAATGATCCACAAAAAAAGAAAGAAATGAAATAGTTTCAAGTGGAAGGGGAAAAAAACAGAGCAAGAAACAGGGCAAGCAGGGGACAACATTTACCATCTCCTTCATCAAATCACCCTCCTCTTTCTTTCTCTCCTCCACTCGCTGGTTTGAATCAACATTCAGCAACATCCATTTGCGGTTGCTGCTGATGGAAACAGAGCTTCCATGAAAAGCGTGCTAGGAGTTTCTTCCTCTTCTGAATTATTTCGTCCAACCTAGGATTGGGTTTTCCTTGTGTGGTTCGGATTATGTGTTGGCGCCGTGTCTCGCATTGATAATCTGTGGGGTACGTTTTTTTCCGTCTGAGAAGAATGTACCCTAGCAGCTGCTCCTCCCTAGGGTTCCTGCTGCTCCTCTCTTTGATCCCTTTCGCCCTTTCCAAGACCAACTCTCAGGACGGTACGTACGCAATTTTTCAGTGCTTCTTCTGGTTGTGTTTTTGTTTTTAATCATGGTTTACACGAAAATGAAGGAAATGATTCATGCATTTTGCAGTGGCGGCTCTGAATGTGATGTACACGAGCTTGAATTCTCCGTCGAAGCTGGATGGGTGGAAGGCCAGCGGCGGGGACCCTTGTGGCGATTCCTGGGATGGAATTACATGCTCTGGCTCCAAAGTTACCGAAGTGTACGTATCCCAATAACTCGAATTGTCGCGCGCGTCGAGGATCAGGAATGAATGTATCTTACAACGATTGCGTGAATTGATCTAAATTTATTGCAGAAGATTATCAGGGATGGGACTGACAGGAACTCTGGGCTATCAGCTCTCGAACTTGAAATCCGTGACCTACTTGTAAACCCCCTTTCTTACATCATTTGAATCGGTTATCATATAATCAGCAAATGAATGTGTGATTTTTTGCCTTAGTACAGTGATGTGAGCAAGAACAAGCTCCAGAACCAGATTCCCTATCAACTCCCTCCAAATGCGGCTTACATGTATGATATTTTCATGTTCTATATTCTTTTCTTTTTCGGGTTAACTAATGTTTCATGACTCTTAGCTGTTATCGTTATTACGCACAGAGATCTTTCGAAGAACGCATTCACAGGCAATGTACCTTATTCTATCTCACTGATGTCTGACCTTGAGCATCTGTAAGTGCACTAAAAAAAGAAAAATAAATAAATAAATAAATTGCTGTTGATCATATATGTACTATCTCATTAATTTTATGTTTAATTGTATGATAGAGATGTTGGCAATAACAAGTTGAATGGGCAGCTCACTGACATGTTTCAGAAACTTCCCAAACTCAAAGTCATGTGAGTAACATTTGATGATACATTGAAAATCTTACATTTCAGTTCACTGGCGCCTTAAAATTAACGATTAAATTGTTGTTGGTGCGTGCAGGGATCTATCCAACAACCAATTGTCTGGGGATCTGCCGCAAAGTTTGTCATCCTTAAAAAGTTTGGCTCAATTGTATGAAACGTACCCCATAATAAGCCGCTTAATTTTCTTTGTTATTATCGTCATTATCGTTAAATCGTATTAGTGTTGGTAACGATTTCATCTCGCGGGGGCTCATCGATCATCCTCGTTCTGATTATGGTGAAATGTGGTTGGCATATAGGTTCTTGCAGAACAACAAATTCACAGGGAAAATCACAATGCTGGGGGACCTTCCACTGGACGAGCTGAACCTGGCCAACAACAAGTTCACCGGCTGGATCCCTGCCAAGCTTGAGGATATCAATAACCTAGAGTGAGTAACAATTAACAAACCCTAGCTAGCTACTCAATTACTTGATTTACACGGTACTTAATTTCTTTGATTTGATTTTGGTGTTTGTGTTTGTGTTGGGTGAATTTTTATAGTACCGATGGGAACAATTGGTCGAAAGGGCCGGCACCGCCGGGCCAGAAAAAGGCTGCGAATGCCGGGAAAGGCGGCGGAGGAGCTCGGATCTCGACCGGGGTGCTGATCGCTCTGATCGTGTTGGGAGTGGTCGTCATCGCTGCACTTCTCATCATCGTCTTCTTCTCCAGGAGGAAATCCTCTTCCCCTTCTTCTTTCCTCGACGACGAGGAGAAGAGCCACCACCAAAACCGCAAGTCGAACAATAATTTCACTCCTCTCACTTCTCAGGAGCTCTCCCACAACCCTCCTCCTCCGGTTCTGCCCCCTCATTTGCGCCAAGGCGCCCTAAGAGGTCAGTAAAGTTTACGTACACACGAGCAATGCAGTCAATGTCAGGGTTTTCTTGTAAAATCGAAAGCTGGAATAAAATCTTAATCATCGTAGGATTGTAAGGTTCATATAAAAACAAAAACTGGATCACTCTAACACTACAAGAAAATACACTTTCTGCGACGGAACAAAAGCGTCGCAGAAACCCTAAAATCCGTCGCAAAAACTTTATGCAACGGATTTCACCGTCGCAGAAGAGAAAAATCTTCCGTCGCCTATACAGCGTCGCAGAAAGTTCTGCGACGAATAAAAACTGGTTCGTCGCAGAAAACCTAAATTCGTCGCAGAAGTTTGACGATTTAGCGACGACCATGTCGTCGCAGAATGGGTATTCAGCGACGAAAATACCTCCGTTGCAGTAAGGAAGGTTATTTGGCGACGGAGTAGTTCGTCGCAGAAAGTTACATGATTTAGAAACGAAAAATTAAATTCGAGTTATTTACAATTTATCTTCTGGGTAATTTCAATATAGGTCACAATTCTTTTCGGGCTATTTCAGTATAGGTCACAATCATTCCCCGGGTTCGTTTTCTGGTTCATTCTTTTGTCAAACCTCAAATCAGCACCTCATCAAACCTAAAAATCAAGATTCCCCCAAATTAAGTGCTTTCAACTCATCCAAAATCCAGATTTGCTAAGTCAGATTTCTTAAACAATTTTTAAAAACAGAGCATATCCCGTTCGGAAGAGCAGATCTGGTTTCTTTCATTCGCTTTTCCTGTTCGAAGAGCAGATCTGGTCATCCTTCCCCGACTGGACCCAAATCGTTGCGCCCGGAGCCAAAATCCAGGCCACCTACCGATCTCTTTTCTTCTTGCCTCGTTCGAAACCAAAACCCAGAAGGAAAAATGTCATTATCCGTTCTTGAACCAGAAAACGAAAAGAAAAACACATGCAGGCCGAATCTTACCCGGATCTTCGCTTTTCTGATCAAGAGGAGCCGATTTGCCGCGGCCAAAGCCCAAAACCCTGGCCCCCCGTCGATCTTCCTTCAGCGCAATCGAACTCCGAGGCCACCGGCGATACCCGTTTCTTCCAGATTTCTTTTCTCATCGAGAGGATCATATTTTCCGCCGACGGTTTTAAGGGTTTTGTTGTCTACATGGGAGAAAAGACGAGAAAGGAAGAAGGGGAAAATTAAAGAATCGGAAGAGAGGAGGAAAAGATGAGTTGTTGTCTACATGGGAGAGAAGACAAGAGGAGGAAAAGATGAGTTGGGCGGCTAGGGTTTTCTACTCACTCCCCTCTCATCCTTTATATACTAAAGGATACTCAATTGACCAAACTACCCTTTCACCATGTCGCAGAACCAAAAAAAATCATACTCGGGGATTCGAACAGCTAACCTCGAGCTAACATCAACACACAGACAAATGTTTCAACCAACTAGACTACTACTAAACCGTATGTTAAATGTAACTTTTCGTTCTTATTCTACCCTTAGTCAAAGCCTAAGATTTCAAAAATCAAAACATTCTGTTAAACCTAATTCCAATTATCCTTGTACGTCTAAATCTTTTAAACACTTAATCATGTAGAGTTTATGGGACCAAAGCTCAAAGGTTATCTTCAATTAATTTACAAACCAAATATTATTCAATAAAGATATTTAAATAAAATGTCAAGATTTATCAATCTATTAAATAAACATATGTTTTTGTTGCCTTTTATAAATTAAACTTTCTTAATACGAAAATCACAATTCAATTGATTGCGATAAGGTTTTATTACTTAGTTATGTGCATAGGTACTCATCCACTAAACATTCTTAATTCTCAAAATGGCTCAAACATTCTGCAACGAAAGACAATCGTCGCAAAAAGTCTCGAACATCTGCGACGAAAGACAATCGTCGCAGAAAAGCTCAAAATATTCTGCGACGAAACGCATTTCGTCGCAGAAGTTTTCACATATTCTGCGACGAATATCGCTTCGTCACAAAAAGTCTAAAACATTCTGCGACGAAAATATGCGTCGCAGAAAATATCCAACTATTCCGCGACGACGACAGTCGTCGTAGAAAGTCCCCAGAACCTTTTGCGACGAAACAATTCATCGTGAAAAAGAAAAGACCGTCGCAAAATCCTATACCCCACCTATCACAGAATATTAACACAATCCGCGACGAAAATACAAAATTCGTTGCAAAATGTTCACTTTCTGCGACGAATTTTATGTCGTCGCAATAGAATCCGTCGCAAAAGGAGCATTTTCTTGTAGTGTAACAAGATATATCATGAATAATATAAAGACAACTAGCAACTAAATGATAGGTTTTCAAGGTAAATGATGGGAAGTGGTGAATCGGTGAGGATTAATGAGTTGACGTGAATTGTTGATGGTCGATGGTGACCAGTAAGAGAGAACTATATGATGTTGATGGAGGAGATAGAGAAAAACAAAAGACATTATATTCCGCTAATTTGGGAGAAAATAAGTTAATCTAACCCGAACATTTGATTTTATTCATTTAACTTGATTCGGTTTGGTCCAAATTCAATCGATTTAGTATAGAGACATACGATTTTAAAACTTTTAACCATTTAAATCATGAATAATGTAAGATTTTAAGGTCTGCAGACTTTATAGTGAAATCGCGATTGGAACATGTAAATAATATTGTAAGTTCGTAATATTTTAGAATTTAAATTTAAATTTTGACTAATCTACACTACACAAGACATAGAATTGGTTGATGAGATTTGCATGCATGCATGCAGAGTCATTCGAGTCGTCCAACTCGGTGGACGTCAAGACGCCCCAAAAGGCGCCGTCACAAGGCTACAACAAGCAGCCGCCGGCCGACTTCGCCCAGTCCCTCAACGACAACGTGTTCGCCAGCCGCCTCAACTCCAAGAAAGGCGGCGCCGCCAGGGCCGCCGTCCCCTACGCCCTGTCGGACCTGCAGAGCGCAACCGCCAGCTTCGCCGCGGGGCGGCTCCTCGGTGAAGGCTCCCTGGGCCGGGTCTACCGGGCCAAGTACGCCGACAACAAGGTCCTCGCCGTCAAAAAAATCGACTCCTCCTACTTCCACGATTCCAACAAGGACGGCGGCGACGAGTTCTCGGAGATCGTGGCGAGCATCTCGAAAGTGCACCACCCCAACATCGTGGAGCTGGTCGGGTTCTGTTCGGAGCAAGGCCACAACATGTTGGTGTACGAGTACTATCGGAACGGGTCGTTGCACGATTTTCTTCACAATTCCGGGGATTTCAGCAATCCGCTGACTTGGAATACCCGCGTCCGCATCGCCCTTGGCACTGCCCGGGCCGTCGAGTAATCCATTATTTATAACCTTGGTTCATTCTACTTTGTTCCTCTACTACTTTGGCAATCAATATTTGTTGTCTTTCTGGGGTTTCTCAGGTATCTCCACGAAGCGTGCTCGCCGTCGGTGATCCACAAGAACATCAAATCGTCGAACATTTTGCTGGACCTCGATCTGAATCCCCACCTTTGTGACTACGGCTTGGGAACCTTCCATACGGTATGTATTTTGTTTTTCATGATCGGATGATCGGATGCTGAATCAAAAAGTTAGTGGTTTGCGGTTTTATGGTTTATTGTTATAGAAATATTGATTATCGTTGATAGAATTATTCACGTGCAATAACATAAACGACATATATATTTTTTGTATTAAATTCAAGGTTAGTAATTAGGATACCCACATAAAAATAGTGATTCAAATTGGATGGTTTTAATTTACGTTTAAAGCATTCTTCTTCTTGATTTGGTTAAAAAATGGAGATTCGGCGGCGCGCGGACTAGTCAAATCGGTTGTTTTTTAGGTTTCACATTCGACCAGTGAAGAAACTGTTTGGTCCATTATTTTATTAATTGTCTAACAAATTGACCGAACTGGTTTGGTGATTCTACTTGCCCAACTGCTGATCCGATTCCGTTCTTATAACGTATACTACAAATTCGATATATGCATGCATGGATGTGTCCTTTTTTCACGTATATGCCTGTTGATTGACTTTTCGGACGATGAATAAACATGGCGGCGGGCGCATGCATTTGGCAGAGGACGAGCCAGAACCTAGGAGTAGGTTACAACGCGCCGGAGTGCACGACGCCGTCCGCCTACTCGATGAAGAGCGACATCTACAGCTTCGGCGTCGTCATGCTCGAGCTGCTCACCGGCCGGATGCCTTTTGACCAGTAAGAATTTTCTTTCTTTAATTGACGACCGATTCGAGTTGGTCATCTTAATTCATATATAAATTTAATATACTGAATTATTTTTTACGTACTCTCTGAATTTATAGCACAAAGCAGAAGTCGGAGCAAGCGCTGGTCCGGTGGGCGACGCCGCAGCTGCACGACATAGACGCGCTGGCGCAGATGGTGGACCCGGCGCTGCGGGGGCTCTACCCTCCCAAATCACTCTCCAGGTTCGCCGACATCATCGCGCTCTGCGTCCAGGCGGAGCCGGAGTTCCGGCCGGCGATGTCGGAGGTGGTGCAGTCGCTGGTGACGCTGGTGCAGCGGTCCAGTATGAACATGAAGGATGATCTCGCCGCTTCTCGTCGCACCGAAGACCTCGATTATTGAATCACTTGCATCAAAGATTCAACGTACTTCATAGCTGATTCCCTTTTGGATTTTACTACTAGTTGATTATATCAAGTTTCTTGTATTTCGGTTTTATAAAATTATAGTTGGGGTTGGAATATTGGTAAATTTGATGTAATTTGCTCATTCTTTTTTTTTTTCGTTGATGTATTTTTGCCATTTCTATTTGTAGAGGTACATTGTCGATTAGAATTCTTCTTTTAGGTTGAATAAAGTTTTTGTTCGAAGGAAGTTATGGTTGCATTAATATATGATATTTAAACCATGATTAGTAAATGAAGTCGTCGAGATTTAAACATAAGATCTCTTTGTTATCAACCGCTCTATTATCATATCAAATATTATTTTTCAAGGCAAGTCCAAAAGATATGGTAAACGACTTAATTACAATACTTACTTTGACCCTACAGGCCTACACGGTGATTAATTAATATGCAACCGAGCAATCGATGGAAAAGCAGCTTGTTACGCCACAACATTGGCAGCTTTGAAGAAGGTCCGAAGAGTAAAAAGACACGCCCTAACCAACAAATGCATAGCTTTCTTCGACAAAGCATGTTAAATCACTAGTTATGAGTCGTTATAATAAATCTCAAAATTAAATAAATAAAAAACACTAGATCACACAGTATTTCTATAACATCCCGAACATTTTCCCGACGAAGATTTTGTCCGCCTTGGGTCTCGTCCCCTCACAGTTTTTGGTTTGGGGTGCAATTCAAGGTTGACTTCCGATAAAGTCGCTCATACTTGTTGTACTTCACACTGAGCACGTTTAACTTCGGAGTTCTCACAAGAACTCTTCCATTTCACCCCAAAATGCGTCTTGTCAGTTAAGACCGATTTCTTACTTATGAACAATGGATCTCTCTCATACTTTGTCGATGTGGGATTCGCGTGTTACAATTTCGATTAGAAAGTAATACATCAATAAAAAAATATCGAGGATATCTTTTAAAACAAAGGATAAAATACCAACCTACATATACCTGTATAGTGTATAACAGTATGGATGTGGGCTTAAATTTGACGGTCCATTAAGGCATCAATTGTAGGTGAAGTGGAAGCTCGGAGTCCGCAGAACTTGTGTGCAGCTGCACATTACGCCACGACAAGACAACGGCCCAACAACAGAGACCCATCCATGTAACGACGTCGTATGACTCCTTCGGCAATCGACCTCTCCCATCTTTCTTCTGTTTTCGCCATTGTTGGCTCTGATTTGATCTCCGGAGCTGTGATTCAAGTCCGCTCTCCCCAAAAACCTCCCTAAAACCCCTCGCCCGCAGCACACACACATATATAGAGGCAGAGCGAGTTCAGCAAGCTATGTTAGGCAGCCGCTTACTGTCCTCTGTTCTGAAGAGGAATAGACCAAACGCAATCTGCAATATCGGGCGGAAGCTGCCGCAACCCTCGCCGCATTTCAGCCGGCAGCATTTCAAGGAACTTCCGACCTCTCCCTCGAGATCCTTCTTCCACGCCTTTCGATCTCTTCCCAAGGTAAGCATAGTAAATTTCTTCCAAAGACGCTAGCTTTGGGTCTTTTTTGTTTTGTGTTCTTTTTGTGCTGTGACTCCAGAGACTGCAATTTCAATTCTTGAATTTGATTGACAATAGGGTCATAATGTGGGTTCGATGAGGAACTCTTCGACTGTGGCATCAGTTGGATTGGAGAGTAAGGAAGGGGTGAAGCTACTGGTTACAGCAGGGCCTCACGCTCGGAAGATGGTGGGGATTTGGCTCTTTGGCTCGGCTGCCTGGGTTTTCAGTATGGTCATACTTGGCGGTGTTACTAGACTCACCCGTTCTGGTCTTTCCATGACTGATTGGAAATTCACCGGTCAGCTCCCTCCTCTTTCCGATGAAGAATGGTCCAAAGAGTTCGAGAAATATAAGCAATCCCCAGAGTACAAACGGTTAGTGGGCACCAACCCAAGTCTATAACCATTGCTTTTGCATTGCTGGTTTCGGCTTCTAAGAATTGCCAAAATGCTAGTTTACTAGAGGTAGTAGGGAAATGGTGGTGTGAACAAAGGGATGAGCATTCATGACTTGTAAATGTTATAGGTCAAGCTCGCATTGCATACTTACTTGATTGTTCATTGGCAACCTGTCGCAGTGTGAACAAAGGGATGAGCCTTGATGATTTCAAATTTATTTATTGGATGGAATATGGTCATCGTATGTGGGGGAGGGCACTTGGTTTGATGTTTGCTGTCCCATTTTCGTATTTCCTGCGTAAAGGATATATAACAGTGCAACTTGGACTAAGACTCTCTGGTCTATTTGCCCTTGGTGCTGGGCAGGGTATGATTGGTTGGTGGATGGTCAAGAGTGGTTTGGAGGTGAGAAACGCTAGCCTCTTTTCCTGATAAGCCTGTCTCTATTGTTTCCATGGATGCCTTAATTGTAAATTTGAAAAGCGCTTTCTGTGCAGGAACCAGCATCTGAATATGCTGAGCCTAGAGTTAGTCCTTACCGTCTAGCAGCGCATCTCACTTCAGCATTTGCTATCTATACCGGCCTTTTCTGGACTGCACTTTCTGTTGTGATGCCTGAACCGCCTGCAGAATCCGTCACTTGGGTCCGGGGAGCAGCAAAAGTTAAGAGACTTGCTCTTCCTGTGGGCCTTATTGTTGGTATCACTGCTGTATCAGGAGCATTTGTAGCTGGCAATGATGCTGTGAGTGACAAATTAGCATCCATTTTGCTCCATATTCTGCTTTTGCTTTGCTGGCTTTGGTATGTGATTAGAAAATGATTGCATATTAAAGCAGTGTTCTTTTCCTTCTTACCACTATAGGGACGTGCATACAACACTTTCCCCAAAATGGGCGATACCTGGATTCCTGATGGCATATTCGAGATGAAGCCATTAATTCGAAACTTCTTTGAGAACACAGCAACAGTTCAGGTAATCTCCCTTGGTTTCCTTCTATCAATTGACTGCTTAAGCCTTAAGAGCCAGTAAATTGCCCTTGTGCTTAACCAGGAGATGGAAAGCCCTCAAGAGCGATTGTCCAAAGAAAGTATAGGAAGAACAATCCGGTCTTTATGGATAAGTAGTTATAGGTTATGGTAAATAAGGAGTCATGCTGGTCTAGGAGAACATAGAAAGGGCATTTAGTGTGTAGTTACTGATTTGCAGCGTGGTTTGTTGCAGCTTGACCATCGCATCCTTGCCACAACAACTTTAGCTTCAATAAGTGCTTTGTGGTGGTTCACAAGGAAGGTAGATCTACACCCTGCAGTGCGAAGTTTGATCGGCAGCACTGTGGGCATGACATTACTCCAGGTATATCTGGCAATCAGGTTACTGTTACATCTGCCGTTCATTCTTGGTGGATCTTCACTCTTCTGTGAGTGTGTAATGTGAGATGTTGCTCATTGCTCTTACAGGTAAGCTTGGGTATATCAACGCTCCTGTCGTACGTACCTGTTTCTCTTGGCACTGCGCATCAAGCTGGGGCATTGACGCTTCTAACACTGATGATGCTGCTCAATCATACCGTGCGGAAGCCTTCTTTGCCCCTTCTGAAATCCCTGCCTCAAGTGGCAAAGCCACTATTTTGATACAGCATTTGAAAGAGATTAGAGTAGTGAATATTTAGTTCATTAGGTACACAATATTGTCAAAGGGATTTTGGTTGGTCTCTTTTTCATTGCAAATTTGAAGGACGTAGTATCCTTATGTCTATTACAAAATAATACAGATCGAAGCCAATTCTTAAAGCTGATGAACTCAGCTGTTCTTTTTCAGTCTCTTGATCGGTCTTTGACAATTGACGGCCTTGATATTACTATCCTGGGTTGGATCGTTGAATCGGCCAAGCAACTAGCTTGCAGTTTCACCCGTTGAACCAGGCCATTTCTGCTAAAAATTGAACAGAAGCATATGTTTACTGAAGACAATAGACCCAAACTAAAATATCGTGCATAGACAACAGCGTCCCATAGCCGCCAAGAGAAGCAGTAAGAATTACACCAGACGCAACTACTACAACAATAATCTCATAAATGAAACTTGTCAAATTACCGGATTGCATAATCAAAACAATTTTGGGAGAGAACCAAAAATTGTGCAACTCGCTCGTCAGCCTGTATGCATACTAAATTGATAACAATGGCAGTCGGGCCTTCTGCTAAATTTGTTAAGGTTACTGCCTTGGAGCGTTACTCTCAGCTTCAAGCCGTGCACTCTCTAACTTCAATAACTCCAGTTCCTGAATGAGCCTATTCAGCTTCTCAGTATTCTCTTCCTGAATATGAGGCGGTACTTTCTCTTTGTACCCTGTGGTGCTTATGTTCTTCTCTATTTTTTCCCGTTGCCTGCGGAATATGGAACAACAAACCAGGTGGTGAATAAGGTGCCAGTGGCAAAAAGAGGTTGGAATGCCGCAAGAGATGCCATGCAAAATTCTGCACTCCATAGGCCATAGATAGTAACATTACTTTCCGAACTCGTGAGGTAAAAAATCATATAGTATACCACCTATAATTGAAAGCTCACGCAATATTACGAGTGACTGAAAAGAGCTAACTCACTTCTGTATGTCATCCATTTTACTTCTGATCTTCTCTCGCTCTGCTGCTGTATCAACCTTCCCTTCTTTCTTGAGATACACTTTAAGGTTCTCGTTGACAATCTCAAAAGCACATCCAGTGGGAGGAGCATCTATCCCACTCACTAGGACCTGTGAACCATGTTGCTCTTAGAAAAATGGTTGCCGCACAGTGACTTTCTCAAGCAAAGACAGAAATGCATTTTCATTTATTTCATAATACTGGCACTGGGGAATAGAGGTACAATTTGAACTGCCGACTTCACTCTTAGATTAGGAAAGAAGGTAGCACCCACTTGATGCTATTAGAAATTTGCAGGACAAAAAAGGAAGTTCCAAACTAAAAAGCCAAGCACAAACTCCTACGAAATATGACAATCAAGAATATCTGTCCCAATTCTAGGACCATTATTTCTCCAAACATAGACCATAACTAAAAGCACAATGAAAACTTGAATGAATTCGCAAATGGAATTTAAGATCATACCTTTAAGGATGATAAGCTTCCAAGAGTTATAATCTCCAACTCACGCCCTCTAATAATTTCTGCAACTGCTTCACTTTGGCAAAATGCAAAAGCTGGTAATCTGAAATAAATTGGACTCATTGAGACATAATGCTGTACAGGTCAATCCACAAGATACCAAATAGGCATCCCGCGTCACACATGGTACGGTAAAGGCATTACAAGTAAGGTCCTTTATCATGCTGGTATTTTAGTTTCAGAATCCTCGATCACTGATGTCAGATTACGAACTGATTATCTATGGTCACTTTAATTATACTGTGCTGCACCATCAACACAACACCTTTCTTGGGAAAGTGGTGTTGGATTATGTATCATATTAAGATGAAATATCAGCATTGGTTGATTGAGAAGCAACCGTGCATGTACACATTGACAAGCAGAGTGATATTACTAGCATGAAAGTGCAAGTGAGCAAGTGACACACAGAGAATCGGAGGGTGAATTATCTAAAACAACAAAGTCTTGCCTTTCATTTGTCTGCTTTTCAAGCACCGCAACCCGAAGCGATCTTAGACTTTTCCAAGTTGATCGAGCAAGCTCCATTTCGTTTTCCACCAATATATTGTTCCAAACCTACATACCAAAAAGAATTAAAAAATCCACAATGAAGAAACTGACTCAAGCTTGCGATACTAAGCTATCTACAACAGTTTTCACCACTCTTCGGGTACTTGAATAAAAGTCATCCGAGAATAGTGAATGTAACATAAAGGGATTGAAAATAAGAGTCATCATCACACGAAAGCCATCTTCAGACTGTCTGGAAGCATATAACCTTCCTAAACTGCCACAATTGTTTACCTCTACCGGTGATGGGTAGTCTGCTACCATAATAGAGTCTTTCTTTGCATGGCTGCTAGCTGAAGGAAGGCGTTGCCACAATTCTTCAGTAACAAACGGCATAAATGGATGCAGTAGCCGCAAGCCATTGTCCAAGCATACCCAGAGAGTGTCCTGTGCCGCACTTCGTTCCACGGAAAATGACGAACTGTTGCCAGCAAAGTAAGGCTTAATTGCTTCAATGAAAACATCACAGAACTCATACTGCCACCATGAAAAGACTTCGCTGGACGCATCAGAGAACTCATATGCATCCATTGCAGTCACAGTTTTTGATATGGCCTTGTTCAGGACTGTGAGAATCCACTTGCAGCTAAAGGGCAAGGTCTCATAAGCTAAAGTTGAAGGCGGGGTGTAATCTGCATCAAGTTTGCCCATTGCAAATCTAACAGCATTCCACAGCTTATTGCACCACTGACGATATCCAACCACTCTTTGGATGTCCAAATTTATCTTATCGGACTGAAATTTCGAAAATGTGAAATAGGATGAGCAATAATAGGTCAAAATAGAGGAAACTAACTTACAAACCAAAGTTAAGCCTATAAAGAACAGAAGCAAGAACCTGAGCAGTATATGAAACAAGGGCAAAGCGTAGTGCATCTGCACCACATTCTGCAATACCATCAGGGAAGTCTTTCTTCTGACCCTCTTTCGCAGTGGCCAGCTCGTTTTGATCCAAGTTCCCCTCTTCAAGTCTCTTGTGAAGCCCCTGAAGGCTTACCCCATTTATTACTTCCAGTGGGTCAACAACATTTCCAAGAGATTTAGACATCTTGCGGCCATGTGCATCACGAATCATTGGATGCAAGTACACCTGCACATAAAACATGAATCCATTAACTAAATTTCAAAGAATATTTTACAGCATGTAGACCCAAGGCCGATGTTTCTACTTTTATTCTGATGAATCGGAATGCAGTCATTGGCTTTATGTAGATAAGTAACCCACCTTAGAGAAAGGCACATCACCTCCCAGTTTCATGCCTAGCATAACCATGCGTGCAACCCAGAAGAACAAAATGTCATGCCCAGTTTCAAGAACTGAAGTAGGATAAAACGCTTTCAAGTCGTCTGTCTCATCAGGCCATCCTAAAACAGACAATGGAAACAATCCAGAGGAGAACCATGTATCCAGCACATCAGGATCTTGATTCATCTTGAACTTCTTCCCAGCAAATCTACTGTTAGCCACTTCCAAAGCTTCATTCTCATTTCTTCCAACCACCCAGTGGTCATTATATGCACCTTGTTCCTTCAAATCATCGTCTTCAAGCGTAACATACCATGCAGGAATTCGATGACCCCACCAAAGCTGCCTTGAGATGCACCAATCGCGAATGTTTTCAAGCCATCTGCAACATTTGCTCACGCAAACGCAGAAACGTAAATAGGTAGCTTACAAACTATGCCACGAGAAATTAACACAAACTTGGCATTTGATCAACTTTAGTTTGGAAATGTCCACAACTCGACACTAAAGTACTTAATGTTCAAATCAAACCTGTTTTATATGAACCACATTATTTCAACCAATCAAGTTCCAACCAATCGACGATAGTCAGGTCATCATAGACCACTAGAAAACCAGCTAGTTGACTAACACGTAGAAACCCGGTTCGATAGTGAAATTGGATGGGCTAGGAAGCAGAAAATATTTAACACCAAGGATAGAGCCATTTATTTCAATCAGCTGATTCCCACAAGAAAGGAGAAGAGAACCTTTTCCATTCCGCCAAATATTGTTTCGGGATGAACTGAAGCTTTGGAGTTTCACCCTCTGTTGCAGCGTCAAGGGCCTGCTTAGCTATGCTACCACAGTTAACGAACCATTGAGGCTTTATCATTGGCTCAATAACATCATTGCTTCTTGAACAGAATCCAAGGCGCATCTCATTAATTTTGTCACCTCTGTACAATCCCTACAGAAAGCAATGAAGTTAGTCATAGATACTAGTCGTAACAGAAAAATTAATGAAAATCCAAAACAAAGTGCAGAACAAGAATCTGGGTTCATCACATATAATGCACAGAATCATTGGCAGAGACCCGCTCAAGGTACTAGAAACACAAAGTTCTACCTTACAAGGAGTGAGTTACAGGCCTTTGTGCCAGCATGTGGCATAGCTCTATGTTTTAACACTTGAGAGTTTGTATCAGAAAATAGAACAGACGAAAGTAGAAAATAGATTCCGCTTCAAAGACCAGAAAAGAATTAAACCAAGAGAGAATAAGACAGTCTTGAATTGCTCTACCTTCTCTCTCAAAGCATTAATCACCACCTCACGGGCCTTGAACCGTGGCATCCCAGTGAACTCTGGTCCACCATTGCTGTTGATCTTACCATCATCCGTAAATATATTTATAAATTCAAGATTATGGGCCTTCCCAACCTTAAAATCATTGGGATCATGGGCTGGAGTAATCTGAGAAGAGAGCAGGACCACAAAGAATTATTGAAATATCAATACGTGGGATAATTTGAAAAGAAGATATGGAAAATTACCTTCACAGCACCAGTTCCGAAAGTGGGATCAACAGTTTCTTTATCACATATTATAGGAAGCTTTCTTCCATTAAATGGATGTACTGCAAATTTTCCATGTAGATGGATGTATCTCTTGTCATCAGGATGGATAGCAATAGCAGTGTCACCAAGCATTGTTTCAACCCTGGTAGTGGCAACTACTATTTCACCTAGCTCTCCCTCCAGTGGATAAGCAAATAAGGTCAATACACCAAATTCAGCCTCTTTTTCATAACCTGGTACCTTCAACTTGGTTCTCTCCTTGATGTCCATATAATCTACCTACATATAGAGAACACAAGTAACTTTGATGTCAGAATAAGAAAACAAACAAAGAAAGAAAGTAACAGCTTACCTCAATATCAGATATTGCTGTACGCAAGGTGCAATCCCAGTTCACTAGCCGAAGATCCCTGCACAAGAAAGACAATCATTGTTATCTCAACCAAAAGAAAACAAGCGGTCAATTAAGTTTTTCTTTCATTTATGTTTCACCAGTTGGTGTTTGCACAATTTCGTATCTTGCAACAAAAGATAGTACATGAAGAGAATCATTAACTGATCTAAAGATATGAATTCCGTATCACTTCACGACAATAAGCAGGCATCTTAAAAATTAAACAGATACTCTGAAAACTATATCTGGGGAACTTGATCATTCATTTGGCATCAGATTCATTGTCACACTTAGTGGATGACAGAAGGTTGGAAAAACAGTGCATCTTCTAGACAGAGGCATGATTGTCACGTGTTAAAGTCCTTCAGCATCAATCATTCCATACCTATAGATGAGACCTTCTTCGTATAACCTAACAAACTCCTCTGTTATAGCCCTTGATCTTTTCTCATCCATTGTGAAACACTGTAAAGCAGGTACAAGAAGTAAATATCACAAATCAAGCGAACAGTTACTGGCAGACAAATAGTAACACATCAGACATAGCCAAAGCCGAAGATAGCACTTGAAGCTTTTACCTCACGAGACCAGTCAAGAGAAGCACCCAACCTTCGCAACTGCCTCAGTATTGTACCACCATATTCCTCCTTCCATTTCCAAACCTTTAGAGGGAAAAATAACAAACACGAAAGGAAGATTAACGGTAATTTCCTTACTTTGTTGACCAAATAGTAAAACATCGATGGTTAAACTGACCTCAGCTACAAATTGCTCGCGACCAATATCATGCCTAGTTAGATGGCGTTCACGCATTAACTTCTTCTCTACAACAACCTGCAAAGGTCATTCAGACATTTCTGTTAGTACCCAAGACATAGAACTGGATGCTTCTCATGATATATCATGCACAGCGCAACATGTTACTTCATTTCTTTGTCATGATTCCCGATATAATTGTGCAGAATTCATACAAATAAACAGCACTCCATCAGCTTTGAATACCATTCCCATCACTCTCAAGGTACACAGGATGATTCTTGCACATCAGACACGGCTCTGTGATTCAGACAGGGATTGATACCAACTAAGGACCATGCAGGAAAACAAATAAACCCCTTCAGACAAAAAAAGCACATGCTCCAACTACAAAATTGATTTGGAAGTTTTCTCGGATGGAGGATAAATGGCAACAATGGTGAATGAACAGAAAGAGACATTCAAGGAAGAAAATTTTAGTTATCAGAATTTCGCCCAAATGTAATTATACAATTAGTAACCTGTGTAGCTATCCCAGCATGGTCCACACCGGGCACCCATAAGGCATTAAAGCCAGACATTCTCTTCCAGCGAATGATTAGATCCTGCATATGCCAATCTGGAACTTAGTAACATAAATGATATATAAAAAGATTGAACAAGAAACCAATTTGACAAACGTAGGGCAACCTCTATGGCAGCAGTAAGTGCATGGCCAATGTGTAGGGCCCCAGTCACATTTGGAGGTGGAAGAACCTGCAAAATGTGCACCAACAATTTTAGCCCTGCAGAGTCATTCCGGGTAATTAAAATTAAGGAACAAGGGGGAACAGAGCACTGGAGAATATAGTATCTTCTTTTTGTTTTTCTTTTGAACAGTAGAATATAGCGCCTCTAAAACCAGGAAAGAGCAATAAGCAAATGTTATTCAAACTACAGAATAAGGTCAATCACCCAGATTTGAAAAGGGAGCAGAAGGGAAATTGGTGCTGATTGTTGAACAAAGCAAGAAATTTGAAAAGCAAAAGTCTAGGGCTCACTGATACTCTTTCTTATCAACCGTACTCTACTCTAGCTTTTGATTACGCCAATTTTACATCCAAGCTTGTGCTTCTAAACTTCAATGCAATTCTATCTCAGCAAGTGGCCAAGGCAGAACTGAAGAGTATCATATCAACTCCAGCCTTGATCATTCCTAACCTAGTAAGTGGCCAGAATTATACTCTGGCTCAGATTATATATTCCTTTTCTTTTTCTTTTTGATGATTCTCCTGGACAAGTTATCACAAAGCCAAAATCCGCCCATATAGTTATATAGCAACAATTTGGACTACATAAAAACCACAGTCAACCAATTTATTTAACCACAGAGAGCTCTAAACACATTTTGACATTTCCATATAGGGGCACAATGAAATCTTTAAGAACGCGATGGCACTGATAACCTGTGATGCTCGTCTCACTTCCTATATCAATTATGAACCATAAGCACACACAATAAAAACATCCTTGGTATATGTGGATGGCTCAGGGTTACTATATCCAAGAATCCATCTACACATTGTGCCCGAAGACTACTGGCATATCAATAAAACAGCTATCTAAGACCATTAAATTTCTAAAACACGGCATGGTATTTTGTCGTCATTATCCGAAAATGTCAGTAAAGACAATCGAGGAGCAAAGGAACTTACAATGACAAATGGTGGTTTGGTGCTCTTAGCATCCGCCACAAAGTAGCCCTCTTTTTCCCACCAAGGATACCATCTAAAAATTCACAGAAAAGAAGGCGTAAAGGCGCTGAACTCATCAACTCATCAAGTAAAAGAAAACTAGGACCAAGACAGACTTACGATTTCTCAACTGCAGTCGGGTTATACTGTTTTGCCATTTTAGCGGAAAGCTTTTTCTTATCACCGAGATTTGTCTCCGGATCGACAAAATCCTCCGGGTTCTCATCGCCGCCAGCATCTCGCTTTGCAGCCTTCTTAGCAGCACTCTTTTTAGCAGCATCAGGACCTTGTGCCTGATTGTAAAACCATCGGGATAAAGATTGGCCCCTCTGTGCTATCAAGCCATGAAACAGAAATTGAGAAAGTAAAAGAGAAGGAAAATTCTCACCTTCAGCTTATCAGCAGCGGCCTTCTTCTCGGCAGCTTTTTGCTTCTTCATTTCTTTTTCCTTAGCCTAACAGTACAAGAGGATAAACAGGAAACCCCTCAATATGCGGAAGAAGCAAGCAATCTATTACATTTCACTGAACCGAGGTGGGAAAATTAAGATGAGAAAAAGGGAAAGAGAATCAGACCTTTTCTTCTTTCTTCTTCTTCCGCTCTATTTCTTCAGGAGTCTCGGCCTTCTTTTCAACTCCTGACTGCGCTCATTCCACATCGAACATAATTAAAATCAATAGTTTTTGCTTGTTTCAGAAATTGAACTACGGGAGTGCAGAGAAAAAGCAGAAACTAAGGAAGAAGATAGAGCACCATGTTAGCGGCGGAGGCGGAGGCGGAACGCAGATGGATGGGCCGGCGAAAAGATGAAGCGAAGGTGGAAGCGAACAAGCTGCTGTGGCAGATGTTGAAGATGGCGGAGAGGGTGTTGTTGATACGCGCCAGAGCAGCGTGGACTGAGAGTGAGGAGTAAGAAGGAAATAAAACGCCCACTTAAACCCTATTCGTTTCCTCCCTCTCTTGTAATTTTTTTTTTTTTTATAGGTCTCTCTTGTAATTTTCACTTCCGGTTTGTGACTTTTGATTACTACTCTGACTTTGCCAAAGAAAAAAAAAATAATAATATCTATATTTTACCCAAACCTTTTTTAGATTCTTTTATTTTAACCAAACTTATTGAATTCCTAAAAATTATCCAAACGTTAATTCTCTGTCAACTTTTCTGTTAGTAATGCTGACTAAGTATGACCATAATGAGTTGACTTCCTACGTGGCGGTCAGAATACCATCATTTACTATTTTTAATAAAAAGATTATCAAAAAATAAAACAAAATCCCACCTCTCACGTGGACGAAATAAGTAATGGTAACAGAATGAATGCCCAGACTTTGATAAATTATAATACGTTTGGATAATAAACAGAATTTCTATAGGTTTGGTTAAAATAAAAGAATCTGAAAAAGTTTTGGGTAAAAAATAGACATTGCCCAAAAAAAAACGTCCACTTAAACCCTTTGGCATTTAGTATACTTTTTACCCTTTTCATGGCTGGGAAAGGATTCGGTGGAAAAAAAGGTAAATTGCAAGGTTGGTGTCCGGTACTAAAATATTTACGTTTCGTCACTAAAGTATTTTATTTCATTCGTGGTTATTGAAAGTGGTTAAACGTTTTACGTTTGGTCAATCTTTGTTAGCTTTCACTGACATCGTCAGTGTATTGTAACGTGACTAACAGAAGTGATGAGTCACCAAATTTTAACCTGAAAAAATTGAAACCGACCAGCCACATAAGATCTTAACATGCCACCTAGGGGTGGGAAACGGGACGAGATTGGGTACCCGTCCCATTTAAAGATCAAAGTTCATCCCATATCCCATACCCGGACGGGAAACGGGTACTCGGTAACCCATACGGGACGGATAACGGGTACCCGAACTACCCGTTTATACCCGTTCAATATGGGCACTGTTGATGTCGGGGTTGTAGCCGACGTCGAATTTTTTATGTTGAGCACCGGAGTCAGTCGACGGCCACCTTTCACCTCGAACTTCACTCGTGATGTTAGCTCCGGTCGTCTCCTGCAAAAAGGGTCCGCCGGCCGATCTCGGCGGGGACACTCTCCGACGCTCAAGTTAGTGAGGGTGCTGAGTGGAGAGGAATATGATCTCGAAAAGAAAGATGAGGGAATGGAGTTGAGAATGAATATCTGCGCTAATCATAGCGCGAGTTCACGAGTCTAGGCATGGGAAATTTTTGCTTACCTCAATCTGGAGATGAAGTGGCCTTTTATAGAGGCTCCCAGGCGAACATGAAGGGAGTACGTGTCTCCTTCGAGATCTTGGTGATTTGGTCGGTGGACACGTTGCGGGGGTACGTGGCCAAAGGTTGAGGTGACCTGGGGTGGGCGGAGAGCCCAAGGTAGCCGAGGTGACCCAGGGTATTTGACCCCGGGGTGGCCAGAGTGACCCAAGGTATTTGCCCCCAGGGTGGCCTGAGTGACCTCACGGTGACCTAAGGTATTTGACTCGGGTGACCGGAGTGAGACCGGGGTGGGCTAGGTGACCCAAGGTTGAGGTGACCTGGGGTGACCTGAGTGACCCCAAGGTGGCCGGGGTGACCCAAGGTATTTGACCCCGGGGTGGCCGGAGCGACCCAAAGGTGACCCAAGGTATTTGACCCCGGGGTGGCCTGAGTGACCCCACGGTGACCCAAGGTATTTGACCCCGGTGACCGGAGTGAGTCCGGGGTGGCCTGGGTGACCCAAGGTATTTGACCCCGGAGTGGCCGGAGTGATCCCAAAGTGACCCAAGGTATTTGACCCGGGTGGCCGGAGTGACCCCACGGTGACCCAAGGTATTTGACCCCGAGGTGGCCGGAGCGACCCAAAGTATTTGACCCCGGGGTGGCCTGAGTGATCCCAAGGTGATCCAAGATATTTGACCCGGGTGACCGGAGTGACCTCGGGGTGGGCTAGGTGACCCAAGGTATTTGACCTGGGTGACCGGAGTGAGCCCGAGGTGGCCAGAGTGACTCCAAGGTGACCCAAGGTATTTGACCCGGGTGACCGGAGTGAGCCCGAGGTGGCCAGAGTGACTCCAAGGTGACCCAAGGTATTTGACCCGGGTGACCGGAGTGACCTCGGGGTGGGGTTGTTTCCATCCAATAAAATAAAATTTTCTTAGGGTCCACTAGGAACAATTACAAAATCACATGGAACAAAATATTAAAATTAAACTTCAATTAAACTGTCCAACATGAAAAGAAAGTTGTTGTCTCCATGATTAACAACATCAAAATGAAGGATATTGTCCCCAACTCCCTTAATAACCCACTGCCAACATGAAAAGATAATCCAAGCTACTATCTCCATAATAACATGATGAAAATTAAAGTTGCCCCCTTAAGAACCCACTGTCAACAACGTGATTCCAAGAAATGAAACTGGCACATTCAACAACATGAAAAGATAATATATAAAAAAAAGCTATTGTCTCCCAGAATTAACTTGTGCACATTCAACAACATGAAATTGGCGGTTGTAGAGCAGCAGGCAGCAGCTGCAGCCTAGTTCCATGGAGAGGAGAGTAATCCCTTTAGGGCCGAGTGAGGGAGTGGTGGTTGAGAGGGCCTGGCGCCCTAGTCTGGATGAAGAAATGGGTTGGACTATGACTGGGCTTGGGCTGGGTTTTAATTTGGTTAAATGGATTTAATTATTTTAATGGGTAATACGGGTACCAAAACTATCCAAACGGGTATTAGCAGGGATTTAATTATTTTAATTGTATTTTCTGGAGATGACCGGGGAAAAAGGTTCGTCGGCGATGCAAGGTTGAAGAAGGAAGGAGAAAAGCAACAACAAATTGGCTTGGGTCAAGAGGTGTAGGGAATAGAGATGGGGCAGGTCGCGGGTTTTAACTTGCAAGGGTTTAAATTGAGTTGGGTTATGGATTGAGTTTTTTTATGTGGCGGGTCAAATATATATTTTTTTGTTGTTGTTAAAATTGGGTGACTCATCCTTCTGTCAGCCACGTCGGTAAAATACTAATGGTGTTAATAGAGGCTGATGGAGAGTTACCAAACGTGAAATATTTAACCACTTTCAGTGATCATGAATGGAATAACACACTTTTAGTGACCAAACATGAACTTGTTAGCACTTCCAGTGACCAATCCTGCAATTTATCTTTGGAAAAAATTACTAACTTATACAAATCTCAAATCTAAGTCTTTGATATGTTTTAATAAACTTCATAAATTTTCAATTACGGGATAATAGTTTCAGTACAATAACCATAAAAGGGTTGTTATTCGTCGCCCTAAACTTCATATTTGTCGCCCTAACCTTCATTAAAATGACTTAAATACCCTTAATTGACCACCACTACTTCGCCCATTGCCCATCGTGCCGCCGCCATTAAATCGATTTGCCTCTTCAAGACCCGCGATTTGCTGGCCCCTGAACTCATTCACCGTCGCGCTAGTTAAATTCTCTTTTCACTTTTCCCTGCAAATTAGTTACATTTTCAGATAATCATAATTCATAAGTAGTTAACTACTGCAAAATTGGAATGGTAATTGTTGGCTTTTGAATTTAGCTTCGGGAAAAAGTCTTGGGCGTTGCCCTGTTGCCTTGGAATGGCTGGGAATTTTTAATTTCAATCATTGATTGATTCTACAATGAAATGAACGCTAGGGTGGATGATAAGAAGTCGGAAATTGATTGATCTTTGGTGCCCCGTACAGACCTTCATTGTTCTTAATAAATGCTAGAAATGAACGAATGAAATTGCATGTGTGTTGGAAAAAGAAACAACAGCAGCGGGTCGGTGGGCGGCTGGGGAACGACAGCGGCGGACCAAGCTGCAGATTCTTCTTCCTTCTCGTAGGGAGACCAGCGCTCAGACCTTCTACGGTTCTACCTCATGCTTCTTCTTTCTCCTTCCTCAGCAACAACAGGTTGGCGGAGTGTGGGGAATGAGAGCGGTGGCAGGTTTGGGGAACGACACCGGTGGTCGGATGGTTGGTGGGCTGGACGGCAATCCATGTTAGCGATTAGTGATTGAAATTGGGTATAGGGGTATAAATGTCAATTTAGTACGATTTAGGGTGAAGTCATTTAAATTTTAGTGCGACGAATAGCGATTCAGTAACCATAAAGATGAAAGAAAAAATAGGTGACCTAATCAACCATATTTCTGTTTCTTCCGAGCAATTCTCACCACTAAGTGAGCTCCACCATCTCTTCACATTCACCATTTCATTTGCTATCCCCCTTACCTCCTCCTCGATTGTTTTGATTTTCATCATCAATCGTTCTTCTCAATTCAATTTCCTGATTAGGGCCTAGCAGTTCGATTCCAAAACCACGAGTTTGAAATCGTGCATATCGATCGTTTTTACAGTCCATATGGCAGCATGTACCTTTTGCGAGCTCTGATGACCAACAAAACCTTGTTCTTTCCTCAACCTCCATCAGAAAACCTCCACTCCCATTTCTGATTACTGGCACAAAACCAACCCCCTCCCATAGCTAGCACCGCATCGTCCACATTAAGTTTATAAACCCTCATATCTTATTTCTCTTTAACTTTATGTTCTTCGATTCAACGCATTCAATTAGGCCGACAATGAATTCATAAAAAATTCTTCTATAAGTCAATTTAACTTTTAAGAGTAAGATGGATGGACTGATCCGCCACTTCCCTGCTTTTTTGGCAGATTTAATCGATTAGGTCGTCTTCCATTTTGGATGGTTTCTTAGCTGGGTTTTGTTTTGCAAGGAATGGTGGCGGAGGGTAGGCAGAACGAAGTGTGGGCAGATGGGAACTGGGAAGAAAAGGGACGGTTGATACTTGATATATGGTAGAACTCATTTTTACGTTGTTTTTTTACAATAATCAATCATAAAAAAAAATGGGAAGTGTAACATCCATAATCTTTTTCCCGACGAAGATATTGTCTGCTTAGGGCCTCAACCCTCACGGTTTTCGACATGGGGTGCAATTCAAGGTGATTTTCCATAATGTCACACATCCTTGTTGTACTCCACATCGAGCACGTTTAACTTCGGAGTTCTCACAAGAACTCGTCCATTTCACCCCAAAATGCGTCTTATCAGTTAAGGTCGGTTTTCTTACTTATGAATCATGGATCTCTCCCGTGCTTTGTCGATGTGGGATTCGCCTAAGATGTTACATACACCCCCCCTTGGGACTCAACGCCCTCGTTGAGGTTTGCCCCACCATCGTTCAAGAGGGACGCGGAGAGGCTCTAATACCACTTGTAACATCCCAAACCTTTTCCCGATAAGATACTGTCCGCTTTGGGCCTCGACCCTCACGGTTTTCGACATGGGGTGCAATTCAAGGTGACTTCCCATAATGTCACCCATCCTTGTTGAACGATGTGGGATTCGCCTAATCTCATTAACTCTAAATGATTGACCCTAAAACATTTGTCCTCGGTCCTCACCACCAAAATCCAAAATTTATGAACCTCAATACCCTTTTTTAAACAAACCTAGAACCTGAGATGCCTAAACCCTAAATTCCAAGCTCTAAATCCTAACCCTTTTTTTCCCAAAAAATGTCAATAGAGAAAAACTATACAATCTACCCATGACCATGAGACCTCCCAACCCACTACATCAGTGAAGCCATCCTAAATCCTAACCCTTATCCCTCTAAAAATTAATACGTTGAACCTTGAATTGGTAATCCTTATACTTAGTACTTACCCTTGCCTTGAATTGCTAAAGCTTATACTTACCCTTAATTTATAAAAATGAACTCTAATGTCCAAAATCCTAAAGGCTGAACTCTAACTTACAACTCGTAAAACTAGAAAACTAATCCTTGAATCCTCTAAAATCTAATCTCTAATCCCAAAGTATCAATAAGCCCTTAGCATGTCGAATAATCGATAATATTCTAAGATACATATGAAATTTCTTAATTAGGTCGACTGTTTTTCTTTTATTACTTTGATCGACTAACATTTTTCATTTGATCGAATTTGAGAGTTAAAATTTCTTAAAAGTAGTGTGTGCTTAAGCATATATCCTGCGAGTTCGTGTATTTTGTTTAGGTTATGTTTTAGATTTGTTTTCAATGAATAATCTTGAAATCTGATTTCATATTCATACGTCTTTCTATCGTATTTATTACGTACATATTTTTATTTTATTTTTTAATTTTGAAGTATTCAATGTTTCGCTATGAGTTACCAATGAAAAGCCCAAAGATCCAAAACCAAATTTATCCCTCCTTATTTTACTAGGTTATCTTTCCTATGTTTTGAAACGTAAGTCTACTAATATGCATTCATTGAATGTCAACTTGCCATGATATTTGTGATGCCATGATTCCATCATAACAAAATCTCAGTCAAATTACATTCGGTCAAATTGTTTTATTTAAGGAGGTAATGAAAAGAACTAGAAAAATTATAAACCAACTTTACCCAATAACACAAGAGGTTTGTACTTTGTAGTAACCAAAAGTTTCAATTAAATCGAATCTATGTCAAATTAAAATCCACTCCAACTCGCAAGCTGCAACCAAAAGTCGTTGCCAGCTTGAACACAATCCACCTGATATCAAAAAGCTTTCTCCTCATACTCCGCAAGTTCCAGACAGTGCAATCCTCGTGTTTCTGCATCTCTCAGTTGGAAACGAACGAGCAATGAAGGAAGCCAGAACCTGGTTTCGCCTTTCACTTCACCATCCCCTGAAGCAGCTGCTGCTGCATTACCTACTACTACTACTACTACTCATCATCATCTCACTCAATTAAACCTCCCAATCACTTGCTTCATTCAACAACGAAACCGATCGACTAGCCTTGCTGGAATTCAAGAACGCAATAACCAACGACCCAGATGGAGCCCTCACCTCCTGGAACAGCACCGTCCATTTCTGCAGATGGGCTGGAATCTCCTGCAGCCCGGAACAGAGGGTCATCGCTCTGTCTCTGCCGCGATCCAATCTCGAAGGCGCTCTGTCTCCACACGCTGGCAACCTGAGCTTCCTACAATCCCTCGACCTCAAAGGCAACCGCTTTCGCGGGCACATCCCGCAGGAATTCGGGAACCTCCTCCGCCTCCAGACGCTGAACCTCTCCGCCAACTCGCTCCTCGGCGAGATCCCGGTCAACCTCACTCGCTGCTCCCGGCTCAGGGAAATATGGCTGACCGACAACGCCCTCGTCGGCGGCATCCCTGAAGAAGTCGGGCTCTGGCCAAACATAGAGGTCATCAGGGTGTCGAAAAACCAGCTCACAGGTTCCATTCCTGCTTCTCTCGGGAACCTGTCGAAGCTCCAGAACTTCGGAGCGGCGTATAACCATCTGTCCGGACGAATTCCTGAAACCGTGGCTCGGCTCTCCAGATTAAGCCGGTTCGTCGTGGGAATAAACCAACTGAATGGTACCATCCCTCCGTCTCTTTACAACTTGTCATCCATGACCATCTTGACGCTAGTTTACAACCAATTCCAAGGCACAATCCCGATGGACATCGGATTCACCCTCCCCAATCTCCAGAGCTACGGGATCTCACTGAACTGGATGTCTGGGCCCATCCCTGCATCCTTGTGCAATGCTTCTCAAATGCAGGACATGAACATGAACAGGAATAGCTTCTCGGGGAGCATCCCGACTTGTTTCGGGAGCCTCCCGAATCTTTTGTATTACAATTCCGGGTTGAACAACCTCGGAACGAATTCATCTGGCGATTTGGAGTTCATTACAGGGTTGAGCAACTGCAGTCAGCTGCAGGAGTTGGGTGTCAGCTTGAATAATCTTGGTGGGGAATTACCCGATTCCGTCGCCAATTTGTCAGCGAAACTCTATCAGTTCGATGTTTCGTTTAATTCCATTCGAGGGAACATCCCTGGAGGGCTGCAGAATCTGGCCAGCTTGAATAAATTGGACCTGTCTTATAACCTGTTCACCGGGCAACTTCCTTCCTACTTCAGCAAGTTCCAGAGCTTACAGGGGATGTGGATGGCGGAGAACCAATTGTCTGGGGGGATTCCATCCTACATCGGAAACCTGAGTGGGTTAACTCAGCTCGACGTTTCTAACAACAACCTTGAAGGCGTCGTTCCTCGGAGTCTAGGAAGCTGCCAACAACTGAACCTCCTGGATCTCTCTGCCAACGGACTCACCGGCCAGATACCAAGAGAGATTTTCAATCTTTCCTCCCTCTCCATTGGGTTCAACCTATCTCGCAACTCATTGGCTGGTCACATCCCTTATGAAATCGGGAGTTTAGAGATTGTGGAAGCTCTAGATTTGTCTTACAATTCCATGATTGGAGGAATCCCTGACACGATTGGCGAGTGCAAGAGCCTAAAAGCTCTGTTTCTGCAGGGGAACTCTTTTACTGGAAGTATTCCTCCAACATTAGGCTCACTGCAAGTCATGAAAAGTTTGGATCTTTCTCTGAACAATCTCACAGGTGGGATTCCTCCGGGCTTGCAAGACATACAAACCATGCAGTATCTCAATCTTTCATTCAATCGCCTGCAAGGTGAGGTTCCGACGAAAGGGGTCTTCACCAATGCGAGTGGCGTATCTGTTATTGGGAATCTCATGCTCTGTGATGGTGTCGCAGAGCTCCATTTACCGGATTGCCCGATCGAACGAACAACGAATGGGAAAAGAGTTGTTAAGCTTACGCTCATAATTGTTTTGGTGTCTGTATTTGTACTTTCTCTAGCAGGATTACTACTTCATTGTAAGATGAGGAGATCAAAGAAGAAAATTTCAGATGGAAGTTCTGCACTAAGCCACTTCGTCATGGTTTCTTACAAAGACCTTCATCAAGGAACAAATGGGTTCTCGCCCGAGAACTTGATTGGATCCGGTGGCTTTGGCACAGGAATCTGGTTAGAATCCTAACTTCGTCAGTGCACTTTGACTGAGTGCAATGCACTGAAAAATGTCAGGCACAGGAATCTGGTTAGAATCCTAACTTATTGCTCTAGCTTGGATCGCAAGGGCAAAGAATTCAAGGCTCTAGTCTTTGAGTACATGCCCAATGGGAGCCTAGAGGAGTGGTTGCACTCTAGTCGAAACTTGACCTTGATCCAAAGGCTCAACATCGCAGCAGATGTGGCATCTGGGTTGTACTATCTTCACGATCTCTGCGAAACTCCAATAGTTCATTGTGACGTGAAACCTAGCAATCTCGATGCCGACATGGTTGCGCACGTCAGTGATTTTGGTCTGGCTAGGGTTTTGTCAACTAACGTCAACAACTCGTCTCAAACCAAAAGTAGCACCATCGGAATTAAGGGAACAATTGGTTATGCCCCTCCAGGTGACACCAAAAGTTCAAATAATCATCCAGTTCTTCTTTCACATATTCACTTTGAATAGGCTGTGTATTAGATGTTGACTCATTGTTTTTTCTAATGCCATGCAGAGTACGGAATGGGAATTGTAGTGTCAAAGGAAGGAGACGTGTATAGTTATGGGATACTCCTGCTAGAGATATTCACAGGGAAGAGGCCCACATCTGAAATGTTTGGAGAAGGCGTGAATATACATGACTTTGTGAAAGCAGCCATTCCTAACAACATATTATCAGTGCTAGACCCATTGATGATACTTTCAGTAGCGACATGTGGTCTCAGAGCGTTTGGAGCTTCTGTTGGGGGAGTTGAAATCGAGGAGATGGTATTGACAGAAAGTGCGAGAAATTGCTTGCTCGCGGTGCTTGAAATTGCTGTGGGTTGCTCAACAGAGTTTCCAAGTGAACGTATGAAGATGGCTGATGTTGCCAAAAAGCTCATTTCTATTCGGGATGGTTTCATTGCATCAACAAGTGTCTCAAGGCAACGCAGGACAGAACGAGGCTAACTGGTTTTCTAGGTGAGAGAATCTTTAGGAAAAGCATTTTATTTCTACCGAGCTAGAACAAGAAGCCAATGTCTATAGTAAACCAAAGTCATCGTTTAATACTTATTTTGCTTCAATCTCGACTTGGGTTGTTTGCTTGATGGATTTGGTGATGGATTTGGATCCATCATGGACTTTGTCCAAATTCCATTGTTTGCTTAATGTATTTAGAGGTAGCAAACTCGTGGGCCCCACAAACTTTAAGAGTCCAAATCCGTGGGGTCTACGGACTTGAAAGTTTCACCATTGTAGTGGGAATTGATCATGGACTTTCAAGTCCATCATTTATGACTAATTTGCCCTTACTACTTCCTTTCTCTTGTCATACCAATGAGGGCAATATAGGTCAATTTCACTTAATACATACAAATCTAATAAACCAAATCAATCATGAAATCTATGAAGCAAACAATGTTATTTTTCAAGTCCATAATGGACCTAAAGCTCTCATATATCCATGGTTTTACAAAATCCAAACACAGGGGTATCCTAACTTTAACACAATCATCGCTTTTGTCGATCATTTTGCAGCCCAACTCGAAAATATTGTTGGTGGAATCTTAAATTGTTCCCCACCACACAAATCAAGACTGATACCCCGAATTTTGTATCGGGACCGAGTTTCTTCATGTTTAGTGTTTTTTTCTTTTTCTTTTTTCTTTTTTGCTGAGCATGATCACAATTGAATCCAAACACATGGGTATCCTAACTTTAACACAATCATCGCTTTTGCCGATCATTTTGCAGCCCAACTCAAAATATTGTTGGCGGAATCTTAAGTTGTTCCCCACCATTGTTTCCCAAGGACGCTACCACGAGTTTTGTATCAGGACCGAGTTTCATCCTCTTTAGTGTTTTTTTTCCTTTTCTTTTTCCTTTTTGTTGAGCATGATCACAATTGATCGCAAACACATGGGTGTTCGCTAGGTTTACGTCTATAGTCCATTGTGTTTCACATAACAATTATTGCCTACTAGGTTTTCACCTCTATTGTAGCAACTATCCACTTTTCGCACCATTTTGCAACCCAACTCAAACACTGTCGGTTGAATCCTTAGTTGTCGTCTTCCACTTTTTGCAATGACCGCGACCAAATATCCATACTAGATATGCTCTGTCCAATCCTCAACATCGCTCACCAATTCGCAACCTTCTCAAAGCACTGTCAACGTAATCCTAAGTTGTCCCCCCTCCACCGTTTCCCAATGCCGCTACCAAAAATCCATACCATATCTACTCAATGTTGGCCAGTTTTGTGTCGGGACCAAATTTTGTCCGCTTTAGTGTTTTTTTCTTTCACTTTCTCCTTTTTTGTTGAGCATGATCACTATTGAACCCAAAATCCAAGGATATCCAACCTAATTCGATCCGGTCAAAGCGACTTGAAACCTACTTTAGAATTTATAACTTTCTCTTTTTTTTTTCTTTTTGTTGGGAAGACAATTAAACTCGAATTTAAGGTATTGACGAGTGTTGTATTGTGAGCGAGCTTTATCTGCTTTTATAGTTGGCAGGTTGGACCAAGTGTTAATTTGTTAAATAAATTGTTCAAAGCGAGTTGAACACGTTGTTAACCAGTTTTAGATCGAAAGCGAGTTTTGTATGCTTTAATATTTTTTCATTTCTCATTTTTCTTTTCGTTGAGAATGACAATTGAACTCTGACCCTTTTTTACGCGTTTTGTATCGAGAGCGAGTTTTATCCGCTTTTGTAATTGACAGGTTGGGTAAATTGTGAATTTTTTAAAACTAGGTCGACCCAGTCAAAGCGAGTTGAACGTAGTGTTGAGAGTTTGGGGTCAAGAGTGAGTTTTATCCGCTTTAGTATTTTTTTTCTTTTTCCTTTTGGTTAAGAATGACAATTGAGTCCAAACGCATGGGTTTACAACCTAATTTGACCCGACCAAAGCGACTTGAACCCGATTTTACAGGTTTTGGCGGGAGCGCGTTTTATCTGTTTTTGTAATTGGCGGGTTGTGCCAGGTGTGATTTTCCCCAAAACTCGATTCAACCAAGTCAAAGCGAGTTGAACCTGGTGTTGACGAGTTTTGAGTCGGTAGCGAGTTTTAGCTTTTAGTATTTTTCATTTTGCTTTTTCCTTTTGCTTGAGAAAGATGATTGAACCCAAATCCATGACCATTCAACCTAATTTGATCCGATCAATGCGAGTTGAACCTCCTCAACCATGCAATCAGTCCAAAAATTTCATAAAGGAGAACCAAGATTACCTCAAACCATAAAAAAAGAGGCAAAGGAGTACGACTATGTTTGGCCAGAATTGTGAACTTTTATGTTTCAAAAGTTGAATCCAAGGCAAACACCTCTAAAGTTTTGATTTTTTTAAAAAATGAAGTTTTTCGAACTTAAAAGCAGAAGCTCTGATTTGAAAATACAAAATTGTCCTTACCATATATTATTCTTTTTCTAGAAAATATAATTTTCTTTCATTTATATCATTATAAAAAAATAAATTAAAAATATTATTATTTAATATGAAATAAATCTAACGCGATCCATTCTAAATACTAATTATTACTCTTTAAAATAATAATTTTTATGATACGCGAAGTGACAGTTAGGGGACTTTTGTTAGTAATTTAAATCGGAGAAAAAACTGATGATTTCGATTCGGAGATAATTGTGTGATGTTTGGAAAATCAAACCTCCTTTTTATAGGTCGTTTGTTTACTTAACGGCGGAAGTGACGGGATAACCGCATGGTTTGCCGGGATAACGGCGGCGTGACAAATGAAATGGTATTTTATTACTTCAAACAAAATTCTCTAGTCTCTAATTTTTATATAATTCTTGCATCTGGAAACTCTGGACTGGAGCAACAAAAATGGCTTTTTGCGATTGTCGCATTCCCAAATCCAGCTCTCGCCTCCATATATCTTAATCCACCTGTTAATTTGAATTCGGATCGAAGCTCTTAGCTGACAATAGTCAAAAGATAGCGACAATGGTGTATTTCTTTTTTATTATCGCGCTTCGATACTCGAGGAGTAGCTCTGCCCAGTGTGCGTGTAACTGTACACCGTAGATTCCTTTCGTTCTCTCTCTCCCTGCCATTTTTGAAATCCATTACACAACGAAGTAATTGCTTTGCCTCCCTTTGTTTAGCAGTAGTATTGTAACCTGCTCAACTGTTCGCCCAGTCCGCATTCAACTCTCCCTCCACGGTTTCCGATTGTTTCTGTTTCTTTTCTCTGCTGATAAACCCTCGGAAGGGAGCAAGGGAAATCAGTTCTTGTTAATTTGGGGGGTTTCCTGAGGAAAAAGTCGCAGATTGGGTCAATATCAGGCGCGTCTGATCACTGATGTCGCTCTCTGATCGCCATTGACGTATTTCTTGTACAAAGTTGGGGGACAAAAAGAAGAGGCGAGGCACCTCGGAGAACTTTCCGCTGCTTCCGTTTTCAGAGCGTACTCTACTCCTGACCTGAGCTAGAAAGCTGTTTGGGTAATGCTGCTGTTTCGCTTCGTAATCAGAGGTCTGCTCTTTTCCTTGCTTCTTTACCTTTTGCATTTTGCCGGCCTTTCTTGGGAATTTTTCACTCAACTGGAAAACCTACCTTTTGTTTATACCTGGCCCCTTCTCTGCATCACTCGCTTGTTTCTTTGCATTGCATTGACACATCTCTTTCTGCGGCAGCTGGAATCTCAAATCAGGGATGTCTGGTATTTTGTTCTATTGTGTGTTTTTTGTTTTTGGAGCAACTATTTGTATTTTTGCCATTGGGGACTGAGAGAGAGAGAGAGAGAGAGAGAGAGGTGGTGGTGGTGAAGGACTGAAATGGTGATGAAGAAGATTCATTAATACAGTGGTGGGGATGAGATGAGATGAGATGAGGGCAACAATAATCGTTCTTCTGTGAGGTGGAAGTGAGGGACCACTGGATTTTGTCCCTTGTTTTTGTGGATTAATCCCCACTTCTTCATCATCATTGCCCCATAGATTGCAGAAAAGCTTCCTGTAAAGCCAAAAAAGCTTTGTTTTTTTCAATTTTTCCCCATTCTCTGTTTCAATACCCACTAGCTTCATCCTTTTGCTTCCCTTTTGAAAAAGAGATCACATGCGAAATCTCTGTTGATTCCCTCTCTTTTTCTGCATTCCCAAAATCCCTCCCTTTTTTGAATTTCTGCTCCTCTAGGCCAAAAGCGCCCAAAAGTCTGTCTATCAATTCCTTGTTTCTCTCACACAAACTCGACTCAACAGTTGGTTGTGAAGGTATGGCTGTCAACTTCTGTTGTATTAGTTGAGTCTCTCCAATCTACCCCACTTCTTCCTTCCCTTTCTCCCATTTTCCTCCTTGTCGAAGAACAGTTCCTTTTAACCACTTTGCTTTTCTTCCCCAGTTTCTCTCTTTTCTTCCCCTTTATTAATAATTTAGTGCTCGATGGGCGGTGGTGGATGGAGGGTTGTTGGCTGCAGATATCTATCCTTTCCAACTATAGCAATATGAAATGAAAATCTGCTACTTGTCAAAATTTAACAATGCCCTTTTCTCTTTTTGATCTCAATCATATCCTCATAAGTTTCATAAGTTTCTTGTTCTTCACTCCCGTTTTTTCTTCCTTCTCTGACTTCCATGCGGTGAAAGTTGTAATTAGCATGTAAGGTACTGTTGCCGCAACAACTATAATGGTGTTTGTACATTTTGCTTTCTTTCATTTACTACTGACTTTCCTTTTCGAGCTCCTCTGAAACTCAAACTCGTGTTCATGTATGCTTGTCTTGAAAATGACTGGTAGCTGAGGCATTGATGAATGTGTTGTACTCATCACGTGTTAACAGGTTGGCACGGTTTATTTCTTATGATCTTTCTTTGCTGTTTCTTTTTGGGATTTTCATTGTGGACAAAGATCCTCTCCCAGTCCCAGATTCCCAGTATAATAATTCCAGTCTTTCATCCTTCATTGAAGTAAGCCTCGAGTATTAATGAAACTTGTTTGTGCATGGATTAATCCTCGTCGTACAGTGACCAAGCTAACTGGGAGATCTTAGGATGTGTATCTTCTGATAAAAGCCACAAGCCAAGCTCACAAGATGTGCGACTCTCCTGCCACTGGATCTTCCTTCAGCCAGTATGAGTTTTTGTTCTTTCCTTGTCTTCAGTTATATATGCTGCTCAGCTTCCTTCCAGTGGTGATCTTTTGCTTTTCTCACCTGGTATTCTCCTCAGGAATGAAACCATCTGCAGAACTTTGACTTCTGGTACAACATGTGGCAACTCAGGAACTCGATTACATCCTGTGAATGAACATTCGTGTTGTGATTCTACATTACAGGTCAGAATTCGCTATTATTGAGCCTTGCATTCTCTGATTCAGTTTTATATAAGTTCGGATATCAATATTGCACCTTTGCCGCCTTTAGATGCCAAACAATCGAAGGCTGAACTGGTTGGTATTGGGTGAACATCAACTTAACAAGTGGTTGTTATTTACTTATATAAAAAAATTGCTGTTTTGTCTGTACTTATATGAGGAAAGCTCCAATTAGTTGGTAGGTCCGTACAAACTCTTGTGTTATCTAAAGCTTAAGGCTTATGCTTGAGGCTTTCTTTCAAATTTTCTTCTCAACACTTTCTTGTGTTTCATTTCAAATAGAAATAATTCAGTATATACCTTTTCATTTTTCTTGTGCAAGATAAAGTTAAATACAGAGACACATGCATATTGACATTTCAATTGGCAAATTTCAGGTCAGCAATATTGCAGAAGGTACTAGTAGCTCAGGTTCAAGTACCACTTGCACTACTTTTCATCCTTACAGAATCCAGCTTGAGAAAGATGTAAGTTAATGTCATTCCTGAAGTCTCACATTTTCCCTTAGTTTGTTTCCACTTGCCCCCCTTTCATGTATTTTCGATTAAAAGTTCCTGTGAAACCAGTAGTAGTACTGTGGTTTGTGTATATGGTAATGGTATATCATCGGAATGATGGTCTGTGTTGTTTACCGGAGACATGTTCAATGTACAAGTCAAGATACTTAAACTAGTGGTCGGGTAAGGTGCAGGCTTAGAATGGATATGAAGAATGTCATTATTCAGATACTGAGGAAGTTACATGGATAGGCCAGTCAATCTAATATATGCGAAGTGTTCTATTACATTTGACTAAAGATTTACTTTTACTTGCCGGAGTTGTGCCATTGGAGTATGATTGGGCACCTTAATTCCTGATATTTTCAATGTTTAACTAGAGCATCCAACGAAGTTGCGCTAATTGCTTCAGAATATGTATGTGATTTTGAAACAGGTGCAAAGGTTAGAACAACAGTTGCAAGCGGAGATGGACATGCATGTGATACTGGAAAATGCAATTGAGGAAAGCTCAGTGAAATTTTCTTGCGCATCATGCCTTCCACACCAAGTATGTGACTGAATTAGTTCGAGAGTTTCATGACTCTCATATGCCTGTAATGCATCAAGAAAGCAATCTTTCTGGAGTATAAGGGAGCCTTCATCCATTGTGATTTGGCATTCCCTTCAAATGTGCACATGCTTTGTGTTCATAACCTATTTAGGAGATACAGCTCTTTGTTTCTCAAGTTTTGGTCCTCTAATGGAATATACTTTGGTATCTAGATTCAAAATGGACAAAGTCATGCACTAAAACTTCATTGTACTAGTTTGTTCATAGTTTGCTCTGAAGATAGTTGGAAGGTGTTGAGACCTTGTAGTGAAATTAAGAGTTTTTCTACACGTCCTAAATTGGGGGATCATTTCCTTTGTTCTATCGTGCCAACTAACTAGACTTTGTTAAAGCTCATTTACTATCAAGAGAAGTAAAAAAAAAAAAAATGTTTAGACTGTTGCTATTACCATTGTTTTGCTTGCTTGGAAAATTTTGCCACCTCTGGAATGTTCTTAAACATTCTTTATTCTCAAGCAGTTGATATTTGGATTTTTCGTACAGGCTCAGGAGCTCCTTTCCACTATTGCCATACTGGAAGTCACAGTTACAGAGCTTGAACAAAAAATTGTCTCGTTACATTTCCAGCTTAGTCAAGAGAAAAATGAGCGGCGGCTTGCGGAATATCGACTGAAGCATGAATCATTGCCATCAGTTTCTGATTGCTCCTCCGACTATACCAAAAAAATGGTAATAAGTCTGGTATCTCTAAAAATGTGGATTTCCAGCGAAGCAATGAGTATTTTATTACTTAATATGATATTCCTCGTCGTCATGATCCTATTAGGTCGCCTCTCTTTTTATATTATGTTTGCATAAGATTCCATTATGTTCTTCTTTATTATCACGTTATATGTTTCGACATCTCTGTGTAACCCTACTTGTTGGATTACTGTCAGTTTTAATATATACACATCAACAGTCACTATCTGATAATTGCTACCATGGTTGTTCGTCTTGACCTATTAGAAACTATGTGCAGTTCCTTGTTTGAATAATATTCGAAACACCGATTCTATGCTTACTGTAATTTATCTGATCTCAAAAGCGTGGTTAAACTTTCAGTAAGCCTAAGAATTCTGGAACACTCCTGCTGTGACCTTACGAGGAAACCATGCCCTTAGCTGTTTGCTGTAGCATGCCTCCACTTCTAGCTTCGGGCAAAGTTGTACCAATCCCATGAATAACCCATCTATCCTTTTTCCTAACTACTCAATGCCATTAGTTCAACGCTATACTCGTTGAAGAAAAAAAATGCAGTAACTGGCAATAGGTAGAAAATAGACATTCGCCGTATGGCTTTACTAATAAGCTTCAGAATCGATCCATGTACTTGCTAGTAGAACAGAATTCTGAGATGCAAAATATATATACGTCTGATTCAGATTCAATATTTACCCCTTTTAGTAGTCTTGCAAAGAAAACTTTCGGGATTTCTTCTTTGGTACTCAATTTGATTTATCTTATTCTTAAATTTTCTTTCCAGATTCCTTCTTCAAGATGTTCCAAGCATTCTGATTCCGAATTGGATGGAGATGTTTCTGGGGACAGAAGCCTGGCATCTACCATTGCTATGGAAACATCTTGTTCATACGTCAGCCCTGAGGTACTCTCTGGTTCCTGTTTGCTTCTCAGATTTTTTTCTTCTTACTTCGAGCAATTTCCTTCCAGTTGGCACAGACATGAGCTACTGTTCCCATCTACAATTTGATGTTCAAAACTGACACTGCAGTCTTATAGACACCAGATGCTCTTCATTCCCGGTGGCTTGAGAAGAAATAAAACTGAATATGAATGAATCCCTGCCTATGTTTTATTTCTCAACATCTAGGGGAAAAGATTTATTCATGTTATCAGCATAAAATATTAATTTTAACATATTTTGATTTGGGTCAGAATGTAATCAGAGCAACTTCGTTTTTGGAGAACAAGAAAGGAGTTCCGAAGGCAGGTGCCAAACTGGGTCAGCATCTACAGCCAAAGCTATCAAAGGGAACAACATTGAGTGGTCTCTGGGGTCACCCTAATAAACTTTCTGAGGAGATGGTTAGGTGTATGAAAAATATATTCATCTCTCTTTCGGATTCTGCTGTGCCATCCATGTCATCTGCATTGGAGAGTCAATCTTCACCTGTTTCTCCTCGGGGGCATCTTTCTAATTCATCATGGTGGTCATCATCTGAGCGCTCAATACTATCATCGTGGGTCCAGAGCCCACAAGTCGATATCCAGAATAACAGTGAAGTGCTGTCTCCTGAGAATGTGTTTGATCCCTATAGAGTCCGTGGGAAATTAAGCTGGGCTGACATAGGCAACTATGGCTTAGCAATTGAAGTTTCTTGGATGTCAGTTGGAAAGAAACAATTGGAATATGCCTCGGGAGCATTAAGGAAGTTCAGGTAATTCCCCTTTTTAAAGTAAAGTCTATATCAAAATTTAAAGAAAATTTGTAGATCTCGCTCCAAAATACTTCTTTTATTGCGTTCTTCCTTAAGTGCTAGAGCTAATTGTATGTTTTGTGTGGTTGGTCTGGACATTGGGGGGAAACAGAGCACTCGTTGAACAATTGGCCAAAGTTAACCCTATTCACTTGAGCTGCAATGAGAAGCTTTCATTTTGGATCAACTTGTACAATGCACTGATCATGCATGTCAGTAACATCCCTCCTATTCTCAGTAGTCAGTATTGTATTTGATGTAATGGATTTTGTCACCTGTTAAACATGTTAAAATTTTTCTTGATCTCCTTAACAATTTAAAACTGGTAGCAGGCTTACTTGGCTTATGGAGTCCCCAAAAGTGACTTAAAGTTGTTCTCTTTGATGCAAAAGGTTTGGTCCTTGATTTGATTGTCTTTTCTGCTAGCCATTCTTCCCCTTCTGATTAGTGCTAATGGTAATCAAATTATGTCTGGACTGTCTCAGGCTGCTTACACTGTTGGAGGCCATTCTTTCAGTGCAGCTGCCATTGAGTACGCGATTCTGAAGATGAAACCTCCTCTCCACAGACCACAAATTGTATTGCTACAAACCCTGCCAACTTATTCCCCTTTCGTTTCCCCCCCTTTCTTCTTCTTCCTGTTGTTAAAAAACAGTCTATCCATTATTATTTAACGTTTCACTATTCATCACTGCTCTCTCCCAGGCTTTGCTTCTAGCCCTTCACAAATTGAAGGTATCAGAAGAACAGCGGAAATGTGCAGTCGATGCACACGAGCCGCTTGTTGCATTTGCACTCAGCTGTGGAATGTATTCATCTCCTGCGGTAATGTCCTGTACATCCTGCAAGAAAAGCAGTCACCGTGCTCCATTTTAATGACTTTCAATACCAAATACCAATGGAACAAAACCATATTGCAGGTAAGAGTTTACACCGCAGGGAATGTAAGAGAAGAGCTAGAAGAAGCTCAGCACGATTTCATCCGGGCCAGTGTTGGAGTCAGCAGCAGAGGGAAGCTGTTGGTGCCTAAGTTGTTGCACTGCTTTGCTAAAAGCTTTGTGGATGATTCCAACTTGGCTGTGTGGATATCTCATTACCTGCCGCCGAACCAGGCAGCATTTGTCGAGCAGTGCATTTCGCAGCGGCGGCAAAGCCTGTTGGCTTCCAGGAACTGTGGAATCTTGCCTTTCGATTCTCGGTTCCGGTACCTGTTCTTTCCTGGCAAGGCATGATAGCCTTCGACGAGGGCAGGTGGTTTTTTGTGGGAGAGGGCAGTAGAAGAAGTTTCATGCCGCCCTTGATGGTGCCAGATTGTGTTTTTTTGGGTCTTGACTCTTGAGTGTAAATGCAAGTAAATGAGAAGAGATTGTGGTTGTAGTAAGTAAAAGGAGAAACATAATTAGTTAAGGTTTGTGTAAAATGAAACAAAGGGCTAGGCTAACCGTGAAGAAAGTATTGGAAATAATAATACAAAAATTATATGTAAGAGCAAACATCCTCTTTCAATTTTCAAGGATCAATGGATTCACTGAAGCTCGATTGAGGATTTACAATACCTAAGTTCTTGATGAAGGATTAGGGTTTGCCTCATTAGACGACTTTGTGAAGGATTAGGGGATTTACACCGTTTGATATAGGATAAGTTATGCTCCTGTGCAAACAACGATTCACTGCAGCAGTAATAATGTAATATCATTAGTCTTAAATGGAAAGATTTGAGGTTCGATTCATTTTAATAGCACATAACAATAAAATATGCCTCCTCAGAGGTCTTGTTGCTAATATATCACCCTTATTCTGAAGTTAATAATCTGTTTAATAGTTTGAAAATAGTTGTAACAAACATATAGAGAACTATTAACTTCAAAAGTAAATGACTATATTAATAATTTAAATCACTCGTTTAATTGAATAAACGAGGAAAATTATGTTGAATAAATATGAATATTGTTCACATCATACATTAAATCCCTAGTTCGAAAGATATCAACGAAAGGGGGGAAATAAGACGGTTCAGGAAAAAACCAAGACAAAATATTTTTAAGTCGAACTTTTATTTAGCTGAAAAAGCTTGATTACTGAGTATTTATCGAGTCGAGCTCGAGCTAGCTATAATTTTGTTTTTTTTCCAAGTGGAACCAAACTCGACCTAGATTATCTCAATTCAAAATCGAGCCAAACAATATATAAATAAGCAAAATTCGAGTTAGACAAAAACTCGACTCAAGTAGACTCGTTTATTGCGTTAATTCATGAGTATTGCAGCTCTCTATCTAGGTGTGTGTATATATAGTTGAGAGACGCAATTGGATGATTGATTATAATAAAACGACCTTGGAGTCATGGACCAAAATGGAAGCTCTGCCTTCTATTGGTGGGAGTAGTGAAGACTAAAAGTGATTGGAACTTAATTGGAAGGTGTTGCTTTGCTTGAATATTCTACCTAATCCCCTGCATTAATAATGCTGCTTGCATTACGTAGTTAACAGTGGTTGGTGATGACTAAATGGTAACTAAGACGTGTGTTTGGTAATTAATGTTTTCCTTAATTACGGTTTAATAACATGACAACTTTCATTTCTTAATTAGTTGTTCAATAAATATGATCGCTTGTTTAATTTCCTGTCACGTCGTCGATCGGACGTGGATGGCGGCAGCTGAACTGCCACCATATAATTAACACACCACGTATTCACTCTACATTTGTTATATATTTACATGATAAATTACGCTTATTCATGTCCGTTGGAAGGAATTTAATTATGTATCATGAACTACTTATTAAAACATCCTTCAAACAAAAACCCAATACAAAACGGCTTGAAATTTGCACAGACATCAAAATGTACACCATGAAGACATCTCAATAACATGAAGGTTTGATATCATGTCAATAACGAGTTAATTCCAACAACGCGAGTTGTCGAGAAAGATCCAATTATGGATCATATTCCGCTTATTAACCTTTCTTGTCGTCATTGGTTAAGACTTGAGACTAATGATAGCTAGGCAGAAGAGGGGCTTGATCAGCTGATTGGACTTTAATTTCTACCAAAAGTGGTCATGTCATTACATATTTCTTCAACTGATCCATCGATCGTCCAAGTTTTCAACAAGCCTAATAGACTATGTATATGCCTATATCTAGGAAGCAGATGACCTGCAACGTAGGGAGAAAAACAATTGTGTAGAGTGTAGACTAAACAGATCGATCAACACATTAAACCAGGTCTCGTTGCTTGCTTGGAGGGCCGGCTGGCATCTTGCTACTGTATTATGACATGACCACTTGCGTAGACACTTCTAGCCTCGTACCCTTTTCTACCCTAACACCCACCCAACATATTGTCTCTGACTGTGAAATCGCGCTGCTCAATTAGTACGATATCGTTCGTTTTAGGGTCGAACCCGCACGAATTTACTTTTGAATATCCTTCTGAAAAGGCCACGTATTAATGATGATCTTGATAGACACTTATATACAAGGATCCATTTCCTTCGATTACCGATGTAGTATTTGGGTTGTCCTACCCTTTGTAGAGAAGTCATGGTGGTTGTTCCTAAAAGAGCAGAGCAGAGCAGAGAAGAGTGGTTAAGTGTGAGGTTAATTAATAACGCATACGCATGCATCACTTGTTGACTCTATGTAGCATGTTAATTAATTAAGACATATAATAGTCGTATCTCCTTCCACTCATCTTTAATTAATTAAGTGCTGAAGTTTGGTTTAAGTGAGTTGATTCTGAATTTGGAGAAATTGTAGTTTCTCATCATATCACACGTCAAGAATCAATATATATATATATAGCACAATAAATTAGATGCATGTTTAATAAGAATCCAAGAAGATATTTGAAATATTCGGCGGCTCATTTATCTTTGGTGGAAGACTTGGGGAACCTTTGTAGTAGTTGAGTCAATTAGCTTGGCTATTGCGTTTTTCTTAAAGGAATGACTTATATATATTTAGACATCTTATTATTATTGAGATCAAATGGTTTTACCATGTTACAAGAATTGAATTATTTTTTTCCCCATAGAAATACCATTAAAAAAAAATCACAACCATGTTGCCCCCGACCTGAACTAGTCAACGTGCAAAATCCCCAAGTTATCTAACTATGAGACGAGTATGGTGTGAAATCCACAAAAAGGAGTTGGTGGGTATGGAGCGAGTTGGTTTCGGGGCTTTCCCGGCCCGTATCCATACCCGTATCCACCACGAATAGATCACATGAAAAGTGAATAATAATGCTCTAATTTACACATTGAAGTAAATGAATCACTCTTCATTACTTAGCAATCAATTTATTATTATTATTTTACTTCCTGAACTAGTCATACACTCCTACGCACGCTTTTCTCTGTTCAATCTCTTCTATAAGGAAAATATGTTGACTGAATCCTTTGAATTAGCTGTGGGAACATCAGAAATTTCTTGTTTTCGTTGAAATACAGGAACAGAGGAGACAAACAGATCAGTGGAGACTTTTTCTAACACCGGTTTAAATAATAATAATAATAACTGTAGTTAATTCCTAAAGGTGGCCAACTGATCCAACAATTGCTGGAGTGGCTCTAGCTATGTATTTATAAAAATAAAATCAATCAGCTATTCCACAAGATTAATTTATCTTCCAATTAATTGAATGTAAATTTAGCGTTCGTCAATCACCCAATTAGGCCAAATGGGATCTAATCACTTGTTAATTTCCTTTTTAATTAAAGCTGTCTTTGTCCATGTTAACCAAACCCTAATCTAGTACTAGTACTGCAGGTCACCAATTTGTCTACCTTGCAAGCCACGTCATATATATACAATAATTCATAGCATATATGCAATTGATTAGCTTCTTGATCACCATCGACATGATGAGTTATTAATTAAAATAATAATAATAATAGGCAACAATACTACATTCACTTTCATAAGTGCATGGACACGTATGGAGTTGATATACCAATCAAAGCATTATTGATCACAAAAAAAAAAAAGCATATTGGGTTTTGAAATTGATAGCCTTAATCCTTCCTTGTGAATGTGAAAATTAAGTTTATTAGTAATAGTGCCCATAACTTCACCTCCCATTAGGGTAAGCGGATTAGTTCTGCATAACAGAGAGTTGTGATAGCAACAATGACAATTATATCAATAACGACCGGTATGAGAAATATCCATTTTCACATTTTATAACTTTTTTGCAATAAATGCATGTAAGAAATATACCAAGACTTTTTTGCAATAGCTTTTCCATTTCCACTAAACTTTGACGTATTTTCAACTTAATTGCAATAAATGCATGTAAGATGCGTGGACACAAATTATATAATCATATTTGTTTGAAAATTATAGGGATGAGGATGGAAAATCTTGACGTATAGATGAGAAAGGTATATCTATAGCTTTTGGAATAAAAAAAAAAGTCACTTGCTATCCCTGATTGGTACTTTCCTTAATGATATTGACATTTATTAGTGAAAGCAATTTGAATCCGACCAATCAGGTATTACCCGACCTGCAGTAGCGTGCGATGGGGTATGATCAGTATTGACTTCTGATCCGTCTAGTCTCGTTTTTGACCTATTCTATCTCAATTTCTTATAATATCAATTCATATTTCTTCAATTCAACTTTTTTTTCCAACTAGTTAGACCCATCTATCATCACTATTTTTTCATTCATAAAGTGTTTTGCTTTTGTTCTATCATAAAAGAGTAAAATTTTGCGTGTACTTTTTCCAAACAACATGTAAGAGTAGGTCGACCCACCCCAACCCATACCTTTGCGAGTATTGCACGTCCCGACCCGCATCCTTGGTGCAGAAATGGTATGAAAGTCCGTACTAGCCCCATTCCATTGCCATCACTTAACATTTACACCACTAATATTTGTTTTGGTTATACTTGATCGCTGTTAAGTTATTTTATTTTATTTTTAATTATTGAATCGCTGTTAAAGTTTCATATATAGAACACATAATATATAAATTACACCTTTTGTTGACGGAGACTTGATAGAGAGACCTATACTTATCGAGTTCCGACGACTTCAATAATTACTTGGAAATAGACATCTATATACGATAACAATGGTACTTAAATTATCTCTAAACCACGCCTCCAAAATGGCCGATGACATATGAAACAATATCATGACGAGTCCGTACGTAATACGTAGATCGATAAGTAACCCTCTCATATCATATACGTATATGCACTGCCGACATTAATTTTTATACGTATAAATACATACTTAAACACACACTTAAACACAAATTAAGGTACATAATTAGCGCTAGTAATAATAATAAACCACCACCACTACTCCCTACGTAGAATTGCAGCATGCAGTAGACTTAATAATTAATATGCATCGTATAGATTACTAAACGACGTAGTCCCAAGCGAACGGCCTGAAAACGGAGGCCGCCTCCCTCTCGATCAACGCCAACTGCTCCTCGAACAAATGCATGTAAACAACCCAATCCCCTTCCCTCTTCGGGCTCGGCATCGGCATCACGTACCCGGCCGTCCCGCCCCACGGGAAATGGTACGACCCGAAACCCGGCAGGCCCCACCCGAAGTCCACCTGGCCCACGGGCAGCCCGCGCCCCGACGACACGACGAACGCCGGCCCGTCCGCGCTCCCGGTGCTGTATATCTTCGATATCGCCGGCTCCGGCCTGTGGGCCTCCACCCAGTCTACCAGGCCCAGAAAGTGCTCTCTACTGGCCCCACGGCCCAGAAACTCGTGGACCCCGCCCGCCACCTGGCCCAGCGAGCTCCCCACCAGCTCGCTCGCCATCTTCCCTCCGTACGGAATCGACAGCACGTTCCCGAAATAGGAGCCCATCTCCGGGCCCAGCCTGGACCGTCCGTCCACCACGATGCCCATCTTCGTTACGACGTCGTTTTTGTCGCCGCGGGTCGATCTCGCCACGAGTTGCCAGAGGTGAGCGCAGAATGACTCGAGCTTCGAGAACCGGTTCTTCTTGTTGTTGTTGTTCCCGTTGGCGAGGGTTTGGAGTTTGATGAGCTCATCGGAGCTGACGTGGTAGATGCGACTGATGAGGGCGGGGGCGGCGGCGGAGGGCGGCGGCGGCGGCGGGAGGGAGGCGATGGGGACGTACATGTCGTCGAGGGCGGAGTTGTGGGAGAGCGGGCGGCGGGGGTTGAGCAAGGAGCGGCGGAAGGAAGGGAGGGTGGAGATGGGCCTGGAGCGGGCCGACTCGGCCCACGAGACTAGGAACATGTTGAAGGAGTAGGCGTCGGCGACGCGGTGGTCGAAGGAGCAGCCCACCACTATCCCGCCGCATCTCAGTTCCGTCACCTGCATGGCGGTAAAAAAATCAGAATTTCAGTTTCACCGCCCGAAATTTACGGCCGAGGTAATAATTTTCATAACAAGGTGAAGTCTGTGCACGATACGGGTACAGTACACGGCATATTTCTTTCACAAATACAAGCAAGTTAATTTGGTAAAAGATAATACGTAATCACATCTCACGTCAGGCTATGTATAAATTGGGCAGTTAAATAATGATTAGGCCAATGATCGAGAGTGGCGGGAAGATCGACTTGTTTGGGCTCTTGTTTTTTGTTTTTTTATGTAAACAAGTTTCAAGTATAATTTGAATAAGACTTTGTTCCAGTCGCATTATCACTATTATTAAATTTATAGGTTTTATATTCAAACCCTTTTTTTAGTATCTAACGATAAAAAGCAAATATTATCACTGTTATATTTATATTAAAAAAATTTATACATGAACTTTTTCCATGTAACTCAAGTTCGACGAGCTGATTTGTCTTTAAAGTCACGTCTTCAATCTTTCACTACCCCCAATATTAAGCGATATATTTAAAATACATGGTATGATGAATCTATCCAAACTTCACATGTTTAGTTTTTATGTGATTAAGTACCAAAAAGTTGGCCGGTTTCCCTTTTGCATAATATGATTTATATATATATTTAATGGGTTGGATCTGTTTAAATTACTATCAACTAGACAAAACAAAGAAAGAGACATATAATATATTACCTGAACGGCCAAAACGCCGTCCTTCTTAACGGGAACGAGCTTCCCTTCGACCGAGTCGTCGGGGTTATACAAATCCAGCTCCCGGAGCTCCACGTCGGCGGCGTAAGCCACGCAGAACTCCACCCCGCGGTTGTTGCACAGCAGCTCCGGCTCCCCGCCGGAGCTCATCACCACCTCCCCGGCGAAGGCGTAGTACGACACCAGCACCTGCGCCAGCCCCTTCTTCAGCCCCGCCACCGCGGCGTCTCCGCCGTCGGGCGGCGCATGGTAGCAGAAGAACACCCCGACGTCCACCGGCGGCAGGAGGAGGTCGAGGTTGGACAGCGGGAGCCAGTGCTCCTGCACCGGCAGCACCGCCGCCACCAGCTCGTTCCTCACCGCCGTCACGGTGAAACCGTCCAACACCGGCTGCAGCTGCAGCTTCGGCGCCGGCTTCGACTTCTCGTTGTTGCTGACGTCGAGCTTGGTGGCGGCGAGCTGCAGCGGGAGGTCGTCGGCGATCGAACCCATGATTCGATGTGATTGATGATTAAGTTAATGAGCGATTAACTTGGTGGTTTGGGGCGGAGGAGGAGTGGGTTTGTGAGGGTGAATTTATAGGCGGGGAGTGGGGTTGCTTCCAAGGTTGTCAAACGGTTTCGCCTGTTGTCCGGTCGAATAAGTGGGTTGAGAATTATTGGTTTGATCGTTTTAGTTTGCGGTTTAGTTCGGATACATGAAAAAAGTTATTAAATTGTTTATATATTTATAAATTATATCAAATTTAGTATAACATATGAATAATAACATACAATTACATTAATATAACAGATCGTACTTGGATCCAACATATAGTGAAAATTCACACACACTTAGCTTATACAACATCAAAATTCAAATGTTCAACTTAGAATTCCAACGATAGGCTTCGTCGAAGAGGAAAACAGAAAAAGAAGCGCATTTCGCAAAGCAGAGGGAAAAACGACGCCGTGTGATGACATCCAACTCGGTAACCTTGCAGCATGTCGATTCACGAGTGTGTGTGTCTCCGTCTTTCTCAATGTCAAAATGAGTCAACCGAGATGACTCAATTCGCTGGTTGCCAACCTTGATTGCTTCGCGTTGAGGCTTTCGAACGACGTATATTGATATTTTCTTTTCGTACCAGTTATGAGTTGGTTGACCCCCGAGAGGGTCGTTTCCTAGTTTGTCGCCCAGCCGGCACGCGGCGGCCGGCCCGCTCTTACCGCGGGAGCTGCTCGAGCAGCCCGCCGATTAGCCGACAGGTTCGGGATAGGGCTCCCCGGACCCAATCCAATCCTTCTTCCGAGGTTACGGATCCATTTTGCCGACTTTTCTTGCCTACATTAACGGTTCCAATTGCGATAATTAATTTTTATTTGTGGAGGTTTGTAGTTTATTAGAACGATTAATAAAAAGTGGGAACAGATTGATTGTTTCTCCTTTGAAATATTTTTAACAAAGATCGGTCAAAAGATACCGTGCATCTTCCCCCCCCAAGGCAAATCCAGAGAGCATACAACACTGACTTGATACCAAGATTGGCTAAAATAAAATTCGATAGTCGGTAAGCAACCAAGTATATTAGAATAATGGATGGGAGAAAATAAGTTGATAATTAACTACTTAATTAGCCGGCCTAGCCTTTCCACATATATAGTGTGGTAGATCGAGTTCATAATTTACCCGTTAATTACCACCTTTGTAAATGGATTTAACGGTAGGGGTGGGAATCAGCCGGTTATGTTGCCATAATATGGAACATGCTATACGTGGCGTTTGTATAATCACTGGCGTTAGTTTGATACTAACATTCACCATATCAAAATCACAATTTATCATATATATATATAATCATATACTTTCACCTAATATAGTTGCACAAATATTATACAAGATACAATATATTACGTAACGATTATATCAAACGATAATTATATGTTAATCTTACGCAACAATTTAGCTAAATATACCCGCTATCAGTACTTCAAGCTTGTTGCAGAAGGTTTTTCCTCAGTTATTTGACATGTTACATAATGAGTTAGTACCATATGATGCAAATTAAATATGTTAAGTAAAAGTTACGGAATGAAATTCACCGAACGATTAGTAAATAAAAAGCGCGACACAAAAAACTTTAGTAAATATTTGGCATATATTTAACATAACTAGGTTACAATAATGATCACTCGCACATATATAGAGGTGTAAATTGGTTTCTAATTATTGAGAAAAATAGTTATATCATATGTACGTAAATATTGTGCAGTAGTACTGAACATTATATTACATATCACCTAACATTAACCTGCAAAATTTAGTATACTGAATTATAAACTTTGAGTCGCCATCATCGCTGATTACCTGAAAGCACCTTCGTGTTTCCTTCTTATTGGTGTTGCCATTTGGTACGGAAAGTTTCTATTCATTTTCACTATTTGAAAAAAGAAACTGCTAATTAAAACAATTTACTTATTTATTATTTAAATGCAAATGTTTAGGTTCACCAGCACCATAATCCACAAACTTCTATTGGCTTTGGGGGATCAACTGAAATTCCTACAATTAATAGGCCACCGCCCACCAGTACAGTTTAATATAATTTGAATATTATATAGCCCAATCTATATGACGTTAATTTGCGATAAAAAAAAAATATGAAATTATTTTTATATTTATAATATTTACAGTATAAATCATATAATTATCAACGAGTAGTTCAAGTGGTAAGGCATTGGGTAGGCAATGTACTCTCTCACACTCAATTCTCATGACCGCATTGGGTAGGCAAGTGAATTCTCACACTCAATTCTCATAACCTACTATATTAAGAAGAAAAAATATTATCCGTGGATATTCATAAATATTCGAAAATTGATTTCGTATGAACATAATTTTAATCTATTATCCGAATTTTGCGTGAATATTGGTATGGATAAAACACAAACTAGGTAGAATAGAGTACTTTGACCCTGCCCCTGAAGTGATCGTCCTTAGACATATGAAGGATCGATAAATAATAACACCTAAAACAGAATAGTCAACAAAATTTCGATGAAGTGTGCCTCTGGGGTTTGGTATGGTACATATCCCAAATCTTACTGGATCACAAAGTGATGATGGGTGAAAAGAATTCTTATCTTTTGAAGCCCACAATAGGTGAAGAACGAAGTTCAAAGTTAATGTTTTTAATAATAAAATTCAAAGTTAAGGTTAATGGGGAACCGGTGGAAGAAAAAAAAAAAACGGTATACATAGTTAGTCAAAAAACATTCCACGGAACAGACGACTTCAATCTCAAACTAGTGGCCGGCCGATGATACATACGGCGGCCTATGTGCTTGCTTACCTAATTTGATTAAACATGAGCTCCGCTATCATTGCCATGATCTATGAAATCGTATTGGAAAAGTTAGCGGCAGGGTATTTTATGGTAAAATCGTGGTTTACCTGTAGTATAACCGTTATTATCGTTAAATACCGCCTACCAGTTTAGCCTCAAATAGTGTTGTCTTGTGCTTGAACCGTCGGTATGGTGCGATTTCATTTCGTTTACACACAAAAAAAAAAGATATAATATGAATTTCGTTTACATAATTTTTTTTGTATGAATTTCATTATGATACAAACGGAATATGTGCATTTACGATTTAGTTCATACAAATACCTTTTGGTACAAATTTCTTCGTAGTACAAATAAAACCTGTTATTTCAATGTGATGATAAGAATTTAACTTGTTGTACCTAATAGCATCGTTGTTTACTAGCATTGCAAAATTTCCCTCTATAAACAATGCTCCCCCTAATGGGAAGGAACGTCAACATTTGTCAAGTCGACCACAAACCCTTGATCCCAGACTTGGACAACAACGACTCAACGGACAGTTGAGTTTAATTTCTACATGAAAAGCAATTTCGTAAACGACGAACCCTAAGATATTAATTACTAAAATACTAATAACAGGGAAAATTTCCTGTTTTTTTATATATATTAGGTTCTTTTCACGGTTCATTCATAAACAAGGAGGGCATATTATATATGTACATAACCTAAAAGCAACGTTTAATCAGGGAGTTTTACAATTTAATTCCTAACGTTAATTTAAGAAGACGGTATAGAAACTAACTCGTGTGTCATCTTATGCGTGAGCCCAAATTTCTAAAGACAACCCTAATCCCGCTAAATCCTTACTAAAGTACAAGCAGATTCGAAATGATTGTTGTGCAAATTTATTCATTTTTTTTCATTTATCGTAATTCATTTGATGATTTGAGATCGTTTGACTTGCATCACATTATCAAAAATGATAATTATAAGATGGTACTACATCCAATTAACTGAGTGCACTGAAATTATAACCATATATGTCTTCACTGCACTGGAGGGACATGTTACGATGGAAGCCCATCCCGTAACTATAAATTTGCGCAAACAATGTTTAAAAACAATTTCAATATTTAATTGCAGTACGATGAACAGGTAAAGGTCGGGATTTAACGAAAATCAATTAGATTTCCATCCAACGCAAGGGTTTTAAGCTTTAAAAATCCAAGATTCAGGGTTTAGAGTAATGGTGAGTGTTAGTTCGTTATACTTGATATCATCATATTAGACTAATAGTGGTTTCTATGATACCTTCAGTAAATATGTGGTACGTACCCTCATACATTAATTAGTAAGAACGTTATATTAACCTTGCGTTGACATAATTTTGTACATGATACTATATATACTCTAACTTTAACGAGTAAACTCTACATGTTAATATTATGCCGATCCTAAAATAGTGCATCCAATTTATTGAATGTATTTCAACAAATCAATCATATTGTTTCTAATCGGGCATTGTTGTAGAAAGTGGGTAGAGCACATATTCATGTTCATATCCTTTTGTTGGTTGGTGGATTAGGACAACAAACTAAAATAAGATGGGAGCCTTAGCTAGCTAGCTAGCTAGGAATGTACACAACTGGCTTGCCTCCCACAGAAATTTACAAGGTGGGTTTTTCCTTTTATTAACGAATAGAATATGTACAAATGACAAGTTTGTAATTAGGGTTTGTTTATAGTGTATAGGAGGAATGGTTCAAACTCGCAAGAAATTGATAACCAAGTTAACATTTAAATAGGGAGCTAGTAGAAGAACTCCATACCTAACCAACTGCAACAACGACGAAGGAACAGCCCATGCGTACGTACTCCAAGTTGACATGTACGGGAGATTGACAAAGAGTGTTCTCAAACTTCTGACCAAGAGGGTGAACAAATATATAATATGGAGGGAAATTATTGTGAATAAACAATAATCTACTTCTTCGGTATACTCACGAAAAAATGAGTGCATACAATGCACCTAACTCTAAAACTAGCATTAAGATATCAAATTTTGGACTTTAATGATCAGTAGCATTTCTCTAATATGATGATACAACATAGGATCACAACTAGCCAATGTATTAACATAAGTCGTAAACCTTCAATTTGAACACCTAATCCTCAACCCCAAGTTGTATACCCTAAACCCTTACCTTGAATTGCTCAACACTAAATCCTTCACATCAAAGTAAATTTGAATGATTTTTGTGCTAATTCGTGCACTTACTTGCCCATCAAATCACAAGTGATGGTTGACATTGTTTTAACATGAATTGTCTGCAAAAAAAAAAAGTGTACCTATAATTATTATAATGATAAATTATAATTATTCGCGGCAAAACTATATCTTCAATACTTGGTGACTTTGTGCAGGGTGACAATTGTTATTTTACGTTGCATGAGAAGAACTCGTCGACTATCACTCCTACAATTGTTACGAATGAGAACGCCACAACTAAGATTACCCCTCCGTCCTCACCTCACATTTTGTAGGAAGACACTTCCGCACTTGTTGAGAGAAACGCTTCCGCCATTACCGAATTCAGTAGGTTGGGACAAGTACAATCACAAGAAAGAAGTGAAGGGGCCTAAATCCATCCGCAATCTATTTCTTTCAGTGCAACGTTAATCACTGAGATTACTAAAAAAAAGTCACTTTGATAACTACATATTTTATTTCATTCATGTTCACTCGTGGAATGGAACAACATTTAAATTTACCCATTCCTTTTTATTTACAAATGACGTATAGTTCAGGGAGATAGCTGATTAAGCTCTTGAAGTCAATAAACAATTGTTGAACATCAATCCGATTAAGGAGTTGGTCTATCCAATCCATCTACCCCCAAGAGTAACAAGTGAAAAATAACGTAGTCAGTAGTGACTCTTTCGTCAATTATAATTCAACCAGGCTAGACTTTAGCCTCACCAAATCACACCTGCTGTACTGAAGGCTTATGGTGTGTTGCTTTGGCCTTGCAGGGATATATATTTGTTCATTCTAGCCTGCTGTTCTGACTTCTGAAGGCTAGAATGTAGAACCCCGAGACGTAGAAAGTATAGACAAATGGCATAGACTGAGACGCCAACGGAGGCATCCAAGCTCAGGAAACCAACACAAGAAACCACCAAGTTCAGAGCTTATTTAAATCTCCCCGCAACCACACCATAACTTAGGGAAACAGTTCAAAAGTCCCATAATTTCTGAAGCTAAAATACATGTATATATGCGGAGCTAGTAGATTTGGAGGCTTGTTATGATGGCCTACAAAACGAGAAGGCAATTGCAAAGCAACAAAGGATGCATTACCAAAGTCGAGCTCGCTATGCAGTGATCGACATATCGACCTTCCTTGGACGATGATAGATGTGCCTGTTGCCTGGAAAAGCCTCGCGAGAAATGTCTACCAGCGCTTTGAAGCTGTAAGGCTCGTGCATTGATATCTCCGACAACACTTTCCGGTTCAGCTGGATGTTCTCCTTCTTGAGCCCGTGCATGAAGTGACCATAATGGACCTGCATATCACACGATAGAGAATCAGAAATGCCCTGCAATTACCACCGTTTCGTTAACAGTTTCTTCTTTACATGCTATGCATTCCCTAAGCTACGCCTAGAAACATAAGTCTGACAACCAAAGATTTCAAGAGATTGGTCGGGGAGAAGGTGGCGGTCGATTTACCTGTAAGGAGTTTAAGTGACAGCTCAATTATGATACACGTTAGGTGATATGACATAAGTGTTAAGTGAGGCACATTGAAGCAGGTTAAAATATCCTATCAAATAACATGACCAGGTTGATTAATTCCATGTTTAAGGAAAGAGACCCAAAGCTTAACAGCAATATTATCAACTTTCAGCTATGAGAATGCAATTGGGAGAAAGAAGACAGAAGACAGAAGACAAACTGGCAATTTATTTCTTCTAGAAACATAGATTGGCCCCAAGCAACATCTTTAGAACTAGAACAGGTCCCAATTAGCCGGCCAACAGATATGACATAAGTGTTAAGTGAAGCACATTGAAGCAGGTTATAATATCCTATCAAATAACAGGACCAGGTTGACTAATTCCATGTTTAAGGAAAGAGACCCAAAGCTTAACAGCATTCAGCTATGCGAATACAATTGGGAGAAAGAAGACAGAAGACAAACTGGCAATTTATTTCTTCTAGAAACACAGATTGGCCTCAAGCAACATCTACTAGAACTAGAGCAGGTCGCCAGGTCCGAATCAGCCGGCCAACAGACAGTTAGCAGGCAAGCTAAAAATTGAGCAGAACATCTTATCAAATCTCTAGATAAAGAGGATAAAAGGATCCTCAAAGCCAAGCAATGTTCCATGCAAATGGAAGAAACCTCCACCACCGCCAAACAGATTCCGACTTTATTCACAAACTGCAATCACCCTCTAGGTGCTAAGCGGTCTAAAAGAGCAACTGATTGGATTTAAACTGCAAGTTCTTAACTAGTAGACCACAAAGCGAAATAATAAGCACATTATTATTTTCACACAACCACTAACTAGTTCCGCTAATCAAGTAGAAAGTACGAAGCAGAGTTTCCAAATAGGTGCACTGGACACAAGAGACAAAGAAACCCAGGAGATGGATCCAGATGCAAAAAATGCTTATAAAGGAAGAGAAAGAAGCTTCACTTATGGTGTGCTTTCTCAGACAAATTCTTGGTCTTTACCTATCTAATATCTATTGCACTTAACAGCTTCTCATCACTCATAACTTGCAGAAAAAAACCATAACCATCCCTTATCTTTCAGAAAGCCTAGAGCTGAAATTATGCGTGAATGAAAGTGTATCATGCAGAAAACAGTCAATATATACTTCACAAATGCTCCCCCTACTTCAGTTGATCATCCTCTGTTCTCTTTTATGCAATTTTACACTTCAAAAGGTCTATTTATGAAAGCATAGTGTTGAGGAACTTTTTAGAAGGCCCACAGTTCCAGATAATACTAATATAAAAGACCATGAATAAATTAATACTGAACCATGTACTCACAGTTGAAGCAAGGAAGTACATAACATAAAATACTGGGCTGGAAATAGACGAGGCTTCTCGATTCATATTAACACACTCCTTGAATTTTGACAATAAGCTAATGCTTTGAAGGATACGAGTATTAATCAAACTTGAGCGGGCAAATTAAGACAGGGATCTTAAGGATTACACAGTTAAAGCAAGAGCAGTAACTATAGCAGTTTTCTAAAGCGACCAGGGTAATTCACATACAGCTGGAAAAAAATGAAATGATTTGTTAAGGGTAAATGGTAGTTGCTTTTAAAAACCCCCATGAACTTGCTGCATCTAGTAAAACTTCAACAACCAAATCCATATTTCCATTAATTAATAATGAACGTGATTCTACAACTCCCTCCGAAAGATAAGCATTTGCCAGAGAAAAACCTATACAGGCAGCGGCATCGAAGGACAAGAGGATATAGCCAACTCAACAGCAAGTGTAGTATTAAATTTCAGGTTCCAACAAATCCGTGTGTAATAATAGCAGAAAGGAACTTACAGAACAAATGTGGTCAATCATGCTAGTACCCAACCAATCAATCGATACAAAATACTCTAGGCAGCGAAGAAGTTACTTACATTATGTTGCCTGGTGCCAGCGCTGATCCGTTGGATCCATAGGGAGCGCATGTCACGTTTCTTGGTTCGACGATCCCTGTAGGAATACTGTAAAGCCTTTTCCACCCTCTCTCTTGCTATCCTGATGCAGTTCTTTGCTCTGCCCCTAAACCCTTTGGCTAGCTTCAGAATCTCCTTCTTGTTCATCATTTTTCACCTTCGTTTTACTATCTACATATTATTATATTTCCAACATAAGATGACATTTACTAAAAGAGAAAACAGCTGAAAACAATTAGACTAGACCAGAGAAAAGAATATTTGACATGTCGTCTATGGCAGTAGGGATGGCAATAGGCTGGATACCGTGCAGCTTATACCTGTCTCCAAAACCCAGAATCCCTCCCCACACCATCACCGTGCAATTACATTTATAACAGCACTAATACCTGCTTGCTGATCTACTAATACCCCAAAGCATTTGTACTTCTGTTTTTCCAATTCAATGAGGACAAGTGATAACAAATAAGAATCCTAGAATAATTGCACTGGTAGAAGAATACCACCCATAATAAATCAGAGAACACAAAACCAATATCTAAATTACAAACAGAGACCCACCCTTTGAACTATTAGATGGTAGGGGTTCTATGAAAAAGCAGATACGATAATAGGCGCCAATGAATCCACAGAAAGAGCACTTCTTAGTGAACTTGTACACAAAGAACATTTCTTTGTACTAGCCCAGGTTGAAGAAAGGCTGAAGGAAAATTACAGGAACATATGATTATATACAGACATAGAGATAAAGTGAGGTTTCGGTTGCTAACTTGTTCTGCCCCAAAATGTTCTGTCCAGTCACACTGGTTCTACTCGTTTCCAATTAACGCAACCCATTAAAAGGAATTGGATCATGAGATACAACAACTAAAGGACTAAGGACTAAGGGCACACAGCAGAATGCCAGAATCGTCAATTCTAACTGAAGAAAAAGAAAGAAAAGTAGAATTACTCGCTGCAGCCTGTAGCCAACTGCGTGACTGACGAACGATGACTGGAGGAGCTGGAGTAGGGCCCTCCGGCGAGGTAGGAGAAGAAGGAGCTGAGGTTGGCGGAATTGGCGCTCTGGAGTCTGGAGGGCAGGGTCGACGGTGCGGCGGCCTGCTTCGTTTGGCGGTTGCGGCTTGCTATTACGGGGAACGTAGAGAGGGTGAGGTTTTTGTGTGTTCACACTCCAAACTACGTCGTTTCGTCTCTCTGGGCCGGGCTTTACGAAAATCTTCGGGTCGGGTCCCATATGGATAGGCCGGGCGGAACACTCCAGGCATTTCGCGGTCCACAAAACGGAACAAAGGACTTCTCCTTGCTACTTTAGCAAGCAGAACGGCGGAGGGGGGAATTCAAACCACCCAATTTCCGGCAGCAAGCTCTTATCCAGCCACCGACTCCGGCGCAACCACCGGCAGCGAAGGAAGGAAGGAAGCGGAGAAAATGCCGACCTTGAATCTCTACACGAATATTCCTGTCGACGCTGTCACAACGTCGGATATTCTGAAAGACGCCACCAAAGCCGTTTCCAAAATCATTGGCAAGCCTGAATCAGTTGAGTTGCCGCCTCCTCCCCCCCTTTGGGGATTTATTAGAAGAGTCGCGCTTGTACTTTCTGCAATGTCCTATTGGTGTTTGATGAAATTACTGCCTGTCAGAACTTGTGCTAATTTTACTCTGACATGCCTTTCGGTGGTTGTGTTGTCGTTCTGGTTTTGCAGTATGTGATGATTTTGGTGAATAGCGGCGTACCCATTGCATTCGCTGGCACAGAGGAGCCTGCTGCATATGGAGAGTTGATTTCCATTGGAGGTTTGGGGCCAAGCGTAAATGGGAAACTCAGTGCCACCATTGCTGAGATTCTTGAAACCAAGCTCTCCATAGATAGCTCCCGCTTTTACATAAAGTTTTATGATGTTCAGGTAAAGCCTAAGTCGCTCACACTTCTAAAGTTTCAGTCTTGGTTCTTATTGCTTGCTCTGAGAATTGCTTTCTTGGAGCTTAAACAAAGTTCAGCGAACAACCGGTTGTGTAGATGACAGGGAGTGAGGGACTATGGTAATGTAGCAAACAACCAAAACATACTTGGTGTAGTTGAAAACTTGAAATATGATAGTTAAGCTGAACTACAATAGCTTATAGTCACCAGCATTTTGTACTGATGGGTAGCTAGGATTAGCTCAAACAGTGAATATAAATTGGAAGTGTTTTCAACCAGTAACTAACCAACGGCAGTGGGATGGATTTTCCTGATAATGTGCCTCTTGTTTTTTACAGCGTCCCTTCTTTGGATTCAATGGCTCAACTTTCTGACGCCCTTTTCAGATCAGAATGCATTAAGGTCCAGGGTAACCATGAATGAACAAATGAATGCTCTGTGTAAATGCCTGTTCAATTTCGTAGAGAATGGGAGCTATTGTTGTTACGGTTGATGTTTCTTGTTTGACTCAAAGACCCGCGCCTTCTCTCTCTCATGTATATTTGGTATGATTATAACATGAAAGCCAATACTGTTCCTGCAAAATTTCTGTGCTGCTTTAGCTTTACTGATTTACTTGCTCCTGCTGCTGCTGATGAACTGTTATCAGTATGATTATAACATGTGTATTGTATTGTGCTTGCGTGTTACTCGTCTGTTATTAGTTTGATGAACTGTTATCAGTTTGATCTCCGATATTCGGTTCGACCGGATGGTGCAGTGTCAAAAACATTACTTACAGCTTCGTTAAAGGCGAGCTGAATGAAACCTCAGCCCGGGGCAAATTAAGCCTTTTGGACTAGAATAGTAGCACCTTGACCTTGACCACATTTCTTGGCCCTCTTTTCTTTCTCCTTTAAGTTGATTGCTCTGGGGATCCCTTACACGTGGCGGGACAGCCGTTGAGAATAAGCAGATATGTGGAACGAAAGGAAGCCAGCAGCGTGTCCTCTTTCTGCTGCTGCTGCTGCTGCTGCTTTCCTTACGTGAGCATATTGAAGTCTACAATTCTGCTGCTTAACTTAGTTAAAGCGTATGGTACCGGCGGAGATACATGGCCGACTGTTGCTGGAGTCCACAAAACATGTATCCACTCTATATCTAGATATGAACTAATCCAGTTTAAGTTGGTGGTGGGCTATACTTTTGATTACACGTCCTTATCAAGTACAGAAATGGTGAGACACAAGGAAAGCTACAGCTACAGCTACAGCGGCAAGAACAGCCAAGCCCAGGACTATAATCCAAAAGAGGTAGAAGATGATGTGGGGCAAGGGAAGCTTTACTCTCCAGCAGCTGCGATCAACCATAGTCGCGATGCCCCAAAGCAAGGGAAGAAAGAGGAGCAGGAGGAGAGAAAGATGCGGACGATAATGGAGAAGGTGTTGGAGAAGCTTGGAGCTGCTAGTTCCGTCCCTAAACAAGCAATCGACAACTTCCGCCAGTTCCTGGACAGCATGGTGAAGGAAGCCAGTGTCGCCGCCCATGGCATCACCATGAAAGATGGTCTCGACCGGATCAAGAACTGCCTCCTTGACATCCTCCCCTCCTCCCTCGCTTCCAAGGTAAAACAAACGACTCTTTTCGAGCTACTTGTTGTAGATATGAAAATATGGTGGCTGCTTTAACTGAGAGTCGGTTCCTGTGCATGCATGCTCGCAGTTGGTGGATGATGCGGAGAAGGAGGCCAATGATGAAGATGACGCTGCAACAGCAGTAGAAAGTGGCCGGCGGGGTGATGAGAAGGCTTCGGGTACTTCTAATAATGGCAGCCGCCAGTCTTCGCCATCGTCCAGGCTTTGAGGAACACCGCGCCGCCTGGTGATCAGTAGGTTCCGACCCGATCATACAAATCGGCGTGTTTGCTAAACTGTATCGGCAGGTCCGACCGGAAAAAATTGGCTACATGCAGTCTTTCTTTTGGAATTAGGAAGTGGAAAAAAAAATTTAGCAGATTACAAAATAATAGGAGGAAAGCAGGATGCTTCTTCTCATCCATCCCTCTGATTCTGATACATTGAAAAGTGTATAGAAGTTTTGAAGGGAGAGGGTCAGGGTCCATCATCTCCATCTCCATCTCTGATTAGATTGCAGATATCAGAGCACTCTACCAGGCTGCAAATGCCAAAGCCAAATGTGGAAGATTGTCATGCAATCAGCCCTAAATCTCTACATTTGCTAAGCAGAAAGGAAAGCAAGGGGAATGATAGAAGAACTACCAGTAATGGCGGCTGCGAAACCCTTGCTTGAACACCACCAGAGGTCTAGCATCCACAAACCAACCATGAATCATACAAGAAACCCATAATACTGATAGAAATCATGTATCAGGAGCAAATAATCAGAATGCTCAAGGTTTTGAATTTTGATTACCTGATGATACTGAAAGGTCCTTCGCCAGGGGAGCCATAGCCGCCGCGGATGCAGGTGTTGACGCATTTCACGGTGCAAGCCTCCGCTTTCCTGGACTTGGGTCTCTGTATCCTCATCGGCTTCTTGCAATCCTTCCCATCTTCCGCTTCACATTCCCCCGATAGAGTCTGCGGCAAATTCCCCAGCGTCTCCTCCTCCTCCCCGCCTCCCCTCTTCTTCCCCTGTTCGGCTGTACCGGCCGGTGGCGGCGAGACTAGTAGTACTACACCTGCACAGGCCGCGAGCACGCTCGTCGTGATGCTTCTTCTTGTAAGGAGGCGCCGGCTGCTGCTGCCTTTGATCGCTGCTGTCGTTGTGGCAGACCAATTCAATCCTCCAACAAGGTAGCTCCTCTTGTAGTTGCTGTTTATTTTGACGTCGAGTCTGTAACTAGATTTAACTGCTCCTCCAACTTGGTATGGTTTTGCAGCTCTCTCTGGAAACTCTAGGCTATAACAATGGCGGTGGCTTCGTAGTATCATTTTTCCCAAAAGAGTGCACCGGTGGTTGCTTGCTCATTCTTATAGATGTTCGTTCCCCCTGTCCCTGAAGCATTCTCAGCCTTTCATTACTTGATCTCATACATGCAACCCTTTTTATCTTAACTCTTCATTTCACTGCAAGTAATATTCTTTCTGTGACGAGAGATCTCGACGCATACTTAAGTCGCTGTTCCGGTCCGGTCCCCATTTCACAGTAGATAACTTAAATCCTGTGTGTCAATGTTGTGGCCACGTAGTCAATGGCATTGATTTTGTGGTCTGGAATCCTGTTTGGAAACACAGCCATACACACTGCATCTGCATATAAAAAGCCCAATTTTATCAGACTTCTGCACAACCACAAAAAGTTAGATAAGGGAAGCTGAAAAACTCCATGGCCTACTGCTATCTCACTTGTTAGGACACATCATAATCTTATCCACTTGGGATCCACCTCTCTGTTTTCCCTAAAACCTGATCCTTTTGTCTGTTTCTTCCTGTGCAAGAAAAGTACATCTATGTGGTACAGAGTAAGTATCTTGATTCTTGAACATAACACACTTTTTATACACTTTCAAAATCACCACCTCGTTCTGATGTTTACATCTCTGTGCCCTGACTTCTATGTACCTGTTGTACCGACCGATCTTTGCTATGTATCTCGTCTATACATGAAAAATGTACAATCAAGATAACAAACTGCAACATGTCTTACAATGATGCATATTACATACAGAACAAACAAACAGAAAAGCTCAATGAACGTGATGAACTCTGTCTTCCACTCACAGGGCTTCGGTTCTCTATCACTCACCCTCGTCCTTCTTTGCTTGCCGGAGTATATCAAGTGTTTTTCTCCAGGACTGAGAGTGCAGGAGTCAAGTAGTTGTTTGCTTTGTCTGGTAGATGTGCCACCTGCACAGCCATTTTACTTGCGCGTTACATTTCACTTCGAGAAAACATGTGTGTCACAACAGTCAAAGAACTAAAAAAGAGCTACTTAATAGTTTCAGAATGCTACTTACCAGCTCGTAAAGCTCCTGCCCTTGCTCAGCCACATACTCATAACAAACCTGTAAGCAAATGAATTCACATTTTCATTCATTCCATCCATTTATCAAACATGGAAAACCTAAAGAGATTCTGTGCTCACATCAAAGCTTTTGTTTCTAGCAGTTGAATCGTGCAAAGCCTTCACACATATATCAGCTACATCAGCACAGCTTATGCCCTGAGGTAATGTTGATCAATCCATTAATAAAAAAAGTTAAGAAACAATGTATTTAGCTCGTAAATAAGATTTCCTTCATCATCGAAAAGGATAGCAGAGAATGCTCTGTTTTCTCACCTGAGAAATCCTGTTTCCTTGATCAAACACCAGCGCACGTTGCCCACCGGGCTCCTCCTGTAGAAGACCATTGTTTTATGAAGTCCGCCAGATCATGAGTATAAAATTGCTTCATACTCTCTTCCCTTTCTCCATAATACTTTTCAGTCAACACTGAGTCATTTTAAAGGTAGAATAAATAGAATAAGCATTTACTTGAAAACATCAGTTACCTTCAAAGGACCGGGGCGAATGATTGTGTATCCAAGCCCTGATTTCCTTAGCGACTCTTCACCGGCCTGGAGAAAATATGGACAGAAGATAATCAGGATCAAAGGACTAACTGATTTATGGCGAGGCCATATAAGTAGCAGTAGTACCCTTTTGGCTTTCAGAACTTGCTCCCTCCTGGTAGCTTCTACTCCTTGCCCTGTACATGACACTAACACAAAATCTGTCTCTTGCCCAGTCTGCACACAAAAGTGAAGAATCATGTTCATTCAGCAGTCACAATTAAGAGAGAAAATTCGTCGAAGATCCTAATGAATATATCACAATGCAAAAAAGGAAGAGGGAGCAATGATCTTGTAAGTACCGGCAAAGCTTTTATGTACTCCATTATTAGTTTGAAACTTCTTAGGTCTTGCTGGCCTCCTGCAGCTCCTTCACCAGGCCTCTGCAGCAAAATATATCGAATAGAATCAGCATCTCAAGTATATTGAATGTACTTTTAAGCAAATGTCAGCATGCAGAAGACAGACCTGTCTTCTAGGCTCAAATCGAATAGTCATTGTGTGTACAAGGAATGGATCCAGTGGCGGATCCTCTGGTTTCACAGGGCGGAACGCTGAAAATGGCACTCTAACCTGCCAGATAATCAAAGCATCACTAGAGATTAGTAGAAGCAGCATCAAGAGCTCACACAGCTTTGATAGTAAACGATGTAACAATATCCATTTACCCTACAAAACCCGGCTTTGGTGCTAAATCTTGCGAAATATAATTTGCTCTGGCTTCTATCCGCTGAAGGGCCAGCTTCAAGAATAAGTACGTATGGCCTTCCATTACCACCAACAGACATAACAAGCCCTTCATACCTGAACAATAAAAATGTCAAACAACCTAATTATCAAACCACAAAGCTTCCTAGAGAGCAGCACTGACACTTCAGATCCACGAACTAATACGAGCAGCAGCATCACACATACCTGTCGAGTGTGTATCCCAGAGGCAGCGAGAGCTGTTTCGACAAATCAACATACCCTCCTCTCGTGAATACATAACCTTAATAAAAAAAACAAGAAACACATTCAAGCAAGAGCCAAACAAACGAAGGTTAAAAGGAAAGAAAAAAAAACTACAAATCAGACAACTACACCCACCTGAGAAAACTGCTTCACCATTCTCATTGTACTCAAATGAAGCATCCATTCCTGCATCATATTTGGAAGCTACAGCATCCTGGAAATAAGTTCCTTGACGAACTTCCCAGCCATCCAATGACTCGGCTGACTTAAACTTCGCCAGCACAAGCTTGCTCTTGCTGCTTTTCCCTGCGCGCAGCTGTGCTTGCCTGTGGTTGTAATCCTGACAGTACAAAGTATCCCCAAATTGAGAAGAAAAGTCCCACTCACAAGTCACAACCAGGGATGAAATGAAAGTGAAACACAGAGAGCAAAAGAACGAAAACCTGGAAGGCTTTAGTGAGGTTATAAACCCCTTGATGATCAACCCGGAATAGATCAGCAGTAATGGTAGAACGAGCTGTGGCACAGTAGATAATCTTGTTGCAGCCTTGTACGGCTTCTTGAGCAGTAATGGCATCTCCCACATCGCCCGTCACTATTTCCACTGACCTCGGCAGCATGTCCAGCACTTCTTGGTCCGACTTCCTCACCAGAGCCTGGCCCAGAAATTGGAGAAGACAACAATCAGAATACCCAAAAAAAAATTGCCTCAGAATCGATTCGAATTCCAATTGTGGGTAAAAAAACTAGAAGTGGAACCTTGACGGTGTAGCCGCGGAGCATGAGCTTTCTGACGAGAATGCGGCCAATGCGGCTGGTGGGTCCGACGACGAGGACGGTGGTGTTCTGAGCCCCAGGGACGGCGAACTCGCACATGGGGCCTTCCCTTATGAGCAGCGCGTCCAGCGCCGCCGCCGTCTCGTCGGGTCGGATGGTCCGGGAAATCTGACCCAACCCGGAGAATTTCCGCCACACCTCGTCGAATATCTGCCGCGATTTTCGCCCCAGGCCAACTGGGTTCACATCGTCTAAGCTCAGGGACTGAGATTGCTGCTTCTGCTGCTCCGCCGCCGGAGGAGGCTGGATGGGGTTTGCGTCGGCGGTGGTAGCCGGCCCTGATTCATCGATTTTGTTGCTGCTGCTCTTCTTCTTGTTGTTCTTCTTCTTGCTGCCGCCGCCGTCGGAGGAAGTCGTGGCGACGACGGTGAGGGAAGTGGGTTTCTTCACGGCGGCCGGGAGAGTAATGGGTCTCCGGTGAGGGACGAAACAGTTGATGCCGTTGGCATTCCCGATCCCAATTCGGAGACTGACACCTGCTGGAGCAGTTATAGCACCTTTCATGCTTGTTTTGTTGCTGTGATTCTCTTCTTCGCTCCGCAGGAAGAATTGCAGAACAGAAACACTAAACAAACTATCTCAGTTTCGGATAATCGTCCGCCCAGAACAGAGATCGGAGCTAGTATTATTTCATCTTTTTAGGAAGAGGAATTACGTGAAGAAAAAAGGACGCGAGAGGGGAGAATAACAAACCAGACCAGAAATGGAGACCACAGAATCCTTTTCTTCTCTTTTATTTATTTTTTTAAGTTTTATTAAGTGGAAGGGGTGAATTATTATTCCTTTTTATTTAACTGAATCTCATCCGCCACTCAAATAGTGCCACGTTTGACACCTCCTTGCCTCTCTTTCCCATTCACTCAATTCCCGAAATAAAACAGAAATTTTCCCGCGTAATTTATCAGCGAGTCTGATTCCGACTAAGCATAGGTGGTTTGTGTTTTCGTTCCAGAAAAAGAACTAACTGCATGCAAAAATGAAGCCTGTTCGCAACTCCGAGCTCCGAATTCTTCGACGACGCCGCACATCAGATGTTAAGAGAAACAAGGACAGGAGAAGGGAAGAGGAAAGCAGAGAAAAGAAGGAGAAGATAATTAGAATAATTATGGTACAGAGTCGGCCACCAAGAGGTGACCTCTTCACAATGTGCGTTTCATTTTAAACAACAAAATCTGGAAAATGTACCCTTCCTTCTTCTTTGAACATAGAAATCAAAGAATCACCAATTCATCATATGATGCATTGCCTGCCATCTGACTAAAACACAACCATCAGTAATCCTATACTCCTCCACCACCTCTCCCTGGAGGGAACACTATATAGAGTTAGCTGCTGCTGGAAGAGACGCAGGAAGTGAGGCAGCTGCTCTGTCTCCATCTCTGGTCTGCTCGTTGAACTTTCTCTGTCCACTTTTCCTTTGCAGGAGGGGAAGGAGCGAGACTACTTCGGAGACACGAATCAAAAAAATCAATACCTTACAGAAACCGTCGATCAAAAACCAATCTGCTGCACTAACGGCTGCTTTATACCCTCCGCCCTTCTCCAACTCCGTCTATGTATATCATGTGTATTGCCCCCTGCCTCATTCCAAGCAGCACCAAAACTGTTGTCGTCTCTGCCTCCCTCTTCTTATCAGGAAAGCCTTTCCTTCCCGAAAAAAGAAGAGAAAAACAAAGAACATATGTTTTTAGTATGTACAGATGACTGGTTTAACCAGAACTGCCAGCAACCTCAGCAGCTCTCTGCCTCATCATCTCCATCACTGCAGCTCTTCGACGTGATTCGGATTGTTGTTGCAGTCTTCTTATATGTTCTTTCAGATCTCTGTACGACGAAAACAATACATTCATAGTGATTAAGTACTGTACAGTCCAAGTCATTGAACCAGGACAAACCATCAAAATGTTTCACAAAGACATAGCATGAAGTGAGTTCAATACACAAACCTGCAACGGGGTACATGGCATTCAGATTCTTTGCAAGCCCTAGCATGGAGTTGCAAGAGATACCACATTTTCTTGCACAGAACACAACCTCCAGATGCACGTGTTCTGCACTGTATCCCATGCCTGAAAAGCCCCTTCACTTTCCGGCAGTTCGGATACTGGCAGTGAGGAGAACGGCACTGTGATGCATGCACCAAAAGATCAAGCATTTTCCTAAGCTGCAATGTCACACAACAAATCATGTCAGCTGTTTCTTATCTGTCTCTGATATCACAAGAAAAGTCGAGAAGAACATGACCAAGAAGAATATGACCAAGCAACCATAAAATGCGAGTTCCTTAGGCAAGGAAGGAATGTGAGCAATAGTCCTCTGTCCGAAGAAACCATAAATGATTCACTTGGAAGCGTACCTGTAGAACCCTTAATTGTCGAGCTTCTTTATTCTGTGCATCACGTTCAGCTATAGACGGATGGTTGGTCAGTTTGTGTGGATGGTCAATACCACCATCCTTTTGGTAACAAGAATTGCACACATCATATTCTGGGCAGACCTCACAACGCCAACCTTGACCGGTTTCAATATCCAGATGGCAAACATTGCATGTAGTAACAAATGCAGGTGCAGTCGGATTGTGAAGATGGTAAAGGACCATCATAGAGGAGTGTTTAGCACGACGCAGAGTATCATACTGATAATGATTTCCTTGGCAGAGACTAAGGAAAGCCTGCCTTGTATCAAAGAATTCACTCTCAAGAATTTCATCTCTGTCCTTTGTATCAACAGGCACATCATTGATCTCAACCTATAAAAATTTTCAGTCATGCTTACAATCTCTCACAATGGAAGGGCATCAAAAACAAAATAGCAAAGCTGGAAACTTACTGGATATAGCCCATGCTTCTCCCTATGGTAGACAGGATGTCGTTCTCTTTCTTCGCGTTTCTGTTCCACCTCATAACACCTTCGAGAGTACAAGCAGAGAAATCATAGGTTAGAGCTTTAGTTGATGACCACGAATTCTGAACCTCGATCGACAATGTTTGAGAATGAAATCGACTACCACGTCAGAACAGCATGACTTCCAACCAAAAAAGTCTCAAACTAAAGTCGACGGTAAGAGTTATAGAAAGCAATAAATCGATCTCATGCCAGTGATGATGGTGGGATTCGCATAGTAAGATGATCATTGAAAACTGAAATCATCAATATCATTGCCACCAAGTTGCTAAGGCTGTAACGGCAAAGAATTTTTTATCTCTGCAACACCAGGTTCTTCATGACAGCATTTAACAAAGTGTGTTATACTCGGAAACAATAGTCTGCAGAACATTTGTATGTAAAAAACAGCCAGCAACTGATTTTTCAATGATGTACAGATGACACTAAAGACCTGCTCAAAATCAACACAAATACAAGATTACAACGGGTTAAGTAGAGCAAATGACTTCGCTAAAGTCATGCGAAGAGAGCATACCTGTCACAGATTTGAAAATTTTTGCACTGGTTGCAAACCCATCGGTTCCCTGTTACCATTAGGGTACAACAATGTGTGCAGCAGTGCTGAAGATGAACCATGATAAAATCTTCCTTCATTGGAGAAATCGTCTCACCGAGCTGCACAAAGACAGTGGCAGTTAAATTGGCATGACAGGGAAGTAAAACATCTACTTAGAAAATTATCTGTAGCTCCATATCCATTCCTCGAACAGAGAGCTCGAAATAGAGGCACAACACTGTTCTTACAGAACTAGAAAGTGACCTGTTTTGCGATGTACAAAGGATTACCTTATGCATCAGCAGCAGATCCTTTGATGCATTTCCCGAAAGATCTGACTGACCAGATGCTTTCAGAGCCCTCTTTGTTATAGTCTTTTTAGTAGTCCCCTTCTTATTATTTTTTCTGCCATCCTCATCTTGATTAATCTGATAAATCAAGTCTTCAGCAGCACCAGGCCAGTAGTCACCATCGAAGTATGGAAGCCTCGCTGCAGTTACCTTTGCTTTGCATTCACCAGTGGTCACAAAGAAATGGTCGTACAGATTTGTGAGTTCAACTACTACATTTTCTTTTGTAGCTTTCCTTAACATTGCCAAGTACCTGCAGGGTGAGATACAACCAGCAAGTAATGAGAGTTAGACAACTACAAAATACTGATACTAGGAACTAAAACAACAAATCACCACTTCTGCTTTATAAGCCCACCATTCTCGTAGTTTATCAGACTTGGGCGTCTTCTGTATTTCTGGATGACAATAGAGTATGTAATCTTCACCCTTTAATGGAGGACATGCCCATATGTAACAGCTAGTAAAACCCCGTTTCTTACAATAATCAAGGTAACCGATCTGGAAATAGTAAAAAACAGAATAAAATCAGTAATATTCTCAGTGACCAGTTACATCAAGAATCACCAAAAAAGTTGAGTGGACAAATATTTACTAACCAGAATTTCATGGTACACAAAGGTACGAAGTGCCTCCCCTGTTACTGCTTTGACATCAGGTCTAAAATATTTTACAGAATCCAGGTATGACAGATAGACACGACGCTGATTCGGAAAGCAGGCTTCCGATCCAAATTCTTGCACATACATACCAAACAGACACACCTCCACACCTTCAATCTTCTGAAATAACAAAACTACCTGAAATTGAAGATTCAAATAAAATTGAGTAGTTACCACCAAAAATACTACTTGAATCAATATGGCACTGAGAGCATCCAACATATCACTACTCTTGTTCTTTTACATTATTTTTTGAGAGTACTCTGGCTTGGAGCAAAATACAAAACCCAGGGAGTCGAAATACCCTGCTTAAAAGCAGACAGAAAATTGAGTTGGTATAAATACCTTAGATTTATAAGGGAACTCAAGTGGATAATTATCTTCCCGAAAAATTTCAAGGAACCGCTGCTTCACTTCTAACTTTTTGTCAACAGAAGAAACAACACGAACTACAAGGGATTCTGCTCCAGGAACCTGAAAAGGAATTAAGAACATAAGACTCAGAATTCCAAACATTCATCAAGGGAGCAAGGACGACACAAGGATACATTTTTTTTTTTTTTTGGTCAATATGTTACAGATAAAATCTACCAAACATTAAACAAAAAATGATAAGAATCCGACTATTAAAGGGTTTCAAGCATCTGAGATAAGAAACTTATATAAGCTGATAAGTATGAAACATTGATAGATAAAATGCTATCTAAAACTACACCAAACAGTAACATTGCCAGAAGGCTCAGAACTTCGCATCGAAATATTCGTAAGATATTTCTTTCGTTCTCTTCCCTTAACCCTTATCTCTGATGCTCCTTACAAAAATCCTACCAGTCCATCTTCGGAGAAACCATCTCATAATCAAAATCCATAAGTCGGCCCATTACACAGAAGGGTCAGGCCAAATCATAAAAGTAATAGATGACATAAGATAAAAACAATCTCATTACCTCATCATAACTTCTACCCTGAACCCTGGCCCTCTCCAGTTTTTCCTGCTTCAGTCTCTTGACCAATCGTTGTTCTATATGGTCACTAAGTATGGTCCTGGGCAAATCTTTGGCACCAAGAACAGCACTTTGTGGCAAAGGCTTACGCTCTCCTTCTTCTATCTCTGTTATGTAGCAATTAGGACAAGTATATTCAGCTTGGCCCCCATCATTCCTTCGACCATTGAATAAAGCACAAATTTGATGTTGCCATGCTTCGCACTTGTCACATTGAACCCACTACAAAAGCATCAAGAGGTTAATATAACAGCACAATAAAGTTATACCATGCAGGGAAATATATTTGATATCTAAAGAAAAAGCTCACCCATTCTTCAGTCTCCTCGTCATTTTTCTTCTTCTCA